ATTCCTCCATGAGCTCCCCGAGAGCCGCACCACAAACACAGCACTAACCACCGCACCAGNNGTCCGCTTCAACGTCCTCCGCGTCCTTCCCCGCACCGGCAAGGCCGTCAAGCAGTTCAACAAGTTCTAAGCTGCTCGCTACATCAACAACCATGGTCATTTTCGGGAGTCTTCTCTGGGATGGGGCAGCAACGCAGGCGACAGGAAGAGCAAAATAGTCCCTTTTCTGCAGCCTTGAAAAAGCAACATGCCTTTGTCGCATCATCTTTTTTCCTTCAAATACCATCACAACCCCCAACGACGCCCGCCCCGACACTCAAAAAAGGAAAAATATGGCTTTTTACGATACTGCAAGGAAGGGTTGTTTCATTGTCTGCGCCAGTCTGGGATCGGACGTATGCTGTGTCGTAAAAAGTCAATGCCACACGTTGAAACATGATTTTCTTTTCTCTCTACATCCTCTCCTCTGACAGTGTCCGTGGTGATGCAATGCGACAGCTAATGTGTAGATCCGACAACGACAACACACCCCCGAGCACACCATCAAACAGACGGCGACTCGTACCGAACACCCTCCGCCACACCTCCAGTCTGCCCCCTTCGTCTTCTCCATACCCTGATTACCCTTACGAGGCTCCGTCTAGCAACAAGTCTGAAGCCGCATGAACATCAGGGCCAAAGTCAGAAAACATCCACTTCACACGACAAACACTCAAGATCAGCCATCGTCATTCTCTCGCCCATGCCCTCACGCGACATACTTAGGCGCAACCTGCTGGCTATACCGATCTGCACATCTTGCTTCAACTCAACCTCGTAAACTTGTGTCGCATCTTGTATTCAATGTCTTCAATGTCCGTGCGCATATTTTAATGTAAACCTTAGATCAGATCTACTCTGACTATTCAGGTAAGCAGCTCCATGAACTCTTCCTCCCTCAACCCTATGGTGCTATTGAGATACAAGTACTGTATCTCCACTTCATTTCCACACGAATGTCGCAAACTTGGCTGTGCTTGCCTCAAATCGGATCTGCCATGTCTCGTTCCCTGCAGGTTGCACGCCGTCTCAATCCGGAGTCAACCCTACGACTGTCAAGTCTCAAAAACAACAGAGATCATGTGGTCAACTTCGATATGTGTGATACCTTCCTGTGTTCCAAGACAATCACGATCTGTCTCCGACGCTAACGACTAGTGCTATGGTACGCCATAAAAATGTACATTTGCTTACCCAAATAAGATAAGCGACCATACTCTCCTTGGAGTCGCTTCAAAAGAAGAACAGTATTGTGTGTCTATGCAATATACTACGAACCATACCAATTCCAGCTGCAGGACTACAAGGACGTCGAACTATTGCACATTCTGAAGATCTATATCCAGCGTCATTTTAGCGGTCGAGCTAGTGTAGAGGACGGGCTGGATGGACTTTATTGCCGGATCGTGGCTCGTCGTGTTGGATATGGTCGTGGGCGAAAGGATTTTGGCAATGCATCGGCGATTCAGATTGCACTTTTCAAAAGGCTCAGTCGACAAGCAAAGAGATTGACGCTGAAGAAACGGCTAGGGCATTTATCAGCTACTATGTCCCTTACCAAAACCGACCTTATTGGACCTGAACCTGCCGCCTCTCTGGTAGACAGCCCCGCCTGGAAGGAATTACAAAGCATGACTGGTCTGGATGCTGTCAAGCAATCAGTCAAAGCATTTGTCCGAACGACTCAGGACAAGTATCACAAAGAGCTCGAAGAGAAACCACTCTTGGAGTTCAATCTAAACAAAGCCTTCCTCGGTTCCCCCGGCACAGGCAAGACCACTGTGGCAAAGCTCTGCGGCCAGATCCTGGCAGACATAGGGTTGCTCTCAAACAGTGATTTTGGTCGAGAAGCAGTAAACCAACTGGTTGATCGTCTTACAAAGCCTCAATTCGAGAAACATTTGGTTGTCATCTTGGCTGGCTACGAGAAGGACATGAACAAACTCATGTCAGAGAACTCTGGGCTCACAAGTCGTTTCCCTGAAACGATCAATTTTCAAGGCAAGTTCAACAGAGTAATCACACGACAATATATGCTGATTCGTTCGCGTGGCAGGTCTTGAGCCCCACGAGTGCCTTGATCTGTTCGTCATGCAGCTTCAGGAGGCCATGAAGGATAGACCTTCAAGCTCCAATGCTTCCCACATCAGAGACTCGGGCGTGCTCTTTCAAGAATTCAGATCACTTGTTGAGACCGCCAATTGGGCCAATGCGTGCGATGTTGGAACTCTCGTCAAGCTTGTGCTTCGCAAGTATTGGTCGTCCAAATACCCACGCTTGGATGTACAGACTATCCTACAAGTTACCAATTCGATGCTCGCCGAGCGTGTCGGCAGAGGAAAAAGTGTGCCGAATCGCAGCGCCAACATCTTGGACAAATCTTCAAGCTGCGTCAGCAGAAGATCGACCATTCCACTTTTCCAACTACGCAACCAAAGCAACAAGCAAGTTTACTTCCACAACCACTCCCCTGGAGCCAGAACGACGAAAAACGTCAACGGATCAGTCTTCCAAAGGGGTCATCCGTGACCCTGGAGTTGACGATGGCGTGTGGGCCAGACTCGAGCATGATAAGAAAAAAGCGAAGGCAGAAGAACAAGCCTACAGAGAACAACAAGCTGAACTAGCAAGATTGGCTTAGCAAGCACGATTGTCGAGAGAAGAGCAGAACAGACTCGCTCAACTGCAGGAAGAGCAAGAACGGCAGAGACAAAAGATGGAGGGGGAAAAGATTGCACAGCAGAAGTTGCAAGCTATGGGTGTTTGTCCAGTAGGATTTCCCTGGGTCAAGCAGGATGGTGGATATAGGTGTGAGGCAGGTGCCCACTTTGTCTCTGATGCGGAGTTGAGGTAAAAACTACACATAGGAAATGGGTGTTCTGGCGTTCGGTCGAGGGCAGACAAAAGTTCTGAAGGTTAGGGTGTTGGGATTAGATTATGTAGTAGTATGATAATATAATGTCGAACCAATGTGGTCTGCTTGCGTCTCCATTACTCTGCGTCAATTTCAAAAGAGGTCTCCCTAGTACCAGTCGTGGCCCTCCTCTCCCTTGTGTTCGTCTTTGGGGTTGAGGTTCAAGATCCTCTGACCGGGACCAGTGTCTGCCGACTGACTTTCGAATGTGCCCGAGATAGCTCGTGTGCCAATTGAAGACAAAGAGTCATAGTCGTCTTTCGCACCAGTGACGGCCGCCCACTCAGGAGTATCAGGAGAAGACCCATCTCCAAGATCACTCCATCTTGTCACTACAATGGCATGTTTAAACAGCTTCGTCGGATCCTTTTCCGATCTGTCTTCAGCCAACTTGACTTCCACCAGATACTCTGTCGGACACGACGGACAACGACGCATAGGACGACATTCGGAGCACAATATAATGATTGCACCTTGGGATGCTCGCCTCCCAGCAACCTTTGCCAACCCTTCATGCAACGACTTTTCCGGTGGTACTGGCAAATGACTCAATGCGCACTTGCAGATATTCATTAATAAGCCGTCTCTCCAATGCGCACAAGCGGAAAAGTAGGGCAAATAGTCTTCACGACTGTAGAGGAGCATGCGCTCGCCGGCTGGAGTCAAGCCTGCCTTTGTAAAGCAAGTACTTTGCACACGCATTAGAAGGTGGCCTTTGAAGACAAAGTAGCGAGTACTGTGGATCCATCTGGGTTCGTATTGTTCTCTCCAGAGACGTGCCATTGTTGTTGCGTCGATGCCATAGTCGAGCCCGTACTTTTTGCCTTTGAGGGCGATTTGGACAAAGTTGAAGGGAAGTGTTCGGCCCGTGGTGATGCGCAGTCTTGGCTGAGGCATGAGATTGTTGGTGGCATTCGGGCAGGCGAAAAGAGGATTGAGTACACTGGCGGGCCTGAGTTTCTCCTCGCCTTTCATCGTTCGGAGATGGTATTTGTTGCAGACGAAACAGAAGAGATGATTTGGTAGTTTGTCCTCCAACCTGTGTAAGAATGCGAGTCTGTACTCTGCGTTTTCGGGATGATTGATGGTCGCAAAACAAGAAGACCCCACACGATCCAGCAAAGTCTTTGACGCCAAAGCAAGGCAGGCGCGATCAACCAAACTGATATGCTCTGTAACTCGACTCCATAATTGATGCGACAAGCAAGCAATCTGAGCTTCGCCAGGCGGACGATTCGGATCCAACTCGTACTTGTTCAAGATCTCGGTAACGGTGTCGAAAGAGTCGTGCGCAAGACTGTGTAACATCGTAGTGCCATCCAGAAGCTCTCCAGTCTGTTTATCAATCTTCGGTCCAGTCTCTCTTGCCTCTCGAATGCGCTCTGCTTGCGTCTTGAAAGCAGCGACTTGAATAGAATCCTGCCTCGAATCGATGGAAGTTCCCTGTGAGCTCTTGCGCCCTGGAGGTACATTATCGCCAGTGCTACTTTTCCTTCGCGGGGCATTCGTGTCGTCGACTGATCTTCTACCAAAAGTAGAGCGGAGCTTGTCCTTGAGGCTTCGAACGCTCTTGCTCGAGCTCTTGACAGAAAGTGCGTCCGACATGTTGATGGGTGGCTGGAGTTGCATCGACCTCTTCAAAGCTTTTGCTGCAGATTCGCGCGTTCTTCGAGATGACTGCGCCTGCTCAATCCGATACTACTAGGCAGACACTTTCCTTGAGACACAAATAGTACGTATGGCAAACAAGACAAAGTCGATCAAAATCACTCTCAAAGATGGATGTTTTTCGAAGCCGCTCACTATTATGACGAGGCACACCCGCGAAGAGCCGCGCTGGGCTCACGCTACGGTCAAAGTTTCGAGCGGACCCGTTTCCAACCTCATCTCACGTCTCACCACCACAACGGACATCATGCATCACAATTCAGACACGGCAAGATAATCATAGGAAAAATGATGTTGGATATCGTACAGCTTTGGTTTGGCGCAAAAAAGAAACTGATCTAGAAAAATGTACAAATTCACCAAAAGCTTTTGTGATAATCTAGTCGACGAGGAGGCTCTGGAGTCTGGCTTCGGTAGCGATAACNCTGGGAGTAGAGTCAGTATATGGCAAGGAACAAAGTAGCAAGTGGATAGAACTCACGTCGACAGCCTGCTTAGTCTCCAAAACTCTTCTGCACTCTGCGACCCAGTCCTTGCTCAGGACACCGGCCCAACCTCCGAGCGAGTTCATCTCTCTGGCAGCACCATCAATGTCACCCTCCTCGAGGAAGACTTGGGTACGGCTCAAAACAGCCTCAACATCATCGCCCTCGGGCATACCGGCACCTTGCTTGTTGAACATGAAGCGGGAAAGGACGGCAGAAGCGGCGTGGGAAGCGATACCGGCATCTTCGGGCAGAAGGGCAGCTTTGCGAACCTCGGAAGCGACACGGCGGAAGCGGTCGATCAGATGAGCAGAGCTGGGAACACCACGCTGGTATGCGGTAGGGGGAATGCTGGCAACGGCAGCGGAGACGAGCTCGTTGTTGTTGCTAATCTCCTTAAGAGCGGCGAGCTCGTTGATGAAAGGAGTAGGGTGATCATGCTTGGCGATGGCGTGGCGGACGGACTCGAGAGCGACGTGCAAGTGCTGGGTAGCCAAGTTGCTGTCGACAACCTTGTTCCACTCTCCAGTAAGCTTCTCAAGCTCGGCCACGGAGCTTGACAGCTCGTCAAGACGGGCCAGACGGCCGTTGCGCTCCTCCTCGACGCGGTCACGCACGCTCTTTGCGAAGCGGCGCTGTAGCTCAATCTCTTGCTCGACCAGGGCATTGTGGGCGCGCTGCTCAGAAACCTTGCGCACAACATCAAGCTCGGTCGAGAGCTTGGTCTGGTATGATTGCGACAACTTCTCGCGCTCGCTCTCGTACTCCTCGCGCCACTTGGCCTCCTGGTCTTGCATTTCCGACTGCAGACGGCTGACGAGCTCCTTGGCAGCGGTGTCGAACAGACTGTGGGCATTGGAGATCTCATCGGCGGTTTGCTTCTCGGCTTGGGCCTTGAGGGTGGAAATGTCCGAGACAATCTTCTCGACTTGGCTCTTAGCGGCAGCCATGGTCGATGTGTACTTGTCGGCAGAGGGGTCGGCATTGATGACAGTGATGATGTTGTTGAGCATCTTGACGACATCCTGAACAACGGGCTCGGCGGCATTGGGCATGCTCATCAGGTCGAGAGGAGCGGCGGCGGTGGTAGGTGTATGGGCAACCTGAGGGGCGGGGTTCGAGGGCTTGGAGGCTGTTGTTTGCGAATTGCGTTCAGATTTGACATCGTCCTTGGGCAAAAGATGGTGCGACTTTGACTCCATGTCGAGGCGAGGCTTACCGTCTTTGTGGGCTGCTGTCTCAACGGCAGCAGTACGCTCAGCAGGAGTGGCCTCCTGAGGCTGCTGGAGAGGGCGCGAGGGCTCGCGGGCGCTGACGTGGCGGCGCTCGGTATCAGAGCTGACATCGTTGACCTGTGCTGTCAAGCCACTGTTCTTTCCAATCTGGACCTTGTTCTCGCCGCGGACCTGGGGGTAATGACGGTCCTCGAGCTTGCGGCTGGGGAATCGCTTGCGGAATTCGCGCTCCTCGAAGTATGCAACGGCATCCTCGCCGAAGGGTACGTATTCGGTGAAGAAGTCATGGAAGTTGTCCGAGATGAGCGAATAGTAGACACCACCAGCGAAACCAAGAGAAGACAGGAGGAAGAGGGTGGTCAAGAAGCGTCGGAAACGGCCACGGCGTCTGGGCTTGGGTGCAGGGCCGGCTACGACCTTGGGGCCAGTTGTAGAGGCAGGAGGAGGAGGGGGAGGAGTGGCACCGACGGCCTCTGGGGTAGGAGGGGCTCTAGGGATGGCCATGGGTGCGCCCTCGATTGGCGAAGCGGGAGTTTCGGCGCCGAGCTTGGGCGGCTCAGGAACGTCGCTGGCGACATTCTCGCTGTGTGTACCAGGAAGGACAGTCTGATCGGGTCTACGAATGTCGGCAAAGGCTCTCNNTGGATGGGATTGTCAGCACGCGACAGTCAATTGGACGGCTTGATAAGACGTCAGTCGGGCAGGACGCACGGAGCGGTTGAGCAGCAATTGCGAGACGACGGGCGAGGCGCGTGGGGCGCACAGGCGAGCCCGACTCCGAATCAACGGAGTGCGAAGCATCATGACCGCTGGACAGAAGGAAAAAGAGGGAGGGCGAGGGAGTTGGTTGCAAAAGCAGCTTCAGCTTCGACTTCGATATCAACTTCGCTCGAACTGCCCGGCCGACGTCTGACACGCGTGCACGCTCCATCTCCGCTATCCGGCTGTCCCCGTCTCGAAGCATCCTCCCCAACAACATATGATTGTTAAAACGTCCAAGCATGATTTATCACGTGATCAGCTGCTGTAGCTCAGTGGTAGAGCGTGGGATTGCAGTTTCTGCAATCATCCTAAGGTCCGTTGTTCGACCCAGCGTAGCAGCTACACTTTTGGTTGTCGGACAAGATCCACGGGCTATAACACTCAGCTTTGGTCCGTCAACGGCGGCAGTTTTGGGTTTCTGTCGCAAATCGTGTTTTGCGGCAAGAACGACTGATCCAATGCTCTCTAAGAGAGGTCTGTCGGAGCTGATGCCGGGAAGAACAGGTAGGCCCAAGCTCCAACGCGATCTTCACTTCTCCATGGAGAGGGCACATGCAATTGTCAAAGAACTTCCTTGACAAACAAATTGCTCTAGGTGCTTTTGGCACGGCTAAGTCTTTAAGACAATCACGTCGAAGAGTAGATACATATGCGCCGTGATGTACTGAGCAATCGAAACCCGCGCAACACTATCCGAAATGGCATCTTGCAGACTTGTGGTGTTCTCACTCTCCACGAATCTCTTCGTCTTGTTTATTCCTTTTCTTTTTTCTTGCTCCTACCATCACCTCGCAGATCTACCATACCATCCAACTCTAACCTAGCCATACTGACCATGCTTCTTTTAGAAAATGCCATGCTCTCTATAGTAACTAATTAGTACCTAAGAAAAGCAAGCAATCATATAAAGGGGTCTAAAGTACATATAGCTAATCATAGCTAAACCCTAGATCTTAGTATAGACTATCCTACGACAATAGAGAACTTCTAAAGCTACTTGTTTATATGGAGCTTAGAGCATATATAGAACTATATGTTTCTAAGTTCCTATAAACCTAAATAAACTACCGTCTTCCTTTCTTATCTTTTCTACCTACATAGGCAAGCAATTACGGTTGGGGCTATGTTACTATACTTCTTAGAACTAGGCTAATATTTATCTCGACTTTAGGTCGATGGTGGCTACACCTTGCAGCATGGTTCTGCATAGATCATAAAGGCTCTTAGCAAGGAGCATCATGGTCTATTGTCAGGAAATCTATTAGAATATAATAAGGGATGAGCCCTGAAGGTTGTTCATCTAATCTACGCCAACTAATCTGATAAGAATGTATGCAATAACGCCGACTATGTAACCCATAAGATCGTTTCAATCATCAGTCAGATCGACTACAACTGCCTTGGGACTTTGGCTAGTCTGAACGTCTTCCTCTACAGATTTAGACACCTGACCCTCGGCTTGTCCTGCCGTCTGGCCAACTTCTGCCATCAGTTTGCTCGCACGCACGATCATTATATCGCTGTACTTCTCAGCAAGTACATTGTCAAGAAAACGGTGGCGGCCCTCAAGTTCCTTCAAGTGCTGTTTGACTTCAGCGACCCGCGAGGCCCATTTCCGATGCTTTTCATCCCATCCTTGCTTGTGTTTGGTAACTACAAGAACAAAAGGCCTGTTAGTCCTTTCGACGGCCGTGGAGCATTGGTGTTCTTCTTCGAGTTTGTGTTTCTTCATGGTCGCGAAATCGCCAGAGTTGGCAATATTGTCAAGGTTGTTCAAGAGGTCCTTCTTGATGTCGCCGCTGAGTCCGTAGACATCGCGCTCGTTCGCGACTGCCACACTCGCTGGAGCCGAAGCTGTCGTCGCCATGTCTGTGACTTCTAGTCGTGGTACTGATGCGAACAGAAGAGCAGTGAAGAGTTTACTGAAGGACACTGATGACGCGTTGGGTTGATCAACGATCTGCGGTGGCTGGCACGAAAATCACACGTTGACGACAGGCCTCCAACCTTCCACCTCACTCTTTGCACAATAAATAATTCAACGCATATAACCGTCTTTTCGATTTTATCTTGACTTGCAGGCTTTCTTTGAGACCATCTCTTAGTCATCCCAAGATGCACATTCGCAATCTAGCGCCTTCTTAGTCCATCAATTCATCAAGCCTTGGTCTTGCTTCCTGAAGCCTTACCTCCTGATCCGCTTCCAGACTTCTTGTTGTTTGTGTTTCGACGCAACATTGCCATGTACTTGCAGTCCATACACTCGCCTGGCTCAGCTTTGGTATAGGAAGTGCCACTTGCTGTCTGGCTTTCCATCTCCTTGTCATCAGCTTCCCAGCCCTCACAACGCATGTTTGTGCGGTAGGCCTCTGTGCATTCAACGGGGTCTCTGCTATAGTGCTTGCAGTCTATGTAGTAGACGTGGCGCCAGAAACACATGGTGAGAGTTTGAGGGTCGGTATCGGATACAGATGGGTGGGACGTCTTTTGATCATTGATTTGTTGGTAATTAATGTTCTTGAATTTGTCTAACAGTGATTTATATGTCGTTATACTCTTTCCTAGCTTCGAGTTCCTGCTGCAGGACACTTCATATTACTTGCACTAAAGCCTACTAGCTGATTTGCACTTGCTTGTCACATGTGTTTTGTCCAAGGAAAGCATGATCACTGGCTAATGAATCTTCGACACATGTTTTGGCAGGCTTTCCTGTCAAAATTCACAAGGCATTGCTTGTCTTATAAGTATCATCATAATAGCATCCTGGCTTTTCAAGGAACTCTGGTCTGCCTCCCTTCCACCAACCATATGCCAACATTCAGACAGCTCTCCACAAGTAAAGGCGACCAGTCTAGGCCTCGTGCATATCCAGTCGAGGCTGAATCCCGACATGCCCACGTCTCCAGCTGCTGTGAGACGAATCTATACTATACAGCATCAGGAGTGTTACCATCGTGTAGACCATGTTCTTGTCGAAAGATCTCCATCCATTGCGTGTCGTCAGCGAACGTCTGATTCCATGGATCATCACTGTCAAACCACAATCGACGAGATTCTTGCTGGAACATCTCATCTGTGGGTACGACGCCTGCCTTGATCTTTTCCTGTGCAAATCTGCCAAGGTGAAAGGTTAGAATCTCCCATGCTGTCTTGAACTGCTGGTTGTTTTCCACCGGACGCGTATCTGGAGAGGGGGAGGGATCTGCCACAACGATGTTGCTGCTGTTTGGTACGTCGATTAGAGCAGCTCTTGAACTTATTTGCGCCAGGAGCTCTGAATGTCCAGGCTTGGTTGCAGAGAAAGGGACTGGTGTCTTTGACTCAGAACCGATCAGGAAAGGAGGCATCGAGTTGGTGACTTGGCAAGCGACATGTGGCTCGAAACCATGCGTACCCCTCCAATCCAGCATCTTCTTTCCGTCCCGGAAATGCTTGCTCAAATGATCAGCCCGAGCTTTCCAGTCGTTCATCTCAGCGTTACAGAATCCACAACGTGATTTGATAGGAAGCTCTGGAGGCTTCCACTCCCCTATTGTAGGAATGCTGTCGATCTTGTGGACCAATCTGAGGTGTTGTATGAGGTGATCCTTTCGCCTGAAGCTTCTAGAATCTATACTTTTGTGTGCACAAGCAGTGGAGTTGTGGCCTTCCAAATGTTCCTTGCTTGGCCGAGGGATCAAACAGTATGCGCACAGTTGGTAACCTGTGGTAGGGCAAGTGACCACTTCTCCTTCAGGAGTGCAAACCCATTGTTCAGGGTTGAGATGCAATGACTTTTCGTGACGACTCCAATCGAACTTGTTCTTGAATGTGTCACAGCAAAATGTACATGGAAACGGTCGGTCATCGTTACCAGTTCCTGGCCGGGCTCGAGATTTGGTGACTTTGCTGCGTGTGTTGTTGCGATGATTGGAGCTCGTAGAGTTACGGGATTTGATCGAACGTCCCGATAGTATAGAGTCTATGGATCCATTCGAGGTACAACTTTCAAGACTGCTTATGGAAGCGGGCCTCGATGTTCGAAGGGCCGCATAGCCAAAACCTTGTGGCTCAATACCGGGTGTGCTACCTCTGCTGCTGTTTGCAGACCCTACAGTGAGATGCTGATCAAAATCATTCGAAGCTACTGCGTGGCTGATGGCATGTATCGATGCAGGTTCATTCTCCGGCGGGCTGTTCTGCCAGCGCTGTAATGGATCCAAAGCCGACCAATCTGTGTATTGCTGATTCGGAATTGAAATTGGCACTCCAGAATTCCTTGAGTATAGTGACCTGCGTCGTGCGAAGCCTTTTCTAGAATTACTATTGCGCCTTGCAGAGTGTGCAAACCAATTTTGCATCTCTTGGTTATTTGCAGTCATCGCAGCATTTGCTGATTGGGTTTGGTAAGGAGAACCATAGCCTGCAGGAGATGGTTGCTCGTAAGCAGGAGTGACCACAGGTGAATCCAGNTAACACCCCGGATAGTCTTGCATGGCTGGCGAATTGAAGGCCAACATGTCCATGGCATTAGGAAAGTATGGGCTCGATGTGGCTTCCATGGCATTGTTCCACGCTCCCACGCCAGTCAAAGGCTCGTTGAGAGGTGCGTAGTTCTCCGGCATCCATGGATAACTTGTTCCATATTGTATGGGGGCTTGTGGATTTGATGGGTCTGTCTGAATTTCCAACTCTTCTGATGGCAGTCCCGGTTGACTGGTTGTCACGCATCAGTGCAAATTCTCTCGTAACAGGAAGAGAAAGACCAACTGATTCGCCGAGTTGGACGCAGAATGGTCCGGTCGTGGCATAGCTGACTCAAAGTCGAAGTAATCCATTGTCGGTTATACACGGTCTATGTAGTTGTTGCAGTCACGATATGAGAGACAAGAGAATTGTATGCATGCAGAATGTGTTCTAGATGCCGATTGGTGCGGCCGTCCTTTCTGAAAGCCAAGGATGGACGTCGTCGACCGGAGCTTCAGAGTTTGCCGCAAACCGTGCGCGCCACCACCCGATCAGGCAGTCCCGGTCGCCGACCTCCTTCCTTCTCATGAGCGGTGGACTGCTTCAATGCTCTCCTTCGTCAAAGCTGGGGCACTTGACGCTCCTGTGTATCTCAATTGTTTTGCTCTCAATCCCTCGAGTCCTTCGATCGATCGACGCGGCATGTTGCCATGGACCCCTTGTCCCCAGTGTCGCTTCCCCTTGGCCAGGCTTGATCCTTCATGACGACCGTGCACATAGGGGAGACAACCGCTGCTGCTCTCCAAATTTGCAACACGCGACTGGCAGTTGAGCAAAGTATACCAATTGGGCTCACTGTAATTAGACTATCAAGACGTTTCTCTACCAAAGCCATCATCACTCGGATCCTGCCTATACTCCGACCTTAACTATGTCGTAGTGGCGAAGCGTGTTTTGATCAAAGATCCCGCGAGTTTCTCCCCATAACAGTCAACGGCTTCCCCGAAGGCTTGTAGAAACTGCTACCGCTCATTCTTCCAGTATGGCGAAGTTGGTTGTAAGCCTTCTTGTATTGAGTCAAAGCAATCTAATTGCCGATGCCGAGTAGCGACACGTGAGGGATTGGACTGTTCCTTCCTTTGCATGCTATCTTCATCTTCGATGTGCGTGCATGCATGCAGCGAACATGCATGATGGCAATTGACAACTCGCAACGTCTGCTGTCAAGCTTCCCTCGTCGAGCCGCCCCCCCTTTAGCGGTCTCGTTGGAAGCCTACCGGCTTTTGCTATTTTGTGGTAGCAAGTAATCTTATCTCCAACTCAACGACAACAGTTCTGACGCACAATCATATCGCTAATCCATCTCTACTGACTGCCATGCAGGAGCAGTCTCGTAATGGAGATTGAGATCCACAAGACAGGTACAACGCCTGGAAGAGGCGAATTAACCAAACAACGAGTCAACGACAGACTCCATCCTTGGAGAATGGCATATATATACCAGCATCCGTCTCTGCTTGTAGTCTGATCATCCAACAACAGCAACAGCTTCCTTCAGCAGCATCTTTCAGTCTTTGGCTTAGCCGTCCACTCTTTACAACACTCTTTACTAATACCAACCCGACCACCAACTAACTAATTCACCACCACCACTCAAAAATCAAAATGCCTTCCTTCACTGCTATCTCCGCCGCCGCCATCTTGGCCTTCTCTGGCATGGCCTCCGCCATTCCTCAGTACAACTTCGCCAATGGCACCACCGCTTCGCCTGCTGCCTCTGGCCGTCCCGTCACCAGCATGCCTGCTGGTGGTGCCGCTGGTGCTGGCCGCCCCGGTAGCAACTCTACCTCTTCCGCTGTCGCCGGTCGCCCTAGCTCCAACTCCACCGTCCCTACCCTCGACGGCAAGTTCTGCCCTGGTCTTGACCTCTCGCTCTACATCGACAGATCGGGTGCTACCTTCCAGATCGAATGCGACACCAAGTAAGTCTTTCATCGCCGCCTCAACAGCATCAACCTCTTCGCCTTCACAGCTCTAACTTTGGAATTTTNNAGCCATTTCGGTGTCATAATTGATATCCAGGTCAACCTCACCAGACGTGCTGTCCCTTCCAGCCTTGACGACTGCATGAACCTTTGCGATGCTACCGCCACCTGCGTCGGCACCGCTTTCGACACCAACGCTCGCTCTTGCACTCTCTACAGCGATGTTCAGGCCGCCTACGCTCAGCAGGGCATCCAGTTCGCCCAGCGCGTCGCCAACGGAAACGGAGCCGGCAATGGCGCTGGTGCCGGTAACGGCCAGGGTGCTACCACTATCCCTGCCGGCGGTCTTGCCACCAGCACAATTTACAGCACCAACGTTGTTACGATCCAGTCGTGCGCTCCTACTGTCACCAACTGCCCTCTCAAGAACGGCCAAGGCGTCGCTGTCACTCAGGTTGTCCCAGTCTCCGAGACTGTCTACGTCTGCCCTACTCAGACTGTCATCCCCGCCGCTCCCATTGCTTGCAACAACTGCCCTTACACCGCCTCTACCGCCACTGTCTTCTCAGCATCTTCCGGAACTATGATGCCCGTTTCGACCACTGTCTACCAATGCCCCCAGGCCACTGGCACCACTGTCACCACCACCATCTGCACCGCTTGCGCTCACCCTACTGCCAACATGAACAACGGCAACGGAAACGGCAACGGTAACAGCGCTGTCACCTCGACCGTCACTCTCTGCAACGGCGAGCACTGCCCTGCCACCGCCACTGGTGCAAGCTCCACCATGGCCAAGTACACTCCCACCACCTCCCAGATGGCCATGTTCACTGGTGCTGCTTCCAACGTCCAGGCCGGCGCCATGGGCTTCGCCGCTATGTTCGGTGCTGCCGCTCTCGTCCTCTAAGCATCCCGCTTAGCAATCGACACTTGAGCCTTGCCTGAAGGCAAAAACAAAAACTTTTCGTATATTTTTTCGCTTCTCTTTACATACATCATGGTGGTGTTTATCTAATTAGCCTTGGTTGGCATTCAAATGGTTTCTCATTTAAAGGGTTGGTTGTGTTTCTGGAATTCTTCATGACTTTTTCATATTACATATAAATGGATGCTGCTGTTTCATTTCAATCATTTTGACAACTCCGAACTGTGTGAAGTGTCTGGTTTGCAATCACAGTGCTTTTTCTTTCCTTGCATTGAATTAACTTCTGGCGACTACCCTTTGTCTTAGTGATGATGAAGTGAACAAAACTGTGTTCTACTGTGCGTTTCTGCAAAGAAATGCAAAGACTGATATGGAAGGAGCGACACATGTCATCGACTGATTGAGTTTTGGACAACAATCCAATGCAAACTGAGAAGGTACGATCCTTCTCGGTCTTCATCGCAGTCGCAGGTAGCTATCAAGCTCATTGGCAGTAAGGTTCATGCATCATCGCTGCCTCCAAACTCACATCATTTTCGCACCATCGACACCAACACTACTGATTGATGATTGGTAGACCCCGCTATATCCCTCCACCTCTCCCTCCATCTGCTCCAAAACAAGTTGTGCCAACTTTGCGTCCTTGTACAAGACAACTCCACAAGGGTTCTTTACCTCCAATAACGCACCCATCGCACCTTCATACCCAGCATCCACAACTCCAGCCGACACACTCACCCCACTCCTCCACAGACTCGATCGTGGAAACACACTTCCCATACAATCTCTAGGAATCTTGACAGTCTCGTTGAAATCGATCAGATATGCGCCAGGCTGGAGAGTGATAGTATGTGTTTGTGAGCAAAATGGTAGGATGGAAGTTTTGGCGCCGCGACGGTGGGTATTGTCGAAGTCGATGGTGGCTGCAGAGGTCCAGTTGGATATGGAGCGGAGGGTAAGGTCTACTCCGCAGGGTTGTTGTTGAAGGGATGCATTGAGAAGGTTTCGCACGATTTGGCGACTGACAATGTTAACGCCACCGATAATCATTGTGCTGTGAGAGTTTAATTCGCTTTTATGTTGATTGTGATGATTGTAGTTGGTACGCTTCCATGAGCAGAAGGACACGGTCTTTGGATGGTGCATTAATTGCAGGAACACTGATGTGCATGCAGCATAAGTGCACAACCTTTCGGATGCACATTCGTAAAGTGAGCAGGAAGTCTGTGCACGAGAAAAAGATGAATTTTGATTCTCTTCCAAAACAATAGAATCCGGTCAATCAGAGTAAAAATTGATCACGCCAGGGGTCGAACCTGGAATCTCTTGATTCGTAGTCAAGCGCCTTGCCATTGGGCCACGCAACCGGTTATGTTAGTGAAATGGATCAATGTATATACAAAGTTCACGATAAGAGCAGTAGTACGAGCTGTTTGCAACAATTGGCTAAGAGAGGAAGCCAAATCGTGTAACGCAACCCTGTCGCATGATCCATGTAGATCACAGATCCAATCGTCCTAGTGAATGCTTTGTGCAGTTGAACGTTTCCTCCAGTCTTTCCCCGGTGATGTGTGTTGTCGTCTGTCTGCTCGTTTGTGCTGCTGCTATGTGTGACCCTGGCACGCCAAGAAAATACTTTACGCGGGTCAGAGGCAGGCGCGTCTCTCGATTCGTTTCGCGTCATGTCGCTGCAAGTCATTCTAGCCATCTACATCACTCTTCAACAACCACATCGCAATGGCTCTTCTCGTAGACAAACACCGCCCACGCTCTTTAGAGACATTGACATATCATCATGATCTGTCCGAACGTCTGCGATCATTGGTGAGCAGCTTCATACAGCGACGGCGAGATGGCACTGACGTCTTCATAGNNGCCCAAAGCGGAGACTTCCCACATCTTCTGATCTACGGACCTTCCGGAGCGGGCAAGAAGACGAGAATCACAGCTACCCTGCGCGCACTTTACGGACCTGGTGTAGAAAAGATCAAGATCGACAGCCGAGTCTTCCAGACAACGAGCAACCGCAAGCTCGAGTTCAACATTGTCTCATCCAACTACCATCTCGAGATAACACCTAGCGATGTGGGCAACTATGACCGTGTTGTTGTGCAAGACCTGCTCAAGGAGGTTGCGCAGACGCAGCAAGTCGATGTGGCGGCCAAGCAACGCTTCAAGGTTGTTGTCATCAATGAGGCAGACCATCTCACCAGAGACGCCCAGGCTGCCCTGAGAAGAACAATGGAGAAATACAGTCCCAACCTGCGCTTGATCCTCCTGGCCAACAGTACGAGCAATATCATTGCTCCTATTCGAAGTCGTACCTTGCTTGTCAGAGTTGCTGCACCCACCGAAGAAGAAATCTGTACAGTCCTGGCTCAGGTCGGAAAGAAGGAGGGCTACACACGCTGCGAGGGTCTTGAGAAGAGGATCGCCAAAGAGAGCTACCGCAACTTGCGTCGTGCTCTGCTCATGTTCGAGGCTGTCCATGCTCAAAAGTATCAAGCCCACTGAGCATGCCTATTTCCTCCATGCTAATCCATCACANGTGACCAAGTCACCGAGAAGACACTCATCCCACCTCCAGATTGGGAAGCACTCATCTCTCAAGTTGCTGACGAGATCCTCGCCGAGCGCAGCCCTGCCCGCATCCTACAGGTCAGAGCTAAGCTCTATGATCTGCTTACCCATTGTATTCCAGCCAGCACCATCTTGAAGACACTGACCTTCAAGTTGATACCGAAGATCGACGACGCTCTCAAGACTGAGATTATCAAATGGTCGGCTTTCTACGAGCATCGTATCCAGATGGGCACAGTAAGCGACGCCTTTGTCCCGGCTATCCATCCTCGATACTGACATGCGACAGNNAAATACATCTTCCATCTGGAAGCTTTTGTTGCCAAGGTCATGCGCATCGTTGAAAGGCAAGTACCCACGATCATCTTTTACTCAGGTCAAGATCTTCGTTGCTGACTTGCTCCGTNNAGCCACCTCATGGGTATGGATTTCGATGATTGAGTCCAGCATTCCCGATCGAGCAAGACTCTTTTCTTCACTTACTCATAGAGAGTGTTTTGCGCCTTGAGGAAGATTCGACCAGCCACCAAGTTACACCTGCTCCACAATATCTTATACTTGACTCGACCGCTTCGTGCAAGTGATTACAGACGCCAGTAGAAAGCTGATTCGGCCTTTCTATGGAGCGTCGCATAAAAGGAACCCCGATATCGCATCATCCCGACGACGAGTCACCTCGTTTTCTACCGGCCGAGATATGGAGGCGGTCGTAGCTTCTGCTCGTCTGGCTCTTGACAGAGCATAGAACATAATTCTTACATAGCTTGACGTTAGCAATGACATTATGATCTTAATTGAGATAGGCGATGATGTCGAAAGTTCTCCAGATCTCAGCCCGGTCGCATGGAACTTGTCGAACCAGAATCTGTATAGCACCGGCTGCCCGGGTCACGCATGTACGTTAGTCGATCGATCTTGTCATGAGCATTGTCAGGCTCGAGATCAGAAGCAACAAGATCTGCCCATGACAGGTGAAAGCCCTCGCGTGTCTTATGAAATCGGGAAGGATTTGCGACCCTCGGTTTCACGAGAAGCCGCAAGCAATAGACAAGCGCCACCGAGCATGGCATCGTCTGCGTGGAGATGACTAGAAAGAAGTTTGCCCCTTATCGCGTGCATCCTCTGTCGTCGCGAATCTCCAAGTTTGCGACCCAGGGTCTCGGTCGCCGAGGAAGGATCCGGGAACGAGGTGGTTTGCATATCACTTGGGACTCTTCATACGAAGGTACAATACGTACGAACGCATCAACGTTGAGTTGGGTTGAAGCCGACCGAAAGCACATGCTGATCTTCCGTGCTTCTCGGTTCTTGACTCCCGAGAAGCTGAAACAGCGATATCTGGGCGTTGATGTTGGCGATAGGGCTGGTTGTTCAATGAACTTCTGCCTCCAGCCTCAAGCCTCGAGGTCTCGCGAAAAATGGGGTCTACTGCTCTGCCGTGCTTATCATCTTCTGCAACCAATAGGACACTCACGGGACTGACGTCTTCCCCTGCCGCGTGTTGTATGGCTTATGTGAAGTCATGATTGGCAATACTCGAAGCTCGTAATCTCGCCTAAAGAATCTGATAGGCGTTTTGGTGAGTCTTCTCGAATGGCCCTAGCAAAACTCTAGTTGGCGAATGAACTGCATCCTACACGCTTCACAGCTCCACCATCTCTTATCCACATGGCGGCTTTTGGCAAAGAGCACGGTTCCTTTTGGCATGGGTGCTATTCTGCGAGCCCTGGGAATTCCTTCCGAGATGCTTACCTGTGCTCTGGCGCGTACTTGTACGGTCGGATCCCCGGAGGAAGTGCCTTGGTTCTGCTCATCTATACAATCAAGACCAGACAGAAACATGATCTTTCTGCTTTTTTGACTACCATTTACAAGGGTCCAAACTAGCATGATCTCTCCGCAAGAGTGCTCGACCTAACTCCAGGTTTCATTAAGCATATCTACAACTCCCGCTGTCATTGTACGAGCTCGGTCCTGGAGAACGAAGTTCTTACCTAACCAACACCGGAGCACGCCGACACCCTCTACACAACTACCCAAACATGGGGGCTTTTTCTCTCGAGTTCCAACATGATTTGCAAAAAGAGTCCTGGGCATTATACGCACTAGGTATAGTGGTTATTGCTCTCCGCATGTTCGTCCTCAATGTTCATTCTGCTTGGACCAATGCTTATTGGTTCTTGTCTAGTTTTGCCAGGGTTAGGAAGCTTGGTCTTCGGCATCTGGAATTCGATGACTACCTGATCTTGGTGGCTGCTGTCTTCTACACAATTCTGATATTGACATTGAATCTTACGGCACAAGGCGGTGGCAGCGCACTTGCTATGCCAGGGGAAGATGTATTCGCACTCACCGAAAAACAGGTCAAGGACCGGCAGAGAGGAGCCAAGATCGATTTGGTGGCTGAACAGGCGATGCTCAATGTCATCTGGATCTTGAAAGTATGCACACTGAAGCTATACAGTCGTCTCACGTAAGTGTGCTATAACTCGGGCTTGACTTTATACTGATCACAACCAGAANTGGGCTTGAGACAACAAATTGCAGTCAAAATTCTTGCCATCTACGTTGCTATCGGCTATGTAGCATGTCAACTAGCGTTCTTCCTCGAATGCCGACCGTTTACGAGTTACTGGCAGATCGCTCCTTCTCCACCACTGAATTGCATGGTCCTGTATGACTATGCTATTGTTCAGGCAACCTTCAACATCTCGTCAGACATTTTTATGCTTGTGATCCCTTTCCCACTGATCTTGCAAGTCTCCATTGTTTTCAAGCAAAAGCTCATCCTTTTGGTTAGTACTTTCCTGTATGACAACTGAGGAAGCCACTAACACGTCCCAAGTNGCGTTTTCTCAATGGGCATCTTTGTCATTATCGCAGCCACTCTCACAAAAGCCGAGTTCTTCAAATCGGTCTATGCAGAGGACTATATGTTCTGGTACACAAGAGAGGCCTCGGTGGCTGTCTATGTCTCAAACCTGCCTTGTGTATGGCCTCTTCTCCGAGAAGCTCTGCCGGCACTCAAGAGCTGGACACCAGGCTTCGTCAGCAGCTCGGCCTACAGACGGCGCGGCGCTAGCACTACAGGCCTCACAGCCCGCACACGCACGCGCAACACCCAAAAGAGCAATCTAGGACTCTCCAGACGCTCCATGGACGATTTCCACGCCATCATCGAGCCCACACGACCGCTGGAGGCAAAGACAACGACGAATGTGCACACANAAGAGATTCAACACTACAACAACCATATCCGCAGCACGAATCGGGGCAGCAGCAGTGAGTCGAGTATTGATGACTTGCCCATGCATGGCATTATGGCGTCGACGACGATTGAAATGTCGGTTATGGCTTCCGATCGCAAAGACGATGATCGTGATGATGCTTCTCAGTCTTCGACTCGAGCGTTTGCTCGTGATCTAGAGCAAGGGTTCCCGCATGCGCGCTGAGTCAAGCGCCATCTCTTCTTTTGCCACTCTCTTTCCATCACTCTCTTGATATAGAGAATCGTTATACAGCAGTCGGACAACGGGAACAAAGATCGGCAGAAACAGTCTGGTTCTGGATGGACTCTAAATTCTTATAAACTTTGATATATAGATACCCTTTTCTTTACTTCTCCGTGTACATACTTACTTTCCCTTCGGAACTATAACCAAATGCGCTCCATGACCTCACTTGTGTCTCTTACCATTCTATCTAAGCTACCAAAATGGACGGTTCTAAGTAACCATGAGCCAGGAGCCCAACTCGCATTTCGAGAAAACTTGATGGAAATGGAAAGAGCAAAAGAGGCTTGGGCATCCTTAACAATTTGTTCGCTTGATGGACGCATGTGATAACTTTATACGACGGTAAAGTGCGAACTGTCTCATACAAATAAATTTTTGGCATCTCTCAGCAGAGGAAATGATGATAATTCTTACTTCTGTAAGTTCGACTTTGGTTTCGGGGGTTTCTTCTTTTGGGTCACCGACACTGCCTTTTACATCATCATCATCGCCCTCGCATCCGCGCAAGCCGTCCTCGCTATCTTCTTCAACTGCGCCTTATGTTCCGCCTCGCGATACATGTCCCAATGATCCAACCCCTCCTTGGCCTCGATACTCAACGTCTCATACCCTTCCTTGATAATCTTTTGCACTTCTCTCGGGCTCAGATTCTTGGACTTGCCCTTTTGGCTTGCAATCATATCGCTGTAGTGCTTAGATACATGCACCAGAATGTTCATTGCAGCTGCCGTTTCGCCTTTTTGTAGAGAATAGGCGTCGCGGAAGGAGAGTAGTGAAGGGCCGAATTCAACGAGTTTGTAGGAAATGTCGTCGTAGCTGGCTGTGTCGGGAAGGAAAGTATCGCCATTTGTGAGGGAGAGGGAGAGGAGGCAGGTTAGGGTGTGGATTAGTTCGTCTATGCGGTGGAGGGAGCGTAGATCATCGGCGTAGATGGTGAGGAAGCGAACAAATGCTAGGAGTGATCGCCAGAGCTCTGGCCAGTGATANTGCTGTTTTTGGGGAGTCAGCCAATTGCTGGGTATGGCATATGATGCATGTTTCCACTTACTCAGACGTATTCTTGCTTTGCTGAGGTATGTGACGAGGCGCAAGAGGATACCGACATTCAGCATGTACAACTCGACATCAAGCTTTTTCCGTAGGTTGTGGTTGATGCTGTCAATCATGATATCGATGACGTTTGCAGCAAGTGTGCGGTCCCCGGGGACCAAAGGCAGCTGCGGCGGTCGTTGACGGCTCAGACGTATTGGCATAGTCGTTTCGCACATCTTCTTCACAACATCCAGATCCTCGACTAGGTTTTGTATCGTAAACAAAGTGAGGTGAGCATACTGTGTCGCCCTTTGTGAGCGATAGGCGTGCTGATACAGGTATGAGCAGAAAGAGAGATATTGAGCTATCGGTGAACTCTGTGTCTTGTCCTCAGTGTATGCTTGAACAAAGTCTGCGCTGAAAGACTTGTTGGCAACCACAAAGTCATAGATTGTGAGTAGTGTTCCTGCTTGTGGTTGCGGCTGTTCAGCAAACTTCGCTTTCATCTCGTCTTCGGTGGGTGCAGGAGCTGCAGGCTTTGCACCGGCAAGAGCTCCAAGACCAATGTAACTCAAGGTGCCTCCAATACTCCAGACTTCTGGAACATCGTCCTGGATGGCGATGTACTGATCTCTCAGGAACACGCAAGTGCCTTCGATTGATTTGCAGATTTGAACGATCGTCTCGCGGTTGACGAAGTCGGCAAATCGGGCGTGATAAGGATTGTAAATTTCGAACTTATTGTAGTTCGCCAGGAGTCCTGCTAGAAGAAGTGGATGTGCTGCGTCCAGTGGATCTTCTAGGTCATGGATGAGCNNTATTGCTATTAGTAAAGGTCGCAATGAATTTGTTCTTATACTCACTCTCATCAAGGCAGGAAAGAAGTCTCGTTGTGTAAAGTATGTGAGTAGACCTGTTTGGAAGGCCCCTGAGGCCACGCAAAGAGCCACTTGTACGGCTTTCTTTTGTATGCGTACTACTGTAGATTAGATATAGTCATCTAACTTTGATCAATATGCCGTACCTGTCTTTCCAGAGCTGATGGTAGTGTCCAGTACCGTCACAAGATCGTTAAAAACAGTATCGACGTTATCGAGTCCGGCTAGCACTTCAATGATATCTGAGCTAGGATTCGTGTATTTCTTCGAAAACACTTTGGTGAGAAAGACTGTCAAGTTNCTGAGTCGTGAGTGGAGAGGAACGTGGAAATCAAGAATATTACATACATCAAGAGCATTCTCGTCTGAAGGCGATGACCCAGATTTGGCATACTTGATAGCGTGGGAGACGAACTGTTCGCAATGATGCTGTTACAGGTCAAATCATAGCTCTACGCCAGCAGTTCCAGAGATTCATACCGAAACTTGTAATAGATCTATCGCTTCCAGGTCGTCCAGTATCTGTCCGAAGCGTGCGTTGTCTGGTTTCAGGAGAAAGAATTCCCTCCAGAAGCCTTCTGGCTTGTTGTCTTCATCACGATCCTGTCCACTTGATTAGTAAAGTCTTCAAATGTCTTCTCCAAATCAGACTCATACCCTAATAAATTGACGATAGAGCTGTACGACCTTGGGTTCGAACGTCTCAGGGCGTGATTGTTGTGTCAACGGTGATTGCTCCATACTGGCTCTCGACGTGACTTTGAGACTTTGCCCTTTGCGCAATCATACAACGAGCCACACGCGCAATGGAATAATGTCAAATCAGATCGAAAGAAGATTTAAAGACAACACTCGTCGACTGACGAGTTGTTTATTGTAATCTCAAACCGCCTAGCTTGTGCCAAGGCCACGTCAGCACAGCCAGCTTCGTGCACCCAAGGCCGACAACCTGTCAATCTCGGCATCAACATCATAAGGCATCGATGAGCGCATCAGGGAACAAGGCGGTGCTGATAGGTGTGAGCGGTGTATCATCGTCAGGAAAGACAACTCTCGCCCGGCTGCTCAGAGATATCGTGCCGAACACATTCATTCTGCACGAAGACGACTTCTACAAGACAGACCAAGAGATACCGGTCAACGAAGATGGAGTACAAGACTGGGACTGCCTCGGATCACTTGACTTGGACTTGCTAGAGCAGGCTCTCGACTTTATCAAAACGCATGGATATCTACCGCCAAATCTAGAGTCCAAGGAGGACAAGAATGCTGTGGGTGAATCTGGAGTCGACAGACAACGGGTGGCAGAACTCAAAAAAGCAGCGCGCAAACAGCTGGACGTAAAGTCTGATGTGCCGGTCTTCATTATTGATGGGTTCCTGCTCTTCTCACAAGACATGCGACACATCCGAGAACTGTTCGACATCAAACTATTCCTCCGAGCGGATCACAAGACGGTCAAGCAACGACGAGAAGCCAGAACAGGCTATGTCACGTTGGAAGGGTTCTGGGAGGATCCGCCCGGTTACGTTGATTCTGTGGTTTGGGCAAACTATGCCAAGGACCATGGCTTTCTGTTCGAGGATGGAGATGTAGAGGGCAAGTTGAAAGACGACCTCTGCGAAGAGTTGAGGATCGATACGGCGCCTCTGCAAGTACAAGGCAACATGACGGCATGTGTAGACTGGGCCTTTGACAGGATACTGAGTCACTTGTCTAAAAGAACAGCAGGGGACTAGATTTGGAGAGAAGGGATGGAGAGGGAAGACGGGGTGGAGTTGGACGTTTGGCTATCGGTGACGAGATGAAGGTTCGAGGATCGACGAATAGATGAGAGCTGTATAGAAGCGTCTTTTTATGCCTACGCATATGTTTCGGGAGGTCGAGTTTGAACAAAGTGAAGGCAGTTGCCGGATCGGGAACGAGGAAGTTGCGGCGGGGCCAGCGTCGCGTGGCCAAGGAAGGAAGGCTTCTCTTCAGTGACGATTTCTTCCTTTGCGCGACCTGCTCCTTCCCTCTCACTCTTGCCAACTCGCACTTTCCTTGCTTCGTCCTGCTTTGATTCTTGACGCGCGCAGTCTTGACAACCAAGGCCATCCATACGAGCCACTTCTTCAACGCGATTCAAGGTTGCGACAGCATGGCCGGTCAAGCCGACATCTCGAGCATCCTGGCCGCTCTGGGTACGTGTTTCACCTCCCTCGACTCGAGTATAGCTCGACTAACAAACATTGCAGCTCAGCGCCCTGCCTCCAACCCTGCTCAACCTCAGCAACACCAAGGACCTCCTCCTGGTGGCATGCCTCAAGGCTATCCTCAGAACCTCGGTCCCGCCCAGATTCCCACTCCTACACTCGCCGGCTTCCCTCTCCCGCAGCCATCCAGCTCCGGCAGTGTCGACCTGAGCGCAATTCGTCCCGTCAACACCGGCTCCGTCAGCATTGCCGAAGCCATTGCGAAGGCCAAGAGCATCGCTGCTGATCGCGGCATCTCCTACGATAACCGGCCCCAGCAACAAATTCATCAACAGCCCCCGCGCGGCGACCCTCGTCTCGCCGGCAGACAACCTTATCAGCAGTCCAGATCCCGCTCGCGCTCGCCTGCTCGTCGCGATAACTTCCGCGGCAATTTTAACCCCTACCGCGATGAGCGCCGTGACGCAGATCGCAGAGACCGTGGCTACAACAACAACCGTGACAGGTCCCAATCTCCTGGCCCCCGTGGTGGAAGAGGAAACTTCTCGCCTGGCCCTGGCCCCCGCAACCCTCGCTCTCCTACTTCGCGCGCTGCTCCCACGGACAGTGATACCATTTCAGTCAAGTCCGCCCTCGTCGGTCTGATCATTGGTCGCAATGGAGAGAATCTGCGACGCGTCGAGTCCGAGAGCGGCGCTCGCGTCCAATTTATCCCAGCCAAGGAGCCCAATGCTGTCAACCGTCAATGCACCATCTCTGGACCCCCACAAGCTCGCGAAATCGCAAAGCAGGAGATTTTCCGTGTCATGGATGAGAACGGTGGCAGCGTCCCTCCAGAGCGCGGTCCCGCTATGGGCCGCCCTCAGCAGCCCATGATGCAACAAAGAGATCAACAACCTGCTTTGCGCGAGGGCGAGAACAGTGTTCAAATCATGGTTCCCGACAAGACAGTCGGTCTCATCATCGGCCGCGGCGGCGAGACCATCCGTGACTTGCAGGAGCGTAGTGGTTGTCATGTCAACATCGTCAGCGAGAACAAGAGCATCAATGGCATGCGTCCTGTCAATCTAATCGGCTCGCCCGAAGCTGCTCGTATCGCAAAGGAGATGATTCTTGAAATCGTCGAGAGCGACGTCCGCNCCCCACCCGGCCATCCTGGCCACCAACCTGCTCACCAGGACTCCCGAGGACCTGCACCCTTTGACCCTTACCGTGGAGGTATGAGCAACGAGCGTCCTGGGAACGACAAGATTACCGAAGAGATCTACGTGCCGTCAGAGGCAGTTGGTATGATCATCGGCAAAGGCGGCGAAACTATCAAGGAAATGCAAGCCACCACTGGATGCAAAATCAACGTCGGCCAACCCGAACAGCCCGACGTTCAGCGCCGCATAGGTTTGGTAGGTAGCCGCTCTGCCATTGACGAGGCAAAGGGCGCCATCTGGGAAAAGGTCGATACTGTGGTAAGTGTCAAGTGCAAGCTGTAGATATGCAGACCGCTAACCATCATTCAGCAACAACGTGATCGCAATGGTGGTGCAAGAGAACAACGTGCTCCTCGTAATGATTATGGTGGTAACAACCAATACTCACAGCAGCCCCAGCAGCAGGCTTATGGACAACCCATGGGTGGTGCTGCTCAAGCCATTGCTCAAGTCATGTCCGGCACGCCTCAGCAAGCACCTCCAGCTGACCCCAACGCGGCTGATCCATATGCTCCTTACGGTGGTTACCAAGCTTACTGTGCTATGTGTAAGTCAAATTGAATGTATATGCTCAAGAGATTTTGCTAATCATGTTTCCACTTTAGGGTATGCTGCTCTTGCTCAGAACGGGCAGGGTGGACAAGGTCAACCTCAAATGCCGCCCCAATAGAGCGGCTCATTGCTTTGACACCGTGATCGCGTGACGGTCTGATCGCCATGCCTGGACCATCACGCCCATGACTATGATCTTGACGACGACAGCCCACAACTGCATCTATTGCCTATAGGTCTGCCTGATGCCGTTTTCGATGCTGGTAGACATGCGTGACACGCTGCGCTTCACATGCCTGGTCTTGATGTCGTCTGTTCCTGTCTCCTGGATTTGACCCACCTCCCTCATCTTTGAGTGCTTGACATAAGCGTGGATCTGTGACAGACCTAGTGGCATTCTTGCGTGCTTTGACGACTTCTCATTGCTCATGCTTCTTCATTCATCGTGGCTGATTTCCATCGTGGAACAATGATTCTGGATCAATCTGGATTGTGGACTTTTGTCAGTTGACCTGCACTCGTACTCGATTTTGTGCCTTGGTCATGCATGATGTTCTTATGTCAACGCCGCTTGGACAATGTCTCCATCCCATCGTCGAACCTTCTGGACATCATATATCATCGCCCGTCATGATTGATGTGCGATCAATCCTGGTGACATGGCGTTGACCACTATGCCTATTCATGCATGAAGTCTCTCACATCGATGAAGCGTACAATCTTCATCGGCGTGCATCGCGGTCACATCTTGACATTTTCCATCATCCTCTTGTCTTTTTTGACCATTGCCCTTCTGTTCTGTATTCTAGCAAATCAATGATACCACTCATGTTCCTCTTCTCTCTTGACTACATTGATGTGTCGCGTGTAGTATATAGTGGCCTCGATTTCCTTGTGTTTCCTCCACGGACGACACAATTACAGGATGCATAGTTCATCACGCGGAAGTATCATGCTCCGAATCGTGTAGTGAGTGTTGGTAACAAAGTCTTGGGGAACTTGCAAACGGAAGTCACAGCTTTTGCTCTGGATAGCCTATATGGAGCAAGCTCGATCAGTGTACTTCAATGAAGCACAAGGAGCTCTCTCGGTGCATGGCCGATGTATTCTCCGTACCAAAAACCGCTATGACTCTACATACTACTCGTTGTTGCTCGATACACAGAGGGGTGAATTGCTAAGACCGGGTCGCACCCACAACAATAAATTTATCTTTATTTTTCTTCCTTAATTTCTTATCTTCAGGGTTCAAGGCGACCGACCCACAACGTTCGAAAACCATTCGGGAAGGACTTTCAATCTCAATGAACGTGTCAGTGCTCCCAGATCCTAAACTACAAATATCTCGAGCGACAGGAGTTCGATTTTAACGAAACTTGGTTCAAAATATTCACAACGCCTGGTTGTATATTTTGACAAGCTTTGGCGATAGTAAACCGTTCTGGTGTTGGGAAATTCGGTGTTGTCAAAAGTTCGGGCCTGACACGTTCATTGAGAGGGACTTGTTCGGGATCTCAGAATGTGGCTTCGCTTGGCGACAATTCAGGAAGGAGGCTGTTTTAGTTTTGATAACTGGCGAGAGTCGCTAATGGAATATCATCATGCTTAAAGTTATCCGAGTCGGTGATGCTAGAAAGATGGTTGTGGTGTTAAGCGCGACACTCCTGCTTCCAGTCGGAGAGAAGGAACAGTCTTTCTGTAAAGAAAGATCCTCGAGATTCGAGAAGCATTCGGCATCGAGGCTGCCAAAAGACCTTTGTGATCGCCGTTACATGCTGCCAAGTGGGCTACTTTTACCGAGGAAAACTCTGCGGCGTTCCTTGGGATGCTTGTCCCCATGCTTGACTTGCTTGTCAGCTGTCGTGTCCAACCTCGAACATCTTCTCGGAATTCCATTGATCAATCAGAAAACAGCGCAAGGTTACAATTGATGTTCTCTTGCAAGCAAGATGTTCCTGCCGCACATTGTTCGCTTTTGGTCTTGCGCTCCAATTCGAAAAGTATGTTCAGGGTTCAAGATCCTCGTACGTAAAGAAATCTGGACTGGAGCTTTGACCTGGTGGGCGGCCGCGCGCGCCCAACATGCTTTGCGGCAAGTACTCGCGTGGGAGAAAAAAGTGGTCGTCTCCGCCATCAAAAGATACAACAGTACGGAGGAACACCCTACTGTTCTCGATAGACAAACATACGTGATTGGATGGATGTCATCTTATCTGAGAGGCAAGCAGGCAGGTAGGCTCCTCCCGCCTCGAATAAGCACAAAACAACCCTCTCGCTTCAGACCGACCCGGACCACGCCGTCTTATCAAAGCTCGTGTCTAGACACGCACGGAAGATCTTGAACCGGAGGGAAACGTGAGCGTTTTTGTCGCGAAAATTGGGGGCGCGCTTCCACTTATCTAGCCGGCGCCCTGGCACACAATCATTTTTCCCATCGGCGAGCTGCGAAACCTCTTACTTATAACCTGTAGGACCTCTCCGACAGTTTGTCAGAGAAATCCCAGCTTTGCAGCCCACCCCAATTTCTTTTACCTGACCGTTCGCCCTCTCATCTCGCCATCTCGCGACTTTGCGGTGAACTGCGCCAGCCTACCCCATACTCTTCGGTGAAGTCCTAAGGCTGTACGCACTTCAGAGATGTCGCACGTTCAGGATCTGGAGAAGAACCCCGTGGAGTCCGGTGTTGGCAGTGTCCCTTCATCGGGAGATTACCCGTACGACGATGCTGCTGTCCCTGGGGAGAGCTTCGAGTATGGCGACGGCTACTATGCCAAGTTGCAGCGTCTGGCCGGCAAGTTCAACATCGAGCAGCGCGGCATTGAGCGCGTACCCGAGAATGAGAGAACCGAGACTGGCATCAGGGCCTTGTTGAACGTTATGACAATGGTGAGAACTTGAGGCATTCGCTGAAACGAGCGAACCTCTTACTGACCATACCTTCCAGNNTGGCTCTCAGCAAACATGGTCGTTTCGTCGTTCGCCATTGGTATGCTTGGACATTCGACGTTCGAGACTGGATTTGCCGATGGCATCCTGTGTATCCTCTTCTTCAACATCATTGGTATTATTCCGGTGTCGTTCTTCTCTGCTCTTGGTCCTCAGTTCGGTCTCCGCCAGGTTTGTAGCACGTGTCATGACGAGTTTTCTGCTCAAAATACTGATTTTGACCNNCAGATGGTCCTTTCGCGATTCTGGTTTGGATGGTGGGGCGTGAAGCTCATCGCCATTTTCAACGTGATTGCCTGCATTGGCTGGTCCTCGGTCAACTCCATTGTTGGCGCTCAGCTTCTCAATGCCGTCAACGATGATGTTCCAGGATGGGCTGGTATTCTGGTCATCGCTTTCTGCACCTTTGCTGTCACCCTCTTCGGCTACAAGATCGTTCACATTTACGAGTTTTGGTCCTGGATCCCCACCTTTATCGTCTTCTTGATTCTGATCGGTGTCTTCGCTCACACTGGCGATTTCTACAACATTCCGTGGAGCACTGGCCAGGCCGAGTTGGGTCATGTGCTCAGTTTCGGTGCTACCGTCTATGGCTTTGCTACTGGTTGGACCTCGTACGCTGCCGACTACACCGTCTACCAAGCTAGCACACAGAAGCGTTGGAAGGTCTTCCTTGCAACCTTCATTGGTCTGCTCTTCCCTCTTCTTTTCACTCAGATGCTCGGTTTGGCCGTCATGACCGCTACAGAAATCAATGCTGGCGACAACATCTACGCTAAAGGCCTCGCGAAGTCACAAACTGGTGGTCTAATCGGTGCTGTCCTGATTCCTCACCTTGGCGGATTCGGAAAGTTCTGCCTTGTTATTCTTGCTCTTTCCATCATCGCCAATAACTGTCCCAACATTTACTCTGTCGGTCTTACTGTTCAAGTCTTCGGCAAGTGGATCCAGCGTCTTCCTCGCTTCCTCCTCACTGCCATCGCGACTGGCGCATACATTGCCATTGCCATTCCTGGCTACAGCCACTTCGAGTTGGTGTTGTCGAATTTCATGAACTTCATTGGATACTGGCTCGCCATCTACACCGGAGTTGCGTTCGCAGATCATTTTGTCTTCAAGAGATCTCTGGATGCTTACGTTGTCTCTGATTACGACAAGCCTCAGAATCTCGCCATCGGCATTGCCGCCGTCCTTGCTTTCTGCTTTGGTGTCGCCGGTATGGTGACTGGTATGTCGCAGGTGTGGTTCGTTGGACCCATCGCCCTTCACGCTGGCGAAGCACCTTTCGGTGGTGATGTTGGCAGTGCTCTTGGCTTTGCGTTTGGCTTCGTTTCATATCTGTTCTTGAGACCTCTAGAGCTCAAGCTCATCGGAAGGTAGTGAGCCGCCTTTTCGGGAGATTTGCGATTTTGCTTTGCTGTTTTTTATCCGGTTCGAAAAGAATTTATGATTGTTTTTTTTTTGGTTTGAGATGATATCCGAGTCATTCTTTGATGAAAGTGCTCCTTCTTTGTATATAGTTTGAGACGAGTTGTGTAAATACTACTTTTTATGATAATCTACACTGCTCACGCACAGCTCTCTCGGGATGCTTCCGTTTCATCAGGAGAACGTGCATCTTCAAGGCCACCGCGTGACATTGTCCCACAGATCCACTATCATCGAAACCGCGGATTTCATTTCGGAAGCGCCAAGATCTAATATTATCCCGCAAGACTATATATCCCCATTCATCTACCAACAAGCTAGCACCTTTCTTTCACACTCATACACACTCTTCTGTCGCCTGCGCATATCCTCCTAAGCTTCACGCAGTATACAAAAACGTTTCTGCTCTCCAACCTGTGAACTTCAAAGGCGGTCAACACTATTTTGGATCCCAACGTTACTTTCAACTCCAGGACTACTTTTAGCCACACGAGGATGGTCAACGATAATTTCCACCCCTTTCCGCGTCTACCTCTTGAACTTCGCGAGGAGATATGGCGCCTCTGCCTGCCGCATCGGGTGATTCAAATGGACGAACCTGACTTCAGGATGGTCTACGATGTCGACGAAGGGGAAGATGTTCCCTGTACGCTCTATTCAACCAGTAGAAGCAATGCTCGCCCGCCGTTACTCACGCGAATCTGCCGTGAGTCGCGCAGAGTCGCCTTTGCTGCAGGAAAATGGGTTCCGAAGCTGGAATGGCGAGGAGCAGGCAGTTTTGACGGACCGCGCGAAGCCGATTGGGAGACCGGCAACGTTATAGACCGAGGTTTCTGGGAGGATGCTTCCCGTGACTCTACGCATATGATGTGGACCGCAATCTATGACATAGACTTTGGCCCTCCGATATCTGGTCACCCTTTGACTACTTTGGCCCAGGAAGCGAAGCGTCTGAATGGATCGGCATCTTTCATGCTAGACGAAATGACTATTGGTATAGGGGAGGGAGAGCCCTTTGACGATCCTATACCTCAGTTGTTTGACAAAATACCCTTGGACAAAGGCAGGCCGGATGACCTAGCGGCACTGAAGCTACTGCCAGAATGGATGGTAGTTGTGAGAGTGGTCGTTATACACCTCGACCTTAGACGAGCTGCCGACAGCGGTCTGTTTGGGCTGTTAGGGGACGAAATTATACAAGTGGTGGACGCCGCTTCGCCGTTGGTTTCGCAGCTCTATGAGTTAGCTGAGACATGTGAACGTGGAGCTTCCGCCGTCACCTGTGCTCAGGACTTTACTCGAATGTCTGCAGACGACATGGACGCCATGGTGAAGCGTGTAGCGTTCAAAACTTTCCACGACCCCGAGATAGGCAAGCGCCTGCGGCTAGCAATCATGTTTAGGCTGTGTACACAGATGTGTAATCACATCAACACGCCGAAACAGGAGGAGCAAAATGTCTAGACTAGACATGGTGGGACGAGATGGAGCCCAGGCTGCACGGTGTAGGATGCACGGTGTAGGATGCACAAAATGTGCGTGAGACTCTCACGTATAAGGAACTCGACTGGGTGTACAGGCTAGCCACTTCAATATCGCAACATTCAGACTCACGATATCTCTATAACCATGCAATCGTTGTCCTAGCCGATCACTCAAATTAGGCTCGATGTGGCTTTCTCTCATGCGTAGTTCCTGGATTCCATAGAATAAGTATGTGTTGCGAATTTTCGCAAGGTATCTATCAGCAATGTTTGCTCTGTGAAGGCAAGCCGGCATTTGACAAAGAACACAGTTAAATAATCACCTATGCACATGGTATCTACTATAGGTTTACCACATGTGAAAAATCATAACAGGCGTGGTTCTGCTATGGTTGACACGCGAATCCAAGGACTTGTTCTTTCCCATCATGTGATCGTACAGAGGGTTCATGTACGTTTAAGTTTGTTGTATAGATGTATAGCATAACAAAGGTGCACGACGCTGTTGTGATTGCGAATATTGCCGTCAACAGTCATCGAAACAACCATTTGCTACCTTCCTACGTGCTGAAATTTGTGACACTCATGCCAGAAGACTCGAGTTCAGCAAAAAAAGTTGTCATTGAGATGGTAATGAATGCCAACTCATGCGGATTATATACGCAGCGCCGCTAATAATTTGTCCAACGCTCTTCCCGCGAGAGCATACAGCGAATGTCTCGTCATCAAAAGGCACAATAAACCCCAGACCGGAAATATCTCCAAAAAGAGCGCGGAATTCATCGCGTCTCGATGGATGAAGTCCCCTCTTTCGAGACTATCATGTCTCAGCTGCAACTACCATACAAACGACTGGCAGCGTCTTGACACGCCATGATGGCGGCGTTATGGTTCTTGCCTTGGTTTCCCTTTTGTGTAAACCACCATTTGTCGAAATCTTCTATCAAGGCAATGACTTTTGGCTTCAAGTCGTCGTGATTAGCCAGCGTCTTGGCACTGTCGAACTCCACCCAAGTCCTTCCGGATACACCCTTGAATTCCTTGGTTTCCACTTTCTAAATTTGAATATCAGCTTCCTGCTGCACGAATGACAAGCAAGCGGAGGACCAGACAACATACCCAATCCAAATTCCTTTTTCCTAGCTCCTTGTTGATTGCCTCAATGCGGCCGCCGGCTTGCTCGGACAAGCGAGCTTCTTTGATGTAGTCCATCATGAGTCTCGCGCTTTTGAGCTGTCCGTCAACATCGCCATCCCCCAATTTCAGACGAGCCGCTTGGATACGATCTGTGATCGCCCCAAAGACTTTTTCCAGCGAGGGCGACTGGCCTTTCGCAACACTCAAATGCGGTAACAGGTTCTCGTGCTTCCAGGCGGTATCGTAGCCAACATTGCGCAGCTGGTCAGCTGCATGCACCGGGTCAGGGGAAAGGTTGTGGCCTATGTCAGTTTCGCCCGTGAAAGTGTTACGATGGATGTGCTTCATCAACTCGTCGAATGTGCAGCTGCCATTGGGGCCTGACCCTCTGCAAGCTGTTGCGATTTCAGTGGCCCCGACGCCGTAAGCCATGACGTCCATTTGGTAGGCGTAATAGACGTAGACATTCTGCACAGATGAATTAGTGATCATGGTCTTCGGCCTTTCATCATTCTTCGACATTCCGACTTGCGACTCTACAAGGGACGAACATCCAGTCAGAAGTCACGGCTACCAGAGTACGGTGGCATTGCAGTGTCATCTGTGCACCTGGCTGTTCCTTTCTCGAAGAGTGTACGTATCGTGTCGTGCAGGAGGACTTGCCTGGTATGGACCTGCTGTCTTGCTGCAACTGACGCCAGTCAGAAAGCAGCATACGTACAGGAGGAGAGCGAGAGGCTGCATAACGAATGGACGATCCGTACACCGGAGCAATTGATGACGGTATGAGGAGCGAATACTCGTGAGCGAAGATGAGGACGACGATTTGTATCAAACACAAAGACGTGCAAAGAGCTCACCATTCTTAAGGGAGTTCGAGACCCTCTTGCTCCATGAGGCGCTGTGGCCTGATACCTTGGGCGCTGCCTGTGTGTAGTATCGGGTGGAGCATTCTGGTACGCCAGCCTTGTAAAACAATCTCGTTTGACTATTAGCGTCCAACATCTCGAGATCACTGTTGAGCCAACATTGACTGGCGCTACAGACTCAACCCACGTCCGACGGGTAGCGTAGTGTAGCGTAGGATTCCACGTCCTTGCAGAAGTATGTTTAATCAAGGACAGTACTGCCAAGCTCGTTGTAAGCAATTTCCAAGCTCACGCTAAACGATGGACGTGGGAGCTGAGTCTGGAGATTGCACAACCCTTGTGTCTTGGCAAGGTTGGGTGTCTCGCTTCGGCAGTCGGTCCGGGTTTCTGCAGTTAGGCAGACCACCTTCGTTCGAAGATGTGAGGTTGATTTTGCCGTCCCGAGGTGTATATCGTGAGTGATATTGAACTGTGCTGATAGCACGGCAGGAATGGAGTACTTGGCAGGGGTCTCCTCTCTTGGCAAAGGGCGGCAGGGTTCTTAGCGTTCATGTATGCATATGAAGTGGATTGTCGTTCTGTGCTTCCAGAGCTTTCGCATCTTCCGCCCTGACTAGGTGGGACGTAGATCTTCTAGTTAGGGTTCACCAAGAGCATAGATTCCACGGCTGCTCTTCCACAGTCCTTCAGAGTCCCGTCTTGCACATCTGTGCCTAGCAGATACTTCGCGTGCTTTTCACACTCTTCAGCATAGGCACAGGGTTTCTTCGGAGCTGATGCATGGCACATACATCTATGCGTCTGCGTGTCATTGCAACAAGTCAGACTGACATCGACGAAGGAAAGTGAATGACTCGAGTGGGGGAAGATGAGACCACAACTCATGGATCAGTCGCGCGCCAAGTGGTTTTTTTGTCTGGTTGCAACGGCCGAGGCTTACTCGCGCACAAGCAACCGACCCAGACCTTTGTACAACCATTTAAATCTATACCACGCCACATGAAATCCTTCGCAGTGCTTAGCTTGTTATGGCCGATAAACGTGCTGTTGCTCTGGACCGCCAAAGTTTCTTGTTCATTTCGTCAAAATCTGAACTCAGCTCTGTGGCGTCGGTGGATAGTATGTTGAGGAACCGCCTTGTCTCTGTTATCTACCACTCGAATGTTGTGGTGAGACTGACACTATACTAGCGAGGCAATCATAGGAAAGAGTGGAGTAAGAACTACTAGGAAAGTATGCAACCAAGGGCAGCGCCTCCTTGGACTTACTCATGCGGCGTAGTGAAACTCACCTGGCAATAACACATGCGGCACAGTAGGATGAGAATGTTGATACGGCCGGGAAACGAACATCACCAGGTTCAAACGACCCACAATGCTCCAGGTCCTTGTCGAATCTCCAAGCGACAGCGTGCTATGCGAGATGAGCCTTTCTTCCAGTGTCTCGGGCACCTTCATTCGAAATTTCCCTCAGAGGCGTGAACACTGGGATATATATCTACGAATTGGCCCAAATCATAAGTCTTCTCATCACAGAATCCAATCTCTTCCGGTCTGTATCACTCCTCAGACGAATTGTCCGGTTTTCGTAAGCTTTCCTCTGCTCTTGCATAACACAACTGATTGAGTCTAACAGGTTTGCGAGACCGCTTGCCTTTGGAGCTTTGTTCTGTCATCCGCTGGGAGATGCACCATCGTCCAACCATCATGAAGTCGTTTATTCTCACCGGCCTCACGGCATGCTCGCTCTTTTCGACAGCCTTAGCAAACGCCTGTCCGAATCCTGTTGTCCTCCCTGACAATGCTTTCAAGAATCGGCAACTATACGCCACTCCATACTACGCTGCCAAAGTTGCAGCATCAGTCAAAAACATTGCGGATCCAGAGCTTGCCAGAAGGGCTGCAATGATTGGAGATGTTGGAACTTTTATGTGGATGTTTGTATAATTTTTTCTGAGTTTGAGAGATGATATACTGATTGTTTGACTTGACAGTGATCAGAAGGCAGTTATCCCGACCATAGATGCCATGATCAAAGGCGTTCCTTGTACGCACATCATCGGTCTTGTTATCTACGATCTTCCAGGTCGCGACTGTGGTGGAGATGCTTCCGGTGGAGAGTATGACACTGGAGAACTTGATCGTTACAAGGCTGAGTACATCGACCGTATGTTACGCAGATCCTCAGCTCGACAAGACCTCAGCTAACATCCTGGCGGTCTAGCTCTTCGAGAGATCTTTCTCGCGAATCCAAACACTGCTATTGCTCTAGCGATAGAGCCCGATTCTCTCCCTAATGCGATCACTTCTTTGATTCACCCAAGATGTGCCGCTTCAGTACAGGAATACAAAGATGGCATCGCCTATGCGCTCAAACAATTCGATCTTCCGAACGTTGTTCAGTACATTGATGCAGGCAACGGAAACTGGCTGGGGTGGGACCCAAATGTTGGTAAGCATTAATCATCTCTTTGCGTTCATATATCGTCAAGGACTTCGACTTCTAGGTTTCCCCACTGATCTTTCAGCTTGAAATTCATCGCTGACACTCAACAGNCACCTGCTGCCAAGGTCATCGCCGATGTTTGGAAAGCCGCTGGAAAGCCGAAATCCTGCAAAGGTATTGTAACAAATGTCTCGAACTGGAACGCATGGTCTATGAATCCAGGAGAGTTCGAGAATTTCAAGGATGCACAATACAACAAAGCGCAGGATGAGAAGCGATACATCCACATTCTCGGCGAGCAGCTTGCAGCCAACGGTATGCCAAATCACGCCATTGTTGATACCAGCCGCAATGGGCGCGTGGGGATGCGCACCTATGGTGGCAACTGGTGCAATGTGAAGGGCGCCGGCTTTGGAATCCGCCCTACTAGCGAGACAGATGATGATCTGTGCGATGCATTTGTCTGGGTCAAGGTAGGTGGAGAGAGTGATGGTGGTAGCGATCCTTCACTCCCTGGATACGATCCAACCTGCGCCAATGCTGATGGTAAGTGCAAACATGCAATGGTCTACATCGTGCTGATGACTAATATTCTGATTTACANNGCCTTCATCCCCTCTCCGCAAGCCGGAGCATGGAACCAAGCCCAATTCGAGCAGCGTAAGTGACCTAGGGCGGATTCTTTCCTTCTCCAGCTTCGTCGACAAGATTCTAGCTTCTGTTCATATGCAAGAGTTGACTCACGTTTCTTCACAGTGGTTGAAAACATCATTCCGGATGAGTACACGACGGATGGAAAGTGCCATGGCAACATCTTCTGCGGATCGTGGGCCGGGGGCTCCTGCTGTTACAACGGCCAATGTGGAACGATGTGTGATGCATCAGCTGGCTGTTCATCGGGCTGTACTGCTCCACCAGCTTCCGATTCTCCTACGACAACACCAGTCGATACTGACGACAACGACGACGACGACTTCGGGCCTGATGATTACGTCCCATGCGATTACACCCTGAAGTTCGACAATCTCGACGATCTCAATGCAGCTTCCGATGGGTTGCGGGTAGAGTGCCTTGCAGCTTATGCCATGTCGACATTGATCACCATGCTCGATACGGCATACGACAACTACACCTCGGTGAATGACGGCTACGATGAAGAATTTGGGTACTATGTCACATATATCCAGAAGCTGGTGCCAAATGTGCTGGACAAGAGCGTTATGTTTGACGGGGCCAGTTCCAAGGATTGGCTAACCATGGATCCTCTAGGTCCTGGAATGAGTTGTGAGTACTACACGTTCTTGATAGCGGCTCAAATATCCGACACTGACTGCCTTTACCAAACCAGACTTCGACTGTCAGATTGACAAAAAGGCAGCAAGCCTTTCCCATGTACTGATATCCCTAGCAATCAACGGGACATGTCGACCGAGGCCACTACTTTAACTCTCAGAGACGGAGATGGATACAATCGAGCCTTGGCTGACGCCGGACTTACACCTGACTGGGTCATATTGGGAGACCACAAAGTCACCAAAGACTCTACGCAACCTCATGCTAGCAGAAGATTCCAGTATCAGTTCTCTGGCTACCCAATCGAAAATCCCGACATCTTTGTGCCCAATCCAAAGGACCTGGTCACCAAAGGTCTTGGCAGCATACCAGAGCTTCGACTATCTATGCAAGCGACGTACCTGGACATTCTACTTGGATTGTACGTCGGCGGTACCACCATGGATGCGGTAGAGGCTTATAGTACGCCCGTCTTCGTGTTGATGCAAGCAGTTGATGGTATGGCACAAGCAAAGGCCCTTGGCGCCAAAGAGGAAAAGAAAGAGGAGGAAGAAGAGAAGCGACGCAAGAATTTCATCTTACTCATCGTCAGCGTGGTCCTTCTGGTATGTGACGCTCTTTTCATCAACCATCCATGACTCCCACTAACTCCTCGCTCTAGTTCGTTCCCGTCGTGGGTGAAGAGGTTGCATTGGCCGCTGGGCTCACTTCCCTTGCACGCACGATTGCTATCAGTGGCGAGCTTGGGAACGCCGCGCTTGCCGTCTACGATACTGTGCAAGATCCAANNAAATCCGCCGTTGTCAATATCATGGGCATGCTCCTTGGTGTTGGCGCGATTGCCAAAGTAGAACGCTCTGGTAAGGGTTTTGGCGACGTCGCCAAGCTCAGGCGTGGCATGAGTGCGGAAGACGTCGCAGGACTTGGGTCTATCTTCAAGAACAGTGACGATAAGCTGCAAGCTATCATCAGAGTTTGCAGGCGGTAAGAAAATAGAGCGTTGCGTTGGTTGTATGTATGGTCTACCGCCATGGTATGATGACCTTCTGGTTTAAACATGCATCTCTACAAGATATATATAATTTGCATCATCAACTCAACGTTAAAACTCGGACCCTACAAGGCTGATAAATACATTCATAGAAGAAACATCTGCGACTACTATGTAGGTTGTACAGTTGATCTGATGTGATTTGATCTTCTCAAGCTATTTATCCCGCAAGAGACATAAGCTGTCTACTATTCTAAGCGAAAAAAGCACTGTGTTACGCCTTGTAGTTAGCATTTTTGTTGACGACCCTTTGGAGCTTTGCTAAGGCGGGGATGTTATCCGTTTGTCCGGTCTTTCGGTCGCAGTGACCGCGAACTACAGACCATATCACCTTCAATCCCTTTATTGCTTGACACATTGCTCGGTCGCATCCAGTCCGGAATTTACAACTCGCGAGATTACACTGGACCCGGTATGACAATGGCAGGCTCTCACGGCGCCCTGGTAGTCTTTGGCTCTGGTCCTGGCATCGGTCGCAATGTCGCTGCTGTGTTCGCAGAGCGCGGCTTCCAAAAGATCATTCTCTTGTCCAGGAACAAAACACGTCTATCGCAAGATGCCGACTTTGTTCGTGCTGCGAGCGCTGAAGCGAGCGTGGACGTCATTGAGTACGATGGTGCTAACATGGAAAGTGTTCGTGCGGGTCTTGAGGAAGTGGAAAAGACTATGGGCGACGTGCCACTTGAGTGTGTGTTGTTCAATCACGCAAGACTGGGACCGAGCAAGTTCTTTGACTTTACTGTCGAGGAGCTGGACATTGATCTTCAGGTATTGTTTCGTTGATGAGGTTTTCCCGCCTTGTGACATTGAAAATCCTGACACACAACACAGGTCAGTGTCGTCAGCCTCTACGCTGTCGCGAAGTGGGCGATGCCAAAGCTGCTTGGGACGGCGAAATCGTCTGACACAAAGACGCCATCGCTCATCGTCACCAGTGGTATGTTGGCAAAAGACCCGTTCCCTGCCATGTTCTCTCTTGCGACCTGCAAAGCCGGGCAGTATAGCCTGGTTCACTCACTGCACAAGGAATACGAATCCAAAGGCGTGCATTGTGCTTTGGTTGTCGTCGGTGGAAGCGTGGATGAGAAGATGTCTATCACGAACCCAAGAAACATCGCCGAGAAGATTTTTGAGTTGTTTGGACGACCCCAGGGAAAGGGTCAGTTGGAACTGGTCTTGATGGATCCGGAATACCAGAAGCATATTCAGAGAAGAGAGCAAGGAGCAAAGTGAGCCGTTCGGAGCCATGTGGAGAAAACTTGCACTGCTGGTACCGGACCAGGTGTCGTCATTCGAATCAATGGGATGGCGCAGGGTGGTAAGCGCGACATGCCAAGATGCCAAGAGCGGAAGGAGCGACCGAGGGAAGTAGTTGACCAGCTACGTCGCACCTGCCAAACATGTTCCAAGTTCTGACAAGATCGCGCCGAACCATGTTTCTGCCTTTCGACTGCAGGAAGCGACTCTTTGCATCTCAACATGTCTTATATGCCGCCCGGGTGAACGGCGCAACGTTTAGCCAATGCGACAGCGGATGAGCTGTTACAACTGCACTACTCGGCGCTGCATCTGATGCCACCGAACGCCGTGTCGTCTCCTGCCGCCCAAGACGTGCTGCTCGGCGCACTCATAGACGAGCGCTCACGACGGGGACGACTTCGCATGAAACTACCACCACAGGACCACATCTTCGCGCCCACAACCGCTCCGCCCACCGACCCCGTTCACCTCGACGTCTTGGAGCAGCGGAAACGTCAATGGCTGCTGACAGAAGGGGAGCGCTATTTTAGCAATCCCGACGCACCCGCACTCCCAGCACCTTCTGTCCGTGAACCCAAGCCCGACCTCGATGCTGTAGTCCAAGTGGTCGAAGAGGCAGGCTATCATGACTTTGGCTTCGCCATTGTACGGCTAGACTATACCGACGAACAAGAGTGGGAACGCTGGAAGGGCTGCTTCGACATTGTGCAGGATCAGACTGTCGACGACTCTCTCGGTGGCGCAAAGATCAAGGACAAGCTGTTGACCATGTTTGTCGAGGACCAAGAGTTGCAGGGCACGGGCTGGCATGGCGCTGTGAGGTCCGTCATGAGCCGGCCAGGTCTCTAGGATAATCATGCTGACAAGAATCNNAGCTATTTCTCAGACCTCCGCAACAACGACCAGGTGCCCGAAGGTTTGGACACGCCTGTCATTCTTGTGGCAGATCAGACGTCAGTCAACTCCCTGCTCCATCCCACCAAGCATGTCAAACCATGGATCTGGGCCGTAGACTTGAGCTACGACTGGAAAATCGGTCACGTACCGCCCGCTGTCGTGATCTCGACGGTCAAATATCCTGGATTCTTTCGCGTGGCACTGAAAGCTGTGATTCCGGAGTTGTGGCCGTTGTTGATGGGAACTGGAATCTCAGGACTAGAACTGTGGGGAGGAAACGACAGCGTATGGGAGGGTCCCTTGAGGTAGACCGATTTGCCAATGTTCCCGTTGTTCTTGACAGAAACCGAGATAGGCAACGACACTCGCTGATTCGATCCCGTCACGAGTTATGCTTCGGTCGACGCCCGCCGATGCTAGGCGAAACATGATCACTGGACCATCTGCCATGCTCGTTTACCTTCCACACCCACGAGCAGTGTCATTGCGCGGTTGTCCAAGACAGCCAGAAGGATACGACCTGCCAAAATCGTAGAAACAGTCGCACTCCGCCACCAACACCTTGTCTTGGTTCTTGGCAGCCAAGCCTTGTCCACCGAATTACTGGCTTGGACTCCTTGGAGCAATGCTCTACAGCTGATAAGGACGGCTCTGGAAAGCAGGTACAAGTATGCTGTTAGTCTCGTAGCACAGGTAGGAGCGATCCCATCTCTTCTTATTCCCTCGTTCCATCTCCATCTCATATCTCCTGCACTTCGATAGTCGTGCCAAGCATTAGTTGTCGATATGATGGAGAAGTCCCCTCACGAAGACATAACTGGCGGCAAGGTCTCGCCTCAGCTGAGCAGTGATGCAGGCTATACTGCCGAGTATCCTGTCGAGAAGGCTCCTCTTATGACCAGACTCGGTCTANACCCCGATTCGTTCAAACGCCGCACTCTTGACGACAAGCACAATCAACTGAACAAGACTCTGAAGGGTCGTCATTTGAGCATGATCGCGATTGGCGGTTCCATTGGTGCTGGGCTATTTGTGGGTTCAGGCGGTGCATTGAGATCCGGAGGTCCCGCATCGCTCTTGATTGGTTTCGGCATCATGGGTATCGTGAGTGTTCTTCATCGTCAGCCTTCTCGATATATGTACTGACCTACTTTCCAGATGATCTTCAATGTCGTCTACGCTCTTGGAGAAATGGCCATCATGTATCCCATCTCGGGCGGCTTCTATACTTACTCTGTTCGCTTCATCGATCCTGCGTGGGGTTTCGCCATGGGCTGGAACTACGTCTTCCAATGGGCTATCGTCCTTCCACTTGAACTCGTCGTCGCAGGTCTCACGGTCAACTACTGGGGTGCAGATGTTAATGTCGGCGTCTGGATCACGGTCTTCTTCCTTCTTATCGTCATCATCAACATCTTCGGAGTCCTCGGCTATGCTGAAGAAGAGTTCTGGGCGTCGCTGCTGAAACTATCCACTGTGTCCATTTTCTTGATCATGGGTGTCATCTTTGTCTGCGGAGGGNGTCCTTCCAACGGCAAGTTCAGCGAGTATCAAGGCGCAAAGTACTGGTACAATCCGGGCGCATTCGCCGATGGTTTTCCCGGTCTCTGCTCGGTCTTTGTTACTGCTGCATTCTCTTTCTCTGGAACTGAGCTCGTTGGTCTTGCTGCTGCAGAATCTGCTACCCCTCAAAAGTCTCTTCCCTCTGCTATAAAGCAAGTGTTCTGGCGCATCACTCTTTTCTACATTCTGGGCTTATTTTTCGTCGGTTTGCTTGTTCCTTACAACGACCCTCGTCTTCTCGGATCTGGTGGCTACCTCGATGTTTCTACTTCACCTTTCGTCATCACCGCCGTGGATGCCGGTATTCCTGCATTTGGTGACTTTGTCAATGCTGTCATTCTGGTCTCGGTCATCTCAATCGGTCTATCTGGTGTCTATGGAGGATCTCGTACATTGACCGCATTGGCTGAACAGGGCTACGCTCCCAAGGTCTTTACATATGTCGACAAAGCCGGTCGTCCTCTATGGTCCACCATCTTCGTCCTCGCGTGGGCTCCTCTTGCCTACATTACCCTTGCCAGCACAGGTGTCATTGTGTTCAATTGGCTGCAGTCGCTTTCCGGTCTGGCTGCTCTATTCACCTGGGGTTCCATCTGTCTTGCGCACATCCGCTTCCGCGCTGCTTGGAAATACCAAGGCCACAGCGTTGACGAGCTTCCTTTCAAGGCTGTCTTTGGAGTTGTCGGCTCATGGATTGGACTGATTCTGATCATCCTAGTCCTCATCGCTCAGGTACACTCTTCCCTCCTCATCCATTCTCATGTTTCTGCACAGTCATGCTAACACAAGAGACAGTTCTACGTTGCCATCAAACCCCTTGACGCCGAGGCCTTCTTTGCTTCCTATCTTGCCATCTTCGTTGTCATTGCCTTTTATATCGTCGGGTGGCTGTGGAAGCGCCAGGGCTGGCACAGGCTTGCTGATATCGATGTTGACTCTGGCCGTCGTGAGATTGATTGGGAGCACTTTAACAAGACGAGGGCGGTGTACGGGTCGTACCCCAAGTGGCGCAAGTTCTTGAGTCATCTGTTCTAGGTCTCAGAATGGAGTTTGCTAGAGCAAAGACGCTGGGTCAATGGCACTTGGGAAGGGAAAGTGGCTGGGGTAATGACAAGAGATAAAAAAAAGACGCTTCAGAGAGAATCATGTTACACCTGAAATCCCTGAGAGGTGAATTGGACTCTGGTGAACTTTGTTTGAGTGCATTGGAATTTTGATAACCGCTATGCATGGCTGTCGGGAGTAACAGTATCATGTGAGGATGAAAAAAAAAGCAGAGCAAGTCGTTGATATGAAGCGTGCTCGAAAATCTCAGCAATGGAGAGGAAACCCCCACGGAAAATTAGACAGTGTGACCAACCATGTTGACGGACAAGTGTCGAGGAAAATATTACCCGTTGTCAATCGAGACTTGAACGGTCTTCAAAGCGTCTACTAGTCTTCCAACCTGACTTGCATGCAACCTACTAGTCATGCATCGTCACTCTTGGCAGGCTCCCGGGCGCACGATTAGAACAGTTCCCAATCCATATCGCAAAACACGGAAAGAGAGATGCAGGGAAAAGGAGCAATGGACTTTCGAATAAACATTAAACATATAGTTGAGAACATGTGGTATCTGACCTTCTATCCCAAACAAGAAAAGCGAAAAACCATCAACGCCCGGGGCCACGTGTAAAATTGCGATGCGATCCATATGTGAGCCTTTGACCCCTTGTGGCAGGATACAAATCACTACCATCCGCCACCGCTCTCTTGGCATTGCTCTTTGCAGCCTTGGCCGCAGCATCAGAGTACAGGCCTGAAGAATAGCCATAAGCAATGCTCACAGCAGAGTTGGTGACGTTGAAGTACCCGGAAGTATCGCTATCACTTTGCTCGGAAAAGTACTGCACGCATTGCCAAAAGCCTGCGCCTTCGCCTGCAAGTCCTTGACCACTGGTGCTGATGAAGTGGAGATCGAAGGAGAGATACTCGTTGGGGTCTTCGAAGCGGTAGTAAGCATCCTCTGCGCATTGCTGGACGGCTTGGTCGGCAGTCATGATGGTCGTGTAGTTTGAGACGACGGGAGGGAAGTTGTCCGAATAGTAGGCGTTTCCGGGGTTGTTGGGGTCTTCGGTGTAGCCGCAGCCTCGGTAGAAGCGCTGATACTCGGTGTCGCCTACGGTGACGGTGGCAGAAGGGGTATTGAGAGGCGCCAGGGAACAGGTCGATCTCGGATCGGATGTTGATGATGCAGGAACTGGGGAAGCTGCAGCACTAGTGGAGGCGTATGAGACGCCGACCGCGGTCTTTGGGTTGAGGTGCTTGCTTTCGAGTTTGACTTGGTTACCGAGCTCGACTTGAATACAGAGCTCGATCCTGAGCTCGACTTGAGGGTGATTACTGTAGTTGCAGTAGTCGCGGGCGTTGTACCAGCCTGTGTCAGAGTGTTGGTGATTGTGATGATTGAAGGATAGAAGGTCACCACCTTGGTAGCAGTGGTTTGAGCGCCAACCGTCTTTACACTCGTTACAGTTCTGGTAGAGACGATATGAGCCGCGCTCGATGCTTTGGCGGTGCTGGAGACTCTAGCAGTTACCGTAGTTTTCGCGACAGTGACGGTCTTCTGAGGGGAGTCGACTGTCTTGATGCTGGTCACGGTCTTGATCGATGCAGTCGATGCTTTTGTGGCTCCGGACGCTTTGGCGGTGATGGTGGTTTTTGCAATAGTGATAGTCTTCTGAGGCGACCCGACTGCACTTAGTGTCGTGGTTCTAAACACTGTGGTTGGTTTGGCATTTTGGTTGTTCGCCGTGATGGTCGTTTTTGCAATTGTCAAGGTCTTCGCCGGAGCAGTAGGCTTGAGGGTAACCGTAGTTTTGGCTATGGTAACCACAGATTTGCCAATAGAATTACCGGATCCAGAGGCCTTTGCCGTGATCGTGGTCTTTGCAATCGTGACTTTTTGAGTAATTGTCGTCATGGCAATTGTCTTTGTAATGCCAGCGCCAGCACCANGCATTTGAAGCCTTGGCTGTCACAGTGCTAATGATGGTATGTTTCTCGGTGATAGTCCAAACACCAGTCGTTAGGATGGGAACGGATCGGACTGTAGTCAGAGCGACTGTCGATTCTGCGACTGTGATAGTAGAATATTGGACAACAGTCCTGGTGGCAACTTTGAATGTCGAAATTGGGTTCCAGTCAACACCAACTCTTGCTGCTGGTTGAAACTCGCCATCAATGATGCATTGACAAACGTCGAAGACTTGTTGTGTGGTCAAGCCAGGGACCGGGCTTTGAGACCGAGGGCTATGGTATGTTAGCTTTATGAGTAAACATGGTATGGTTACAGGACAAGCTTACGTTGCGACGTAGAATCGGCAGAAAGGAAGGCCATACTTGATATCATCATTGAGGATATCCAGATGAGACACGACGCACGCTGGAGGCTGTATGAGTACCAGATGTCCTGCTATTGTGTTCGAAAGGACATACCTGTTNGCTCTAGGGATGACCTCGAGACTTTCCCTGTCGGTGTTCGATAGGGGGGATGCAACAGTGAGTGACGAAAGCAAAGCTGCTGTGATGACGGAAATGAACCGCATTTTGTTTTCTCTTCAGGCTGCCAGAGCCCAAGGTCGGATAATAAAAGAATGTAGTTTGAGAAAGTCAAAAAGCGACCTGACCTTTGCTTCCTTGACCTCGTCCTGAGTGATGGACTCGCTTATAGCCTCTGTTCAGTGAGACGGCAGGGAGGGGCTTTTCTATCAAACTGACCGGTGCCTTCCTCGATCATCGCCCATCGCAAAGCAGGTTTGCTAGATAGCGCGACGTTTGCACTATAGCGATGCGATCACCATACGTACTCATCGTGGCATACCAAGTGGATGCCGGCAATACAATAACCTTCAACGGTCGCGAGGCGCTTCCATGCCGAGCAAGGGTATGATATGAGGGCATGAAACGTTGACGACTAGGTGGGCCTCTTCCAGATAGTGAGAGACAGAATTGAGGAACATCGCGGCCGAGAAGGTAGAGGCAGAAACATCAACGGTTCGGCGACAACGGTTCTTTCTTTATACATACTCGGCCTTGTACGCAGTAGACTTGCCGTGATGCGAAATTTGGCGTCATGTCGTGGTCGCGCCTCCCTCGAGTATCTTGTGGGCGCGATCGATTGCATGGTGTTCCAAGGGCAAGCAACACAGGGCATTCGCTGATCACTCAGTACGATGGAAGTTACAATATTGGTAGATGACCATAGCAGGCAGGCACGTTGTAGAAGGATTCCCTCGGGCGTCGGTCTTGGTGGGGGTGTGTTCGGTGGAACCAGTATCGACGCCCACTGCTACATGTGCCTGACGGGATGCAAAATTGCTACTACATGATAACCCCGACACGAGATATGGTACTCAATGTGTCCCGCTCAATTTCTCGGAGCAGCATCCATTGGCTTGTTCGCTTGTGGTGAAATTGTCGACTCCATGCCCTGTTGGCCTTCTAGGTAGACGGATATGGTGGGAGCCTCAATACCAAGACCCTGCGTATGGATTATTTGCTTGGCCAATCCACGATCGATCAATCCATCATCATAACATCTCCATGCCAGCCTCCTCTTCTCTCTTACAACCCGGAAATATCCGTACTCGTGATACCGATTACTTGTTATACCGGTCTGGACTCTCACACGGGAGTAGTACATGGGAGTAGTCGTTTTCCAGAAGGATGCGTCGTTTGTGGCCGTTTAATTCTAATAGCTCCAGCGTCTACCAGGAACACTGGTCTGGGCTCTCTCCTGGCTGTCGACATACCAGCATCGGATTCGCTACGCACGTAGTACGTATCTAGTGATTTGGCTGTTTGCTGACCTCACACCCTCGTGGCAATTCCAACTGTAGGCAATCTGGCATGAACCATTGCACTAATGTCTGATTGTGGTCCTTGCCTTGATATAGAGGACCATCATAATGGAAGGTCCATTCCAACTTGCCAGCATAACCCCGAGACGAGTCTCAAAAGAGCCCTCGCAGTCGCCTCAATTCCGGATGTTATTCTTTTAAGATGGGGTCACGATCAAGTGCCCCATCGTTGGAGTCATGTCCATGACTCGAGAGCTGGCAGTTTGAAAAAGAGTTTTGATCCCTCTGCCACTTCGTCCATTTCTGGCCAACCTCTCGCTCTGTTTGGGTTGAAGCCCTAGGTCGACGGTCATCACAAGAATCATCACGAGAATAAGTTGGGTTGCACTGAAGGAGCCTCTAAATTTCTCAAAGATATGTTCCCGTCTTCCAGCCTTATGAGATGTCTCGTCCTCCCGAGACAATGAGCCGCGGCCTCATCACCACCAAACAGTAGACGTTTCGAAGCCCAAGACCAAGTTGAGACTCTCGTACGAAGGAACGTCTTTGCGAACCTGACAATAATACTCGGGACATGTTATTGACGACAGGCAGCAAGCCAAGTGGATTGTCTAGAATATCAGGGATCGCGATGCCGTGATCCGTATAAGAATTTTCTCCCTTGGCACAACAAACAACGGTATAGTGCCATAATGAGCAACTGATCCCCGCTCAAGCAGCTACAGCTTTCAAAACTCCGATGAGAATGCAACCCCAACCGAGGATGTCCACTGTCAAAGATCGGACACGATGGACCTTGAGCCAATCGTCGAGCACTTGCACGCTGTCACCCTTCGTCTCGTCGTTAATGATGGTCGTAAACTTCCAAGCAACCGCGGGCACGAATGCAAAATGAGCAGCGCTAAGTACTGCCTCGGCGGTATACCATTTNGCGGAGTCCGAGGCAGCAAGAACTTGACGATGATAGTAAAGATTTGCGCATGCGGTCAAGATGGTTGTTGTATAGATTGCAATCAATTGGCCAGTGTATCCGTAGAACCAATCGCCAATGTATGTCGGTAGTAGAGGATTACCCTTCTCCCGATTCCTTGGTCGGGTGAAGATGCTGATAAAGACGTTTTGTGCCCAGCAATACGATAGCGCCGCAGAGGAAGTGACGAGTGGAGCGACTCGTAAAAGAACGACAGGATCAAAGAATTAACGCGAGGCCAAGCTGAATTGTTTCTAGGACGAACCACAAACGAGAGATAGGATTGCTGTTGCTAGTTTTGAGCGATGGCGAACATGGTCTGCTTTTATTCTAGATGTAAGTGCTAACATCGCGTGATTGTATAGCAATCTTGTAGAGCATCCAGATGTGCCGCAATCTGCCATCACAGACAAGATCTTGTCACATTCAGAAAGTATCACGAAGTCGACCCGACTTGCCCATCGCGTCTTTCTCGAGAACGACTGTTTTGGTTCTTTGATCTTTCGCGGAGTTGGGAATGTGTGCTTTTGACTCTCGGAAGGCGGTGAGCTTCTCCCCTCATCCGAGCGGGCCGACATCCGGCGGCTAATAATCTTTCGGCGAGCATTGGCCTATCTTTCGCACCGCAATACGGCCTTGTGACCGTACATGGCAAGAGTTCTCTTGCACCATAATCGTTGATGGTCGCGTGCAAGCTGACATTCTTCGGCCACTTCCGTATAACGACGAGTGGCACAGCTTCCCAATATCCTTCAATCAGTCTGTGTCTCTGTAGTGTCAACCTCAAACAGCAGTAAAGATGGCGACATCTAATAGGGGGCAACCCGACCGCCGCCTGCCTGTACAGCAGATGTGCGTACTGGTAAGTAAGCATTATACGAATTCTTTGCTCTCTAGAACGTCGTGGACGAACATTACTGAATCGGATCTGTCAGNNGCTCTATGTCGGATATCAGAACCAATCGCGTTCACATCAGTCTTCCCGTATCTGCCAGAGATGATCGAGAGTCTAGGTGTACCACAGACTGATGTGGCATGGTGGGCAGGATTGACTGTAGGCATGTTTCCCCTAGCACAGTTCTTGACTGCTGTATCCTGGGGCCGGGCTAGCGACCGCTATGGCAGAAAACCAATCATCTTGCTCTCCTTGACATGCACCATGATGACTTCTCTTCTTTGGGGATTCTCTAATAGTCTGGGCATGGCCATCGCTGTACGAGCACTTGCAGGAGCTGCCAACGGCACAGTTGGTATCATCAGAACTGCCGTCGCGGAAATGGTGCCTTGGAAAGAGCTTCAACCTCGTGCGTTTAGCGTAATGCCGCTTGTCTGGAACATCGGCAGTATCTTTGGTCCTACGCTTGGAGGTGCTCTTGCCAATCCATACCATGTCAAGCCTGGTCAGCCTTTGTCGAACAACCCTGCATTCTTTGAGAGGTTCCCATATGCACTGCCGAATATGCTTGCCGTGATTCTGTTTCTGATAGGTATAACCATCGGAACGCTATTCCTAGAGGTAACATATAATCTCAATTGTACTTCTTTGCTACCAGTCGCTGATTTGTATAGGNAAACACTTGCTGCGAAGAAAGATCGACCCGACTACGGGCTTGAATTGNGGTTTGCAATTAAAGTACTACACCAAGCAGACAATCAGAAAACTTACCCGAATGCCAAACGACCAGGAGAATCCGGAAAGAGAGCCGCTTCTCAAGNNCCATCGCTCGCACCTGCCTCAGGTTCTGATGAAGAATCTGGAGCACAGGCAGTGCCAAAGCCAGCCCTCNCCCCGCCGAGTTTCCGCGAAGTGCTCAACCGTCAGACCATCATCAATCTTGTGGTCTACACTCTCCTTGCTCTTCACAACATCGCCTTTGATCAGCTCATACCCATCTTCATGCACCACCCTGTGCAAGATCACTCTTCTAGCAATCCAGATTTCCAACCTCCTCTCAAGTTTGCTGGCGGATTTGGACTCGACTCTGGCCGTATTGGATTCATCTTTTCAATCTACGGCATTTCTGGAATGTTTGTGCAATTCCTCATCTTCCCGCCAGTCGCAAGAAAGTATGGTGTAGTCAAATGCTTGCGAGTTTGCGCCGTGTGCATGCCAGTCATCTACTTCTTTGTTCCTTTTACTGCTCTGCTGCCCGACAGGACCAGTCAAGAGGTGGCAATCTTTGTGCTAATGGTTGTCAAAGGATTCTGTAAGTTTCTCTAATATTTCCTCTACAAACACACTTCTAACATGCTCTCAGTCTCCACTTTCGCCTTTCCTTGTTCGACCATTCTTCTTACCAATTCTGCCAGCAGTCTCCGGATCCTGGGTACACTGAACGGTATTGCCACGAGTGTTGGTGCAATCGGTCGAGCCATTGGCCCAGCAATCGGAGGCTCGACCTTCACGTACGGTGTTAAAATTGGTTATGTCATTCTGCCATGGTGGGTGCTGTCCTCCATTGCCGCGTTTGCAGCCGTACCCTCTTTCTGGGTCGTAGAAGGCGAAGGCTTTGGCGGTGACACGGACAACGTGGAGGATGACGAGGACAGCATCATCGAAGACGACGACCAAGAAGCAGAATATGGCAGTCCTGGCCCTCTACTCAGTCGCACCGATACTATCTCCTCGGATGTCATCTCGGAAGATGATCGCGAGTATGATTCTGACGATACTGCTCGTGACATCACACGATCTCCACAGATCAGGAGTAGGCGTGCATCGGGTAGTCATGGTCTGTCGCGCCGTCCTTCGAGAAAAATGTCTGCTCCCATCGGCATGGAGAACCGCACAATCTCGAGACGATACAGTAGCAATCTTGGACAGAGTTTTGGAAGTGCTGGCAGCTATAACCCTTAGTCCCGGCTGTTGGTTCACACGATGCGAGCATCTGGGATGCTTGCAAGAGGACACATGATTGCTTGAGTGATAAGAGTGTCCATTGAAAGTCTCCATACAGATCTCATCTCAGAGGCTCTCCACAAACACGAACTCAATAGTACTTTACATTGTGAGATTTCACCGATCATGAATGTACTTTTCTGAATAGCGAACTGGAATCTGATTGATCTGATATAGCAATGCACTTCTGTACTGCATGACCCTGTCCGGAGCATTGCACTACGATTTCGAGTAGAACAAAAACACTCAACAGCTGACCTCAAGCTGACAAGAGACTATGTCTAGAAATTGCTAAGAACGTCTGCATTACTTCGAAAGAAATCCAGACACAGCATGTTTCACACCCTCGACATCTTCGAAGACGTGCCAGTGACCCACACCCTCCAAAATCTCGACCGAGCTACCTTGAGGCAGCGATGACGCATATCCCTCACACAACTGCGGTGGCGATACTTTGTCCTCAGAGCCGGTGATGATCAAAGTCTGTGGCTTGATAGCAGCAAAGTCGAGCTTCGTTGTCGCATCAGCAAGAGCGGAGCATGCTTTCGCGTAACCTTCGGGGTCTTGGCCGAGCAGCGAGAGTCGAGTGGCTGCAATGGCTAGGGGATTATGAGACTTGGTCTTGGCGGAGGTGCCTGCTGTGACAACAGCGTCGACAACGGCAGACATGCCCTTAGTGCGCACGAGATGAGCGCGTGCGTGCGAATTTGTGCTAGCTGCTGCGGGTAGAGGTGACGGCGGTGGGCCGACGAGGATCAACTTGCCCACCAGGCCTGGGTTGTCTAGGACAAATCTCACTGCTATGAGACAGCCCATTGAGTGGGCAAACAACGTGGCGCTTGAAGAGATACTAGCATGATCAAACACACCCCTAATGTCTGCTGCAAAAGACTCGATGCTGAGTTTGCTAAGAGGAGAGGTGGGTGAGAGACCATGTCCCTCGAGATCAAGGAAGTGCAGATTGTGGCTCTGAGACAGACCGGCGGCATCTACCAGAGGAGTCCAATAATCTGATGTACCACCCAGTCCATGCACAAATACTGCGTTCGTTCCAGAAGTCTCTCCTTGCTGGCGGTAGTACAACAACTTGTTGTTGATTCTAATCAAGCCGGTCGAATCAACAGCCTTGAGATTAGAGAAGGGAATTTGGTCCATCTCGTGAACAGCGGCGATAGTCGGGTTAGACGACATCGGGCCACCAATGCGGTTCTTCAGGGATCCGAGACCAGTCACCGAGACTTCGACCTCGTCGCCAGCTTTCAGATAGGTGGGAGGGCTCTTACCGATTCCGACTCCGGCAGGCTAAAATGTGTGTCAGTAAATGACCGAATTATGATGACAAAGTTCGCTGCTTACAGTTCCAGTAGCCAACACGTCTCCAGGCATGAGAGTCTGGCCCTCTGACATTGTTTTTATGAGGAAAGGGATGCTGAAAATCAGATCGTCTGTTGTGGCATCTTGTCTCGTTTCACCGTTCACTTTGGTTTGGACACGCAGGACTTTGTTGAGCTTGCCTGCTGGTACAGCGACCGGGCCNCTGATTGTGCAGTCAGTATCTTGCTCACGTTTTGTTCAAGATAGCAGCACACATACCATTGGACAGAAGGTATCAGGCGACTTTCCAATATAGAATTGCTTATGGTCGCGCTGCCTCTCGCGAGCAGTCATGTCGTTGATGATGGTATAACCCCAGACGTGTTGCATAGCGTTCTCTTCGGAGATCTGGTGACCTGCTTTACCGATAATGACACCAATCTCGCCTTCATAGTCGATGGTCTCAGTAAAGCCAGGATGAGGATAGATTTCTTGACCAGAGCCGATGATGGAGGTGAAACGCTTGGTGAAGATGACAGGGTGGGTTGGCTGATCGACCTTGTCGGAGCTGTCAAAACCGGAGCTGTTGAACTCTTTGGCATGTTCGGCGTAGTTCTTTCCTACGCATAGCACGTCTCGGCCATTGATTGGTGGCAGTATGTTGACGCTCGAGGCAGGCACGCTTTCTCCAGAGGTGATGATGCCCGACTCTCCAACTTGAATAACTTGATAAAGGTCTTCGAGCAGAGTGCCAGAGGAAAAGGCGAGCGGCTGAATCGTGTCGTTTCCTGGATCATAGTGACCAATTGACTTTCTCCCAGAACCTTCAATCTGATATGCGATGTAGTTTGTGAGCGAGCTGCGCCCAGTTCCGTTAGAACCATTGACGCCATTCTGGCCGTTGGTATGAGGTCCGGTCGCCATTGTGGATGATGGAGATTTAGATGATGCGGGTTTGTTGCACTGCTAGAGACTAAAAGCCAGGCGGAGCGAAACCTAGTTGTATAAAAACCATAGCTGCAAGGTCATCACATGCAATGTTGATATGACGAAGCTGTAGCAGGGACAATCTTCGTGACCCCGCCTCTCAAGATCTACCCACATCCCACCTTCCTGTTCCGCCCCGGACAAAGCGGACATGGCGGATATGGCGGACAAAACTCCACAAACCTTCTCTCTGCTCTCAGCTGTGCCCTTTCGTCCCCCAGATGCTGATATCCTTGATTCAGACAACGGTATTGACCCAGATATCATCTGGAAGAGGGGCACTGGCAAGCGGGGTTGACAACCACCAAATGAGAGCCGAACTCCATTGATCGCAGTCGCTGCACGCAACATGGAACTTATTATATGACCATGTGCCACAGGATGCAACCTGAGATCATAGTACTCGCCTGTTATCAATTTCTTTGAAAAATGTCTGCCTCATCTACAGCCGAGACCTACGACCATCTCCCGAAAGTCGAGAACAATGGCGATATCCAACATCTTGAGAGACTGAGGACCGCAGGTGGCCATGTCGACGATCGCAGTCAGCCTTCACTGCCTGTTGTCCATCGTTCCTTTGCCAACCCTGCTCCTCTGGGCCTCCTATCTTTTGCAACTGGCATCTTTCTGATCTCCATCCTTGGTGTCCACGCTCGCGGCATCCAGACTCCAAACGTGCTTGTCGGTGTACTTTTGTTCTTTGGAGGAGTCTGCCAATTCATCTCTGGCATCATGGAGTTTGTTGCTGGAAACACGGTAAGATCTATGAACACCGTCCACTCGAGAACTTGTTCTTACGATATTGCAGNNTTCGGAGCCACTGTTTTCCCTTCTTACGCAGCCTTCAACTTCTCATATGCCATGATCTACATCCCTGGAACGGGCATTCTCGCATGTCAGTATCAATCATCAAGAGGTCAAACATGGACTAACAAAGGCACTATAGCTTACACCGACGCCAACGGACAGATCAGTCCAGACTTCAACAACGCCCTTGGCATGTACTGCTGGGCTTGGTTCATCCTGACAGTCATCTTCACCGTTGCCGCAATGCGTAGCTCATGGGTCTTGTGGTTCACCCTGTTCTTCCTTGACATCGAGCTGGTACTCCTGGCTTGCGGGTACATGCTGAACAGCTCTGCTACTCTTGTGGCCGCAAATTCTGTCGGATTCGTGGTGGCTTTCTGCAGTNTGTGAGTTGGCTTCCATCTTCCTTTTTTGGTATCGTACTGATTGCGACTAGATTGGGCTGGCTGCGCTGGACTATGGTCTGGAGGCATGACACCTATCGAATTGCCTACTTTTGCCATGACCAAGCAGACTTAAGTGGACATCAGATCTGTAGTCAGTCGACGTAGTGAAGAGCTGGACTGGGTTGCCGTATGTGAAGAACCTAAGGCATTGTATGAGCAGAGAAAGAACCTTGTTCTCTCGCAAAAATCCAAGATGTCCAAGATGGACGGTCCTTCGCGTACTGATATAGAAAAGTGCTCATGTTATGCTCATGTTACCGAGACGACTTCTTAGAAATATGGTAGATAACTATCCTAGCGAGATTTTAGCTCGCAACACATCTCAAATCATCTCCATGCCCCGAGTTTACTGCTCCGACGCCAATTCAAGCCGTCTCATCATCCGCAAGCTTCACAGAAGATTCGGATTACAAAGGGAGGCAACGCAGGCCTGTTCGACAGATATCCAAAGCTGCAAACCCTCCTCCACTCAATCCCATCCCTCATCCGCATTCCCTAACCTCCTCAACCCGACATACCTCGCCGGCTCTCTGAATGGATTCTTCACACCCTTTGTCCTACCCACCCTCAGTCCCCTCCCGTACACTTTCATGTGCTCCTCGGTGTGAAATCTCCAAAACTGCCACGAGCAATCTTTGCCCACGAAACTGTTCATCACTGTGCTGCCGCCTGGATGTTCGGAGACGAAATCGGTGGAGTCGTAGATGATGTTGTCGATGACGAGCCAGAGTCTGTGGTTCCTTGATTCTGCATCGAGGACTGTGGATGCTGGGATAAAGGGCAGTGAAGCATCTGGCAAATCTGTCGCGACTGGTGGATAGCGGTGAGGTTGTGGGTTGTTGATATGTATGTCCTCGATGTGGATGCCCTCGATATGTGTCGGACTATGATCTTTATGCAGAGTAGAGTTGGTGTGGGTGGAAGAGAGAGTGGCGTATTGGCGATTGAGTTGTAGCCAGCCCATAGTTGTGTGAGGACGAGTACTCTATGTCCGAAAGGAAATGTTTAGGAGTTCACTGGAGCGTGCATAAGGAGCAAGACACTAGGGTCCATGCCGCCCAATAGCCGACCGCGGCCCCTGAACGAACTGGTAATCCACGATGTTGACCTCTGGCAACACCCGTGAAGTCAGGAAGTAACGAACAGGAGCGCGAATATCGGAGACATGGAAAAGGCGGAGAAGAATGGAGAGGAGTCGGAGACCCCGGACGCGGAGGTATCAATCGAGAAGCGGAGTTGACGGTGAAGGCGGAGGTACACGCTCAGGGTTTGAGACATCCGACCACCATCCAAACAGCACGGATAGACCAGGCCATGCACCCCGCACGCCTCCTCCACACCGGGTACCGGTGTCATGTGCAATGCTCCCAAACCTTGGTCTTACACAAGTCCGTCCTCTACAAATATGGCTGGCCTCTTGTCTAACGTGGATCGATATTCTCAACACATCTCAGCACAGCAAACATGGCTCCACACTCTAACCGAACAGACTCTTTCGTAGCCGAAAACTCGAATGAGAAACTCAAGTTCAACAAATCGACACCACCACGCAATGTCAAATGGATCGAAGATGTCTCTTGGGATTCGAGCCTGCAGCCCAAAGACTACGAGCTGCAGGGCACCCACCCAGACTCGAAGATCTTGTTTCTCAATGTCAACATTCTTGACTCCACAGGCCGAGAACCCTACCTTGGGGATGTGTTGATCGAAGGTCTGAATCCAGTCTTGTTAAAGGAGTACAAACACAATGACTTACACTATAACANNGGCCAGACCATCACATACGTAGGGACTGTAACCAATGTCGACGAACTCAGCAAAGACCCCAAAGTCCGAGTCTTCCACGGTCGAGGACGTACCTTGATGTCGGGCTTGGGCGATGCTCATACACATTTCACCTGGAACGGAGGAGATCTCGACCGTCTGGGTGAGCTGGGTGTCGAAGAGCATACACTTCTAACGATGCGAAGCGCGCAATGCTTCATCGATTCAGGATACACCATGTGAGAGACTCTGGATCGTTACAGAACATACTCCAGTACTGACAGAGTCTTCAAAGGTNGCTTTGGTGCAGCTTCGGCAAAGGATCGACTTGATGTGGTCATCAGAGACGCCATCAACGCCGGCGATATCCCAGGACCTAGATATCTCGCAAACGGCAAAGAGATGGCTCGACGAGATGGCGAGTTGGTTGCAGGCATCACTGCCTTCGCGGATGGGCCTGAGGAGATGCGTGAGGTCATTCGCCATCACGTGGACATTGGTGTTGACAACATCAAGCTCAGCATGTCCGGCGAGGAAGTAAGTTTGAGCAATAAACGTATCATGTGCAGTATCCATGCTGACCCGTTGCTCAAGATTACCGAGATCCGATCGGCGCAAGATTGCTACTTTACAGACGAAGAGACTGCGGCTTGTGTCGACGAGGCTCATAAGCATGGAAAGCGGCTTTGTGCTCACGCTCGAGCTCGGGACTCTGTCAAGATGTGTAAGTATAGTGACTCGGACCATCGGTTGTAAATCTGCTAACCCACTGGCTAGGTGNTTCGTCACGGTGTCGAAGCCATCTATCACGCCTCTTATATCGACGATGAAGGCATGGACATGCTCGAGGCCGCAAAGACCAAGCACATCGTAGCCCCAGCAATCAATTGGTTGATTGCGACTCTCAACGAGGCCGAAGCTTTCGGCTACACCCATGCTCAGGCTGAAAAGGTGGGCTACAAACGCGAGTTAGATGCGGCCATCAAGGGTCTCAGAGAGATGCACCGTCGAGGTATAGTAGTCCTTCCAGGTGGCGACTATGGTTTCGCATGGACGCCGCATGGAACATATGCCCGAGATCTCGAGCACTTTGTGAAGCTTCTAGACTTCACACCACACGAAGTCATCATCGCCGCTACAGCTGGTGTCGCCAAGTTGATGATGCGTAGTGACAATCTTGGAAAGATACAGCCAGGATACTTTGGAGACTGCATTCTGGTAGATGGAAATCCTTTGGACGATATTACCATTCTGCAAGACCACTCCAAGCTCAACATTATTTGTATCAACGGCAGGGTTCACAAGGCTGGACGAAAAGAGTACATCCCTCCTCCCGTTGCAGGACAAGACAACAACAGTCATGTCATTGTGCCAGACATGGAGTATCCAGATGTGGAGAGGGCAATGCAGAGACAGTATTAGTAGTTTTGAATGCAATCATCATTCACATGATTTAGCCTATCATCAAGACCCTTGCGCATCATTCAAAGGCAAATCCCAATGTCCCCAGGATATCGCCGATGGTGTCAGCCATTGTTGAGGATCAAGATGATCGAAGATCTGGTCCAGATTGCCAGTCTCATCGTCCGCCACCAGATTCGAATTGCGAGCGGTCGCATCAGTCACGTACCCAATCTGCATTTGCGACGCTTCGCCAAACTGATCAGTATTTATTGCGAGCCCAAGCCCAACACTATGAATCAAAAGTCAGCGTCTGCACGAATTGGCCATAGGAATGACTTACAGTAGTCGACGGAGTATCGGCGCTGCGCGCTGACACACCAAACTCAAGTCTGCTAGATCCTCGAATCTTTGCACACACTCCCTTAGCAAACGAATGCTGTCTGGCAAGTCTGGATCCGGTTCGCTAGCTTCGGATATTGTAGCAATCAGAACTACGGCAGCGTGGAATGTATGGAAACACCCTAAGCCCCGATTATACCATTGGAAAGGTCCAAATTCCGGGTTGTTGTGCAAGGATGAGTGTATCTCTAGCAAAGCTCGTGCGCTCTCGATGCTCTTCGATCGTGCATTCTGTTGTTGAAAAGAGTCCGGAGAGCCCTGCATGAGTATTCGCCGGTGGAGCAATAACGCAAGCTGATGCGAAAAGCTATGCAAGATCTTGAGATGTATCTTGTGGTACGAAGAGAGCTCATCTTGTCGAGAGTGATAAAGATATATGGAGCTCCATAGATCTCGCTCATGGATCAGAGCCTTGTCGAGTTCAGCTATGGCTTTGATATCGATGTTGGTAGAGTTCAACACTCGAGAGCAGATTCTGCTCCCTATATCGTAGAGGCGAAACTTGAGAAGCAGATAGGACATTTGAGTCGCACGTCCAGTGTGTATAGGTAAGGTTGTTGAGTCTGGCGTCAAATCGAAGTCATTGACATCTGCCGGCATACGCACGGAATAGTGAGAACTATTGTAGTGAGGCGCCAAGTTTCTCATGGATGTGTTCTGCAATGTGCAGAGCATCATGACACAAGCCCAACATCGACGTCGCTCTTCACATTCCACGAGGTTGAGCTTGAAACTCGATGGATCTATGTGACAACCAAGCGAGAGAGCCATGTGGTATGTGGAGCCAAGCAGCGTCCAGGATTGGCCGTGACTGTGATTTATGCCATAGATCAGGATGATGAGAGCCTGCAACGTCGTTATGTTATGGCGCCAAAGGTAGTTGTCCATCTCAAGACATCGCATGGCGCTAGCTCTATACCTTTCTGAAAGGTCACGAATCTTCGCAGACACTGTTGATCGTCTACTAAGGTCGTTCAAGAATGCGCTGTTTGCATCGCAGGCACTCAAAGCAGTGCTAATCATGGCGAAAAGTAACGCAAGCCATACTAGAGATACAGACTCCGGATTTTGTTCAAACTCGACGAATTGCCGATGGAATGTTGGATCATGCAAGACGTGAAACAGTGGAGAGAAAGATTCAAAGTAAATATCCTTCAGGCGAGCGCACAAGTTTGAGGGCGGCAGCATCGCCAGCATGTCAGAGAGTCTGAGGCCGTGGGACATGTAGCGTGTTCCAAAGGGAGAAACCAGACTTTCGAAATGGTCAGAACAATTTTCGTCGTCTAGTTCGGATGTAGGCCAACAAGGTACGAATCGCACATGGCCAGACGTCGATACCTGCAGAGCACCATGACCACCGGGAGTGCTTTCTGTAGTGGCAGAGTTAGGTGATGCTGAGTCTCCGGACAAAGACAGATCAATTGTCGAGTCTTGGGCCTGTTGCTGCTGACTCGCCAACATCCTCTCGATCCGAGTAATTCGTGCGACTAAGTCCTCATCCGGCGCCTGCCTTGGAGATCTAGTTGCGGAGATAGGTGAGATAGGCATGCTCGGCCCTGGATTGAATTGGAGGGAATGGCTCGAAGGTCGTTGAGCAAATACGCAATTCGCTGCTGGTATCCCACGTCTCTTGCAAGTTCCGCATGGGGTGCCATCACGAGAACATCGAATCTTCCGTATGCGACATGGTTCGCAATTGATTGGCATACGTTTCTGGCGGTTGTCTCGCATGATAGCAGTGGTTGAGGCTGGAGCGCGTTCAATGCACGGAGAAAGTGGGCAAGTCCGCCTCTTTTGTCATGTCCGCTGCTGCACAACCCCGCTCGGCGCCATCAAACCTTCCTCGACGTTGGATGCCTCCTGGCCGGAACAGCGTCCTTCTACGTCAGTCACGAGCACCCTCTTGACAACATACCAATCGACTGGTTGGTGGTGATGGTGATGGTAAGACAGACCAGGCAGCGCGCTGAGCTTGTTGATTGCAGCAAGACGAGAGCTCTTGTGAACACAACAACATAGTATCATAATATCACGATATCTTGAATTTCTTGAAGCCTATGTAGAACTTGAACTTGGGCTTGATTTTTCACAAGGAAATCGTTCTGGATGAGGGTATTGTATATTATCTACAGAAACAATTCGTGAATTCATCATTCAACAACCCTCTATTGGTCGTCGAGTGCTGACACCTGGTGGAAAATTAGCAAGTCTGATTGGAGTGGATAGGGCAGTTGGCTGGTACTTACGCTGGCATCGACTGGGAGCGAATTGATCACCTGGGTGAGCAGGTCACCAAGAAGAGGCACGTCTTCGCCTTGGATGTCGAGACCATCGAGAAGGGCACGCTTCTGCTTGACATTGATTCCAGCAGCGCCAAGGTCTACTTCGAGGGCACGCTTCTGCTTGACATTGATTCCAGCACCACCAAGGTCTACTTCGAGGGCACGCTTTTCGTTGTCTGTAGGGGTCACCTAGAACTGATGAGTATTCTGAGAAGATCGAGGTATACAAAGGCTTGCTTACACTAGCGTCGATAGGCAAAGCATTGACGATGTGTGTGAGGAGCTGCCCAGCAAGGGGCACATCAGAGCCCTTGACATCCAACTGTCTGGGAAGTCTGGGAAGAGTGTGGGTGAGAGGAGCGGCGGCGGCCAGACCTGCGGCGGAGAGAACGTCTCAAGACATTTGTACGAGTAGGTGGCGCTCCTGCGGCGGCTTACACGACTTCTTGATTCCAATGGCACAGACATGGATGACCTCTACAGCGTGTTACTTTCCATCGGCTTCCCAAGAATAGTATTGTAATAGTAGCACACAAGCCACTCTCCTAGCAAACATAGAGGACAGTATCACATACTTGACGTCTCTCAAGATTGTAAACGCAAGTCCCAGACGCAAATTTTCGTGGGAGACAATGCAAGAATACAGGACAAACTAGTAGACAGAGATCAATTGTTTCGACGGGAAAAAATCTGCTAGACTATCGTCTGAATTGATACTCCATGTCCCATCTGCATATAGTCCTCTTCAAAAAAAAAAAGAAAAAAAAAAAAGAGATAAGGGCAAGAAAAAAGATAAATGGCTCGCGTCCAATACCCTACACACATTAAATGCTCATAAAGAAACTCTTCTCGCCCTCCTGAGGCACAACCATACTCCTCTTGATGATGGGATCAGCACAAGAAAGTCTAATCCTCTCCACCGTCGCCGGACTATGCAACTCCAGCACCTCTTGCTCACCCCACTGCTTTCTAGCGGCTTTGAGTGCATCTCTGATGGCAAAGAAGACGGCACTGCCCATAAAAAGTGGTGGCTCGCCTACACCCCTAGACCTCTGTATCGTGCGCAGATTCTCCCAATTCACATCCTTGAGCAAAGAGACATTGAACTCTTGGGGGATATCGCGGAAGCCGGGGATCTTGTAGGCACCAGGGCCACGGGTAAAGATCTGGCCAGACGCACGATGCCAAAGGGATTCTTCCATTGTGAAGAGACCCATGCCTTGGACGAAAGCGCCTTCGATCTGGCCGTAATCGATGGCTGGATTGATACTGCGGCCGACGTCCATTTTGATATCGGCGCGACGGCAGGTCCATTCACCAGTCAATGTGTCGATTTCGACTTCGGCAGCGGCGACACCTTGGGTGAAATAGAAGAACATTTGACCAGTGTTGGGGCCCCAAACATAGCCGATATCAGGAGTCTTATAATGACCTTGAGCGGAGAGGTTGACACGATCGAAGTAGGCGGCGTGAGCGAGCTCTTTCAGGGTGGCCTTGGGGCCGAGTTTCTCCCTGTAAGGAGCGAGACGTTCGTTCAACTGTGCGCAGGCGTTGTGGATGGCATAGCCGTTGAGATCGGAAGATGCTGAGGCAGCAGTAGACGATGTGTTGGGAACTGTGTTGGTAGCAGTCTCGCTGATGAACACATCTTCCATTGCGACGCCGAGGTCTTCGGCTGCAATGGAGATCATCTTGGTGTTGAGACCTTGGCCCATCTCTGTTCCGCCATGCGCAACTAATACAGATCCATCGTGGTAGATGTGCACCAAAGCACCTGCCTGGTTCAAGAAAAGCGCAGTGAAAGAGATACCGAACTTGGTAGGAATCATCGAGATACCCCGCTTGAAGTACTTGCTCTTTTCGTTGTAGGCAGCAATCTCTTTTTTCCTCTCGACGTACTTGGATTCTTCCTTGACTTGCTTGTACATCAGAGGTACGTAGTAGTCCTCAAGCTTCTGGAGGAAATGGGTCTTGTCGCCGGGCTGATACAAGTTGATCTCGCGAAGGTCATCGACGTCCATGCCGAGTTTGTCTGCAATCTCCGACATGAAGGTCTCGGTGATAAACATGCCTTGAGGACCACCGAACCCACGGAAAGCAGTGTTTGATACTGTGTTGGTTTTGGCGACGCGTCCGCGAACAAAGACGTTGGGGATCTTGTAAACGTTGTCGATGTGAGAAAGAGCACGATCAACGACCGCGCCGCTGAGATCTTGACTCCAGCCTCCGTTGTTGAAGACGTCAGCATCCAAGGCTTGAAGCTTGCCATCTTTATTGACTGCAACCTTCCAGCGAGCAAGGAAAGGATGTCTTTGACCTGAAGTCAGGATATCCTCATCACGGTTGAGCATGCAACGAACCGGGCGGCCAACCTTCTTGGCAGCCGTAGCAACAATACCTGCAAGCTGGATGGAACGTGTTTCCTTGCCGCCAAAGCCACCACCTAGTCGCTTCACGCGACAGACGACCTTGTTGGCAGCAACTCCTGTCACTTGAGCGACATAGGTCTGGGTTTCGCTAGGATTCTGAGTGCTGCTGAAAATCTCCATCTCTCCGTCTTCGGGCTTAGGAATAGCGACAACCGCATTCGTCTCCAAATAGAAATGTTCCTGACCACCCATGCGAGCAACACCAGTGAACACATGGTCAGCTTCAGCAAAAGCTTTGTCGACATCACCGTTCTGGATATATCTGTAATGATTAAAGTAGCTCTCTTTCAAGATAGCTTCCTCGATGGTGAAGATGGCGGGCAGTTCCTCGTAGTCGATCTTCACTGCGCGAGCACCGGCCTCAGCAAGCTTGGCTGAATTGGCGAGGATCATGCCAATAGGTTGGCCTGCACAGAAGACTTCGTCCACGGCGAAGAAGGTCTCATCGCAAGTCGGTGCACCCCACCAATTTGCCTCGGGGTTGGGAAGGTCCCTGTGGTCGACCCATTCGATCACACCAGGAATTTCCAAGGCAGCCTCGTAGTTCACACCGGTGATCTTGGCGTGTGCTTTGGTCGACAAGACCATGTATCCGTAAAGCTCGTTCTTTTGAACAGGGATATCGTCTGTGTATTGTGCTTCTCCAGTGCTCTGCTTCATAGCTGCCACATGTGGTTGCTCCTTTCCGAGGATTTTCTGTTCATATGCTTCTCCAGCCTTATGGTCCTTCTTGCCGAAGGAGATGATACGCTCAATCTCGCCAAGAGCGTCATGATCGATGTTGGCATCGGTGACCGGAAGCTCAGAGAGAATCTCATGGTAGAAGCGATAGAAGAAGCCAAGAGCTAAAGACTTACGGTATGTTGCCATACCGCCGGGCACACCAAATCTCAGGTCAAAGTCTTTCTCCAGTGCATTCATGACGGCCTCGAGGGTCTTCGGATCGGTAAATTTCTTGCCAGTGAGAGCCTTAACTGCCTCCTTGGCGGAGATTGTGACGGGAGCCATGCCACCATAGACCAGACTGCAGTCCTCGACATCGTTCGAGTCGCTCAGGATCACACGAAGGGCAGCGTTCACAATGGCAATGTCATCGTCCTTTCTCTTTGACACCTTGTATGCTCGCATGTGTTCGTTCTTCTCCTTGAAAACAGGTATTCTGATGCTTGCGATGATGGCATCCGGAGGCAGAGCAGTCAATCTGTATGCTTTGAAGAAATCAGACATTGGGATTTCGGTGGTCTCTTCGAGTGATTTGGCAACAATGGTAGCGTTTGTAGCCATGAATACGGGGTTCAAGTCAGAAATAGGTGAAGCTGTAGCCAGATTTCCGGCAGGTGTGCCGACGTTTCTGATCTGGCGTCCAGCAAAGTACTTGAGTTGTTTGAGGATGGCCTTGAAAGGTTGTCCCTTTGTGGGACCGTATCGTTCAATTGCATCGCGAGCAATTTGCTCAAGGTCGGTCAAGACGACGTTTCCGCCAATCTCTAGATAGTCGTCGTGGAATTCATATTGACGCAACTCTGCAATGTCGCCGACAAAGACTGAGGCAGTATACTGCATGCCCTTGAACTTGACCTCGATTTGTGTCTCGGACGAACCACCAATGATCTTTGCTGAGGGATACACGCTCTTGATCTCGAGCAGTTGTTGCAATGTGACTGGTCTAAACCACTTCTTTTTCTTGTTGCCAAATGCCAGTGGCTTGAGCTCATGCTTCTTTAGTGCCGGAGGGAAGATGAGTTGTGTGTCTGGGTTGTATTCAATGAAGCCAGGGGGTGTGAAACGCTTGATGGGTTGGTCGTCGACAAAGCCATTGCCGTCCTTGCAACAACCTCCTACTCTTCCACAGCCAGCCGAGGGAGGTGTGACTTTTGTGGCATTGCCGTTTGTTTTACAACATCCTCCTTCTGTGGAGACGGCCGAGGCGTCGTCTTTGCAGCAGGCACTGCCGTTCGAGGATGACTTCTTGAAGGTTTGGGCGGCGTCGAGGATGGGTCTGTATCCTGTACATCTACAGAGGTTGCCATCGCAGCCTTCTTCGATTTCGTGTTCTGTGGGTTCGGGTGTGTTTCGTAATAGGGCGTAAAGACTCNNTACGGACAAGCATTAGCATTACTCAACTGAGTAGAGCAGTGACACTCATACCATGACTATGCCAGGCGTACAGAAGCCGCACTGGCTTCCGTTTCCTTTGGCTATTCTCTCTTGCACAGGATGTGGGTTCTTGACACTGCCAATGCCCTCGACGGTAATGACATGCTTTCCGTCGACGCTGACCAGAGGAGCCAGACACGCATTGACCGAAGCATGGTATATCTTCTTTGTTGTTGGGTTGAATTGTGAGACGACGACTGTGCATGCACCACAGCCTCCCTCTGCACACCCAAGCTTTGTTCCTGTCAAGCCGATACCACGAAGGTACTCGAGCAGTGTGACTTCGGGATCCGCAGTGTCGAGGACTACCTTTGTGCCGTTCAGGTAGAATCGCAGCGTGTCGTCGTATTCCTCGGTGATGGAGGATAGCGTACGCACTGCCGACGGCGATACGGCAGGTTCGGGGTCAATCAATCCAGGTGCCATGTTGGACAACGATAGCTCGGTCTTTGGTCTCAGTTCATGTATAATTCAGCAAAAGCTGGAGAAGGGAGAAGCAAAGTGTGGCGAATGGCGGACGTTTCTAGGAATCTAACTTCTCAAGCATCTATGCAAGAGGAAAGGAGTCAAGTGATCAGATGGAAACACCCTTGGAGGCATATCAAGTTACCTTTCTGTGCCTTATCAGTGGCCGCCGCCGCTGTCCACCACGCAAACAACGCGGGGCACAGCGTCCGAGGCAGGTCCCTGAATCTCTCACCTGCCAGAACATCACATTATCGTCGCACAACCCCAGCCGTGCATCTGGCCCACAAAGATACGGTAGTTCGCGGAAGGACAACGCTTGTCAACCTTCGTCTTGACCTCTCAAGTAATCGCTCGAGTATCTGTCAGTCATGCCTTCTGCAGAGTGTCGGCGGCGTCCGCCGGGCTGGGATTTCCTTCGTTATTTTGCCGGCGATATCGGTTTTATCAGTATCTCGGGCTTTTCATACCCATCTGAATCGATAGTCAATTTTGAGAGTTAGATATGATCTAAGTCAAGGGTTTCACATCATGTGATACCAATACTGGCATAGCCAGTTCATCTTCATTGGTCTAGTGGTCATGATTTCCGCTTGTCAAGAGTCACATCTCGTCAAGCGCGGGAGACCAGGGTTCGATTCCCTGATGGAGAGCTTTACTTTTTGTCCTTCAATCGGCTACACCTCTTATCCGTGCTCTGACGATTTTGTTATGAGGTGCAGAGATTGCGCTTTTGGTGCTCAGAGTTCTTGTTCAAAGTGATTGTCAAATTTCAGCTATGAAAATGCATAATATCGTCAAGCAAGAGAAGAGTGTCTATTGAGAGATATTGACCAGACTGCTCTTCATGAACATACTTTTGGTGTCAAAGACATCCGTGCATTTTCCATAGTGCACCATGTCACTACGCTGTTATAGGAGGAGAGCCAACTTGCAGTCTCTTTCACCACTGTATAGCCGTATTTCTACTATCAAAATGCAGAATTGTATCTAGAATCAGAGATGTGACCAGGGAGACTCGACGAGAGGACAGCTCTCAACGGACACACTCTGGCTCTCGAAAACATTGTGCATTTGTATAAGTATGTGTCGATGACTTCAGCACTTGGAAGTATGAGAACTTTGGACGAAACTTTTCTGCATTGTGACAACCTAACAAAAATAGAAAACGCGACCGGCCGAGAGGGGTATCTTTCTTTCTTATGCACAACCGGGGGCCCCTGAAAACACGGCAGCCCCGACTCCCCTCCAAACGCCCTTGCTATGCAAACCTCTCCTATGCTGTATGCCAGAAAGAAAAACACAAAAGCCACACCGACGAGCACCGAGAAAGCTTACTGGCCCAGAGGGACATCGACCTCCTCCTCGTAGGTCTCGTACTCGTCGTCGGCAAANAACTTTGCCACCACCTCCTTCTCGCCACGGGCGCGCTCAGCGGAGAGCATAAAACGGACGGTGCCGTCCTTGCCGCGCTCACCGACTCTGCTGCGCGCACCCGTGGCGGAGGTGGGGCCCATTGCAGGAGGAGTGTTGGGGCTCTGGTTCGAGGCGCCAGGGAGAGCCGGGAACACTGGCGAGTGCTTGGAAGCGCCATTGGCTGCACCGTTGAGCACCGATTTGGGTGCATCGATGGTCTCGGTGTAGCGAGGGAGGTTGGCAGCGGTGGCCTCCTTGTTCAAGGTGATGCGGATGGCGATGTAGTTGTCGATGGAGAATTGGTTACCGACAATTGTGGCATGGCGGTGGTGGGTGAAGAGATCGAGCAGATCCAGCATGGTCTCCATAATTTCGCCACGAGTGGTAGACCATTTCTCGAGGCTGATACCCTCGGGACCCACAACGGCTTCCATGTTGGAGTCTGTGGTCAGGTTCAAGAGGCGTGCAGTCAGTTCAACACAAGCGATTGCCATGGTCTGAGAGGTCTGCTTCAGAGGTGCAAAGGTGCGGTAAATGTCAATAGACATGTTGTAGGCGATTCTGCCCAGCGTGTCCTTGGGCCATCCCGAGTCTCTGACAATCTTGACGACGGTTTCCTGGGGATGTCTAGTTCTGAAGTCAAAGCCTGCAGACTCGAGCATGAGACGCTCGATGCCAACCACAGTCTTGGATGGCTGTTCAAAAACCTGGTTTTCATGAATATCGAGTACGACAGTCAAAGCGAAAACAAACGTACCGGGNTCATCAGGACTCAGGTGCTCCGAGGAGGGAAGCTTCAGGTTCCAAGCGGCGCAAAGAACTTCGCGGGACTTCTTGAGAGTGTCCTCGATCTTGCAGGCAGTGAACAGCGCGGCAGCGGCAGCATCNCTACCAGAAATTAGCAAAAACTTCGAGTCAAATTGTGCAGACCATGAATCACTTACAGCCCACATGTATTCGCTATCGGCATGGACCAGGCGGAATTTGTGATAGTAGACGACAGCAGTGTTGAAAGTGCGGATAGGCCTAGCGAAAGTCAGAGATCGTAGCATATATTGACAAAGCGTGACTTACAGTTGCAGGGCCTTTCTCACACTGTCGATGTAGTGGACGCCCTGGAGACGAATGCTGTCTTCCTTATGTTCAGTTGCGCCAAGAGCATTCAAAGAGTTCTGCAACTGTTGCTGAAAGATGTATGGATTGGCAACTTGGATGAAGGAGGGGTGTGGTCCAACACCATTGTCGTTTGAAGCACCGCCGTTCTGAGACATCTCTCTTGACTGGCTCATGTTGCGCGATGGTGAGAGATTGGTTGCTGTCGAGGTGAGAGAGCGCGATGGTGATGGAGATGCACGTGCTCTGATGAAGTCCGTGCGTTGGGAGTCGCGCTCGAACCTCGAGCGACGACGCTGATTCTCTCTCTCATCGACAATCGTCACTCTCGGCATGACGATTGGCAGCTCGTTCTCCTTGTCTTCTTCCTCTTCATCGGAGGCTTCTTCAGTCACCTCGGCCAGTCTCGAGATCTCTGTGGAAGAAGACATTAGTAATCATGTAGGTTGACGAAGGCTGACCAAACCCACCATCCTCGCTGTCACTGTCGTTCATGTCCATGGGAGCACTGCCGGCGGAAGCTTCCTCTTGGTCCTCCCAGACGGCAATCTCGTGATCCGGGCCAGAAGCTATAGTCAAGTCAGACAACATCTTCCAGTAAGTTCGGGCTATGATTGTGACATACCATCGCGAGCCTGAGCCTCAGCCGTCGAGGCATTGAATGCGTCGACTTGGGAGCCAAGACCCAGGGGCGTGTTGCGACCTGTTCGAAGTCGACACGCAGGCTCCCCATATCGGCTCAACAGATATCAAGAAAGTCGATTTACCAGATGTACCGGCCTCCCTGTCGCCAGCAGGGTTGGCGGCGGCCCAACGCTGTGGACTACTTCTCGGACTTCCCCAAGTGCCCTGGTCAGACTCCTGGCCTATCTCGCGGACCGATGTCGAAGAAGCAGGGAGCACAATCTCCTGCAGGGGTCGTCTGTCCCTGTGCACAGCATGGGAGCCAAAGTCCCAGCTCAGGTCAGAGGAGCGGGGCTGAGGAACAAAGCCCTCAGCCAGCACAGGCAGAGCATTCGACCCCTGAGGATCGGCGTGGCGGAAATCGCACTGAATGCTGGTCAGAGGGCAGCGACCCATCTGCCACATACGGCAGACGGGCCTGTTGTTTCTCTGCCACATGGCAGGCGAGGATTCCATCTTGCTATCTCCACCCATCAGTAAGATCGTACGCTCGATCGGCGGCGCAGAAGTGGATCAGATGACGCCCATCAACACCGCCAGGAGAATGTTTGCTTACATTGTCTCGTGAGAGATCGTTGCTACTAAAGGCCGCTGCTTTGCTGCAAAAAAAGCTCAAGAAGTTTCTATGGGCAGTGCGCAGAGATAGCGTCGTCACTTTGGCTTGTTTGGATGGCTCTTCGTCACTGCTTGGGCTTGGAACTTGCCACGAGTAATGCGTGGTGGTTGGTATGGGCTTCTTCGATACCCTCAGCGCACGCCATGACTCGTAACAGCGTATCTTGGACACCCCTGAGCTCGGGCGAAATCTACCTCGCTGGGACAAGGGTACTGGTCACCTCGGAGCAAGTATACCATACCTGACCTTTGGCTTTGACAAAGAATTGTGCACTGTCCCCATCTCCCAAACATCATCACGGTGTAGCTATAGAATTGCATAGTACTTTCCAGTAGGGAGCGGTGTCCATCGAAAGAGCGTTGTCTGAAAGCATCTCTATCATGCCTGGTAGTGGGCTTTGACAAGGGGCTATACACTCTCCGCGTGCCAAAGACTGTCACACCACAGCTATGGAAATGCAGAGTACTCTCCAGCAGGGAGTGTTTGTCCACTGAAAGAATGTCACAAGAAGGCCTTTTCTGTGGACATGCTCCTATTTGCAAAGCAATTCTGCATTTCTATAGCTTACCTAATCATCACATGGCAACGTGAGAGATTGCTCAATCTTGAGACTGTGACTGTCTTTATCACGTGAGAAGTGGTTTGTTACATGTAAGCACGATACTAGATTTCTTTCATGATCAAATGATTCTATTTCTTTCTAATGAGATGATATGCTTGCCTCCAGTGAATGCGGGTATATGCTCTATCAATGCAATGATCTTCCAAGAAAAAAAAATCCTATGCTATTCAACATTCTGGTCTTTTTCAACTAATCAATGTGTTCAATCAAAGCCTCTTTGATGGCTCATCAAATGGCTCTCCACCTTGGCCAACTCCTCTTGAGAGGGAATAGCACCTAGCCAACTCTCACCACTGGAAATCTCAAGTTTGTTCTTCAACTCTTTGGTGACTTCCTTGACCTCATCCTCCACATCGAGGTACCAACGCAAGAATTCACCAACCTCTGTGTTCTCATGATTGCCATGGAGCCTCTTTGAGGCATGGCGGTCGGAAGAGTAGATGTTTACATCAACAGCACTGTGACCGTGGGTGCTCCATCCGGTCTGAGAGCGCTTGCTGATGATTTCGGACATTGTCCATGGACTGAGGATAGGATGCTCAATCAGATGGTCAAGCTCTGCGCGAGTGACGTCTTCGATGCCCAGGTTATCGCTGATGAGCTTGGTGAGATACTTGTGTAGGTCGGCGCCGGAGGACTTGGAGTTTGAGAGGTGAGAGAAGTACAGACGAGCAGTGTGCTCGGCGCTATGAGTTGCGTTGGCAAGGACGCCAGGGTACCAGAGATATTCAGGGTAGTTGACGTTCAGCTCNTAGAAGAAATTGTTAGCGAAGTCGTAGTAGAAGGGATCAAAACGAAACATACGTCTAGCAGTAGCCAAGCCACCGGTCTCGTGGTCGCTGGTAGCGACCATGAGACCTTCAGTATCGTCTTCTTCGAGGAAGTCGATAACAGCCTGCATGGCTCTATCATAGGCGAGCACCTCGTGAACCTGAGCAGCAGGATCGTTATTGTGACCAGCATGGTCGATTCTGCTTCCCTCAATCATGATAAAGAAGCCTTGGTCACTGTCTCTTGTAGCATCTTTCAGGGCACGGAGAGCGGTCTTGGTCATTTCTTCGAGAGATGGGTATTCGTCGTCGACGTGTCTGCGGTCGATCTCAAAGGGAATATCGGTAGGTGCGAACAGGCCAAGGAGAGGAAGTTCGACCGATGAGCCAAGGTTGTCAAAGTCCTCGCGGGAAGATATGTAATTCCAGTCGTGTTCGTGTGCCTTCTTGATCAAGTTCTTGCCATCAGCTCTGCAGCCTCCAGCAGTCGTGTTGGGCAAGAAATGGCATCTTCCTCCACCAAGAATCAGATCGACATTTCTGCCCAAAGGACCATTGCCGATGAGTTGGTCAGCAATCTGGTCCTCCATGGCGCGGGTTCTGACGTGCGAGGCGAAGCATGCAGGGGTTGCATCGGTGATACGAGTGGTGACGACCAGACCGGTAGTGTAGCCAGCTCTTTTTGCAGCCTCCATGACACTTCCACAGGGAGTGTGATCAGGCATGACGCTGATGGCGCCGTTGTAGGACTTGTGACCGCAGCTAAAGGCAGTGGCTCCAGCAGCGCTGTCGGTGACAAGACTGTTGCTGCTGCGCGTGCGGCTGTTTCCAATGAAGTGCTTGTCCAAGACCAGAGTGTCGTCCCACGACAGAGCGTTGACATGCTGTCTGAAGCCGCGGGTCAGGGCCAACGAGGTTGGGCCCATGCCGTCGCTCACCATGAAGACGAGGTTTCGCTTGCCAGTCGGTCGGTCGCCATGAGTCTCGGGTGTCGTCTTGGAGGTCTGGTGTTGGTAGACGACGGCCAGAACGATGACAGCGGCAGTGGCTATGAGGCCCCAGGTGAAGAGGGCGATCTCGCGGTATCGGGCCCATCGGGAGGCAGAGGGTTGGCGGGTTGCTCTCTGGCCGGTCAAGAGAGCATCTTCTTCGGTGGCTCGCTCGTCGTTGTGCGACGACGGACGGCGCGTCAACATGGGTTCTTGTCCTCGAGGCATTGTGGTGATTGAGAGGAAGAGACCACGAGCCTCGCAGACAAGTCGAGAGAGCACTTGGTCACTGCTATCGTCCTCATGACCCAAATGCTATGACGCTAATCGTTCTTGGCGTGCTCTTCGCATGTGATGAAACGTCTTATCTCGGCCGATAGCTACCCGCCTGCTACTATTACTCCTTCCTTTCCATACCATGCTCCTACCTGTCGATGCAACCGTTGGACCGATGCTACCAACATTGTCCTGAGCAATGAGTGACCTGTCCAGCACTTTTAGGGCTTCTGTGCGCCAAGTCAAGCCAAGAGTATCTCATTCCATCACCTCCATCTGATTAACCCTCCATGGATATGCATCTTGTCTAGCTGCTATGTCAGATTGATGACCACCCAAGCTGGTCCATTATCCCCGAGACTCCTTCAATCTCCTACCTTGTGGACCAATTCTATGATATAGACTTCCGAACAGGACAACATGAGTATTGTAGGTGATTTCGTCTGTCCTTTGTGTTTCATGAACGACAGCCAAGCCGTCATCTTCTACAGCCAAGCGGCTCCGCATACCATCGTGCCCATACAGACAATACGAAGCAGACTCGCCAAGCAACATGGTTCGTGGTAGAGGTCGAGTAACATTTTTTATCTGTTTCTTGTCTGGTACAAATACCCTATGACACTCTGATCTGCTCGAATCTTGGATCTACAGACTACCGCAAACATGCCGACTCAAGATGGTCTAACGCATACTAAAACCTATCTTCCAAAGTCTATGACAGCCCATCTGCCACAAACACGCAACGATGAGGCTTGGGGTGCCCAAATGCGCACTCACTACACCGTCGAGGAGAATAATGACAAACTGCCGGCCAATCTCGAACTGCTTGAGGCAGAACGCGAGAAAAGGAAAAAGAACTATGCTCAAATCGCCCACGAGTACGCCTTCCTTCACACCAAACTACATGACGCTCAAAGCTCATACGTGCACAGCTATTACGAGTTGGTCACCCTTAACCTCGAGTTTGCATGGAACAAGAAATTCCATTTTGCCCCGTTCCTCGATGACAAACAGTCGATCCGAGAGGCCTTGGCTGCACATGATCATTACCAATTCATGACCATGGGAGTCAAGCCAGGTATGCGAGGTTTGGACGCTGGTTGTGGTATTGGCGAACCTGCACGTCAGTATGCGGCATGGGCCGACGTCCATGTCACCGGTGTCACTATTACCGAATACCAAGTCGAACGTGCAAACATGTACGCTGAAACCCAAGGTATTTCAAACAAGGTTGAGTTTGTTTGGGCAGACTTCTGCNGTAAGCATCATTTCTGTGTGCCAACGTCAATATCGGAGCTGATGTAGAGCACCAGAAACTGCCCTTTCCCTGACAACACTTTTGACTTTGCCTATGCTCAGGAAGCCACCTGTCATGCCCCAGAATTGCGCGATGTCTATGCCGAGATCTGTCGTGTTCTCAAGCCCGGCGGTGTCGTTGGTATAGGTGAATGGTGCTTGACCGACAAGTTCGACCCCAAGAACTTGCAGCACCTCGACGTACGCCGCCGAATCGAACGTGGTGACGGTATCGCCAACATGAAGACCACCAAGGAAGCCATGGCCGAATTTGAATTTGCCGGTTTCGAGGTCACTCATGTGGAAGATCATGCACTCAAGGGCTTGCAGAGTCGTCCTTGGTGGATCCCTCTAGACGGAGATACTTCAAAGTTTCCCGATCGGAGCGATTGGTGGATGGTGCTTTGGCTCAAGCCTGCGGTGTGGAAAGCGGTAAAGGCTTGGGTCTGGTTCAAGGGCAAGATTGGCATGTTTAGCAAGGTCGATGCCGACTCTCTGCTTGAGGCACTCAACACACAGGGACAATCCGTATGGGGCCTGAGAGATGGTGGCAAATATGGTATGTCCTCTGCTTTGCTGTGAATCTGACGTATGCGAACGAGTAGCATGTTGACTGTACTCCAGGACTGTNTCACGCCCATGTTCCAAATGTATGGAAGGAAGCCTGAGAACTGGATTCATCCTCAAGCAGAGAAGGCTAGAGAGGCTGCAGAAAGAGTGGCGGCGGCAGCAAAGGAGATTGTAGCAGCAGAGGTCAAAACTGTTTGAGGTGGGGTTTGAAGCGTCGGCGATCCACTTCTTATAGATAACTAGATACTACTCACGCGGCGTCTCACTCTTGCTCAGAGATAGAATCCAATTGAATTCCCATTTAGTAGACCATATCCCTTAATCTTCATGCCACGTCCTCGTTGCCATCCACACGTGTCAAAGTTCACCCGACTTCGATTGCACATGCCGGAAACATCTGCCATGGTAGCTCTCCAACAGATCCGAGTTTCCGCAAGTCAACTCAGGCAGATCCGAGTCTCCACACCAAACAGTCCATCCCCATGCCGCCCCACTTTTTCTTCACGCACCCCGCACATTTAGGAAAGAAGGGATCCACTCTTGCCGCAACCTTGGACGCAACCGCTTCTCCTTCCTGCTTGTGCCTGGGTTTGGCTTTTCGCCTGCAAACCCGAATGATACCCCCACGGCAGTTGGGATCCACTTGTCGATGGGCACTCCACCTGGATTGGAGTACTCCACTCTGGAGACAGCAGCGGAAGAGGGAGGGAGATGCTCGTGTACGAGGACGGGGTGTGTGAGTACAGTTTGGCTCCACTGTTCGTTGCGTTGTTTCCGTACGTATATAAGAGTAGGATCGTCCCCTTGAGTTTCCGCTCGGGTTTCCTCTAGGTTTCGTTGCTCTGTTGATACCATTCTTGTGTCTTTGCTCGTAACACTTTCTATCTCTTCCATCTGGTTTGCTGCAAGACACACGTGTATCTAAACACCAGCAACCATGTCCGCAATCCCCAACCTTCCCGAGCAAGACCACCACCCCACCTCCCGCGAACACGACCTTGACACCATCATCTCAGCCTCCATCCCCCACCTCGCCACAAAACGCATAGATTCACCCACCGAGTCCGGTTTTGCTGCTACCACAGGCTTCTCTCTCCACGATACAGTGATTGAAAACCAAAGACCCATCAAGGTTATCGTGGTTGGAGCAGGTTACTCGGGCATCTACCACGGCATCCGTATCCCTGAGCGTCTACGCAATGTAGACCTGACCATCTACGACAAAAATGCCGGAGTGGGTGGAACGTGGTATGAAAACCGGTATCCGGGTTGTGCTTGCGATATCCCATGTGTGTATTTCCTATCTCCTCCTTCCCCCTCTCCCTTCATGCCTTTCACACACATATTGAAAAAGTAAAGACACAAAGAAAAGAAAGAAAAAAATGCTGACAGTAGCAACACAACAGCACACTCCTACCAATACTCCTTCAACCCAAACCCAAACTGGAGCAGCATGTACTCGCCCGCCGCAGAAATACAAGCCTACCTCGCCGCGACCGTGAAAAAGTACAGCGTCGATCGCTTCATAAAGCTCTCCCACGAGATCAAATCCTGCACTTGGGACGTCACCACTTCAAAATGGAAACTCGAAATCGAGGACTTGGTGCAGGAAAAAACATTCGAGGATACTGGTGATGTGTTGATCATGGCAAGAGGAGGATTGAATCATATCGCTTGGCCGCAGATTGAGGGGCTCAAAAGTTTCGGGGGCGAGGCTATGCATTCGGCGGCTTGGAAGCCAGAGTATGTTGTCCCCCAATTTTTTTGGTTCCTGTGTTTTGAGGTGTGTGTGGCTTTTACTGACACGTCCTTTCTCCAAAAAACAGTTNACGACTTTACAAACAAACGCATCGGAGTCATTGGAAGCGGCAGCTCGGCCATCCAGATAATACCTTCTCTGCAACGTCTCGCAGGCACAAATCTGTCCTGCTTCATCCGCAGCCGCACTTGGATATCCCCTCCCTTTGGTCAGGCCATCCAGGACAAACTAAAAATGGACGGCTTCAAGTTCAGCGAAGAGCAAAAGAAGAAGTTCCGCGACGATCCAGAAGGCTTCCACAAGTTCCGCATGGAAATCGAGGAGGGAGGCAACGAGATTCACGCATTGACAATCATGGGCACTGACATGCAAAAGGGGGCTCAACAACACTTTGAAGAGAACATGAAGAACAGGTTGCAGAAGAAACCAGAGATTTATGATTGGCTGAAACCTAGCTTTGCGCCTGGGTGCAGACGATTGACGCCAGGGCCTGGCTTCCTGGAAGCTTTGGTCGAAGACAATGTCGACTTCATCCGCACTCCCATCACAAAGATCGAACCAAAAGGAATAGTGACTGAAGATGGTACCCTCCACGAGATTGATGTCTTGGTCTGCGCTACAGGGTTCCACACCGGTGCACCTCCTCCGTTCCCCGTTACTGGCGTCGACGGTATTGCGTTACCAGATCATTGGGAGCAACGAGCCACATCATACCTCTCCATCGCCACCGACAAATTCCCGAACTTCTATATGATGCTTGGACCAAACTCTGCAATCGGATCTGGTTCCTTGACGATGATGATCGAGAGCGTGGGCGACTATGTCGTGAGATGCATCCGCAAACAACAAAAGGAAAACATCAAATCCATGACGGTGAAAGCCAGCCGAGTACGAGACTTCCTGTCTTACTCAGATGAGTACTTCAAGAACACGGTCTTCATGGATGACTGCAAGAGTTGGTACCGTAAAGGCGACACGGTAGTAGGATTGTGGCCAGGATCGACATTGCATTGTATAGAGGCTCTGAGAAGTCCACGATGGGAGGATTTCGAGTATGAGTATGGAGAGGAAAACCAGATGGCATGGTTGGGTAATGGATGGAGCACCAACCAGCTCGAAGGAAGGGATCTTGCATATTACTTGCTGCCGCAGTTCCAGCAAGTACCGACGTCGCCGTTACCAGAAGAGAATGCCGAGTTCAAGATACGCGCGTATTCGCAGTAGAGATGGTGGTAATGAATGAATAAATGAACGAATGAACGTGCGTCTTTCGTTGTTGTTGACTTGTCAAAGGTTGTCGTTGTTCTTGTGATCTGTTGGTCTGGTCGGTAGTTGGAGATTTCGGAATCTGTTCAAGTGTCAGTTGGGATTCGTCCTCTCGCACATATTCCAAATTGCCCCAAACCACTCACTAATCATCGTGAACAGCTACCAGAACAAACCACCACGGACGGAGAGGTACCACAGCGAGAACCCGTGAACCGTCCTCTGGAGGTGGGAAAGTGGCTGCAACCTAAGCGAAGACACGATCCGTGATCTCTCGTATCAGGGCACAGGCTGTGTCATAGATGGTGACGCTGTAGAGGATGAGCACAACAATGCCGCGGGATCGAGGTCCATAATTGAGGGGCCATGGCATATAGCTCTGTGGCGCACCGCGACAGAGAAGATATATGAGATTTAGCCATGAGCATATAGACCAGCAGAAGAAGAAGAAGAGTGTGAGTAGCATGGTGAAAAGGATAAAGCTGGACGTGCTCGATGATGGATATCAGGACCAGGAAGCTTGGGTTGACAACAGAGTAATAAGTAAACAGCCAGACATGATTCGAGAAGGTAAGAGCAATCGTTCGCGCAGTTTCTCGATCTCAATACCATGGATGCAACCTGTCCCCAAAATTCACTGGATGGTCAGGAAAGTAGCTGACAGATGCATAACACCATTCTATAGCTGCAATGTGTCTGTTGTTAATGATTTAGTTTCGAGATTTCTCAATTCACCGCCCTTCAACTCCAAATGTGTTATGCATGGGGTGAGCCTTTGAGCTACACTGAAACCTCGTGATGTAGTATGTGGTAAGGCATACCTAGAGAAAAGAGAAAGCGACAGTGTTCTCAAGCACAAGCTAAGATGCAGCCATTGACTCAATACATAATGCATGCTTGGTTTACGATCGAATGAGCTTGTGAAAATCCCGGCATGGCCCTGAGCGAAAGTTGTTGTCAAAGGTCAGGTCGCAAGTGCAGTACAGAAATTGTAAGAATAAGGTCAGAGAGCTTTTGAGTCGGGCAGAAAGTGAAGTTCATATGTTAGCGATAACATTCACTGCGTATGTTTTTGAGAGCTTTTGGAGAAGGACGACGGTTTAAATCAAGATCGCCATAAATTCTTCTTTTCTGTTGCTACAAGGCGAGGAGGGGGAAATCGTAGTCGAATATCTACAGAGTGTCTCTGAGGAGCTTGTTCATCTTGGCAATCTTGGACGAAACGCTGAGGTCGATGGTGCGGTCGCCAATCTCGACAATGAGTCCACCACGGATGTCGGGGTTGACCNNTGTGCCAATTGTCAGAGGGTGCATACATGTAGGTAGCGAGAGCACAGAACATACCTTGGAGACAACCTTGAGCTTCTTGCCCTGACCAACGTATGAGGACTTGGAAACCGAGGTCTCGAGCTGGCGGAGGACCTTGGCGTCGAGGGGNCTATTACGAAACATGTCAGCAAACAATGCTGTTGTGTGGATCTTTCTCTTCCTTCATAGACGTACAGCAGCGCTGACAACAGTCAACTCAACCTCACCGCGGGCGGCGCTCATGAGAGTGCCGAACTTCTCGGCAACACCCTCAAGCTGGTTGAGTCTGTTGTTCTCTGCCAAAGCCTCGAGGAAGTTCTTGATGGTGTTGTTCTTGTCCTGGACACCGAGAGACTTCTGGATCTCGGCAATGATCTGCGACTTGTCGGCGGCGGTAAGAGTGGGGGCCTCGAGGATGGTCTTGAGCTGAGTATCTCTCTTGAAGGTGGCGGCGAGGTTCTCGAGACCCTTGGCGGTGGAATCCAGAGATTCGGTCTTGACGGCAGCGGTGTAGAGGGCGCTGGCGTAGGTACCGTCAAGGCCGAAGAGAGCGACCGGAGGCTTGGAGGCAGCCGACGAAGCCGAGGCGGCGGCGGCGTAGGATCTGGTGGCAATGGGAGCGCGAGGAGCGGCCACGCGGGCGGCGCGAGCAGCGATGCGACCGGACAACATTTTGCAGGCGATGGCGAGGTTCAATGAGCGGAGATGGGAGTCAACCTTTAACACAACGCAGCTCTTGCACCCCAAAGCGTCGTCGCCGAACGGACAGCGCACGGCCCACACGTGACTTTCGACATGGCTTTATCTTCACTTTTCGAACTATCATATAATTAGTGCATGCAACTGTTCAATCAGCAACGACTAGCATCTAGCATGTCAAAATGTACAGATTCAGTCAGTGACAAACAAATATTTGATATACTGTGGTATGGTATAAGCACAGACGCTATCTACAACATGGAAAAGGAAAAAAGGAAAATCTGTCAAGCACGTCCACTCTTGTAGCTACTTCGATTATGCGTCAATCAGGTTCTCGCTCTCTTGTTGTCTGTCCTGGTTGTCGCGAGTGTCCTTGTTGGCGCTCTTGTCTGAGGGACGGCGTGTGTACCACTCGTCCAGCGTCTTCTTGGGGATACGGTTGAGAAGCTCTTTGGGGTAGATGCGGAGCAACTCCCAGGCAGTGTCGAGCGATTCGAAAATGCTGCGCTTCTCGTATGCGCCCTGGTTGATGAAAGTCTTCTCGAACTTGTCCAAGAACTCGAGCGAAAGCTTGTCCTCACTTGACAGAGCCTCCTCACCAACGACTGCCTTCATGGCAGCAGCGTCACGACCAATGGCGTACTTGGCGTACAGCTGGTTGGAGACATCCGAGTGATCCTTACGGGTCATGCCCTCACCAATGGCAGACTTCATGAGACGCGAGAGCGAGGGAAGCACGTTGATCGGGGGGTAAATACCCTTGTTGTAGAGTTGACGGTCAATGAAGATCTGACCCTCGGTGATGTAACCAGTCAAATCGGGGATAGGGTGGGTGATATCNTGCGGGTCGTTTAGCATCGTTTCTGGTAAGTCATCGAGAATGCTGAACATACCATCGTTGGGCATGGTCAAGATGGGGATCTGAGTGATGGAACCGTTTCTGCCAGCAACACGACCAGCGCGCTCGTAGATGGTGGACAAATCAGTGTACATGTAACCGGGGTAACCACGACGACCAGGGACTTCTTCTCTGGCGGCCGAGACCTCACGAAGAGCGTCACAGTAAGATGAAAGGTCGGTAAGAATGACCAAGACGTGCTTCTCGAGCTGGTAGGCGTAGTACTCGGCGGTGGTAAGAGCAAGACGGGGAGTGATGATACGCTCGATNGCTGTGCAAGGTCAGTGACTTGGGCAGAGATGAAGTACGACGGAATAGACGTACGTAGGGTCGTTGGCCAAGTTCAAGAACAGAGTAACTCTCTCCATACTGCCGTTCTCCTCGAAATCGCGGGTGAAGAATCTGCTGGTTTCCAAGTTGACACCCATGGCACCAAAGACGATGGAGAAGTTGTCCTCGTGGTCATCGTGAATGCCCTTGGTGGGCTTGACCAAACTGGCCTGTCTACAGATCTGAGCAGCAATTTCGTTGTGGGGCAGACCGGCGGCAGAGAAGATGGGAATCTTCTGACCACGAGCGATCGAGTTCATGGTGTCAATGGTCGAGATACCGGTGGAGATCATTTCCTCGGGGTATTCCNNTGCATATGTCAATATAGCGCCTTCGCGTGGTTTGACATGATTGTGACTGACTCTTGAGTAGGGGTTGATGGGTTGACCGTTGATGTCGAGGTAGTCCTCGGCCAGAACCTTGGGACCCTTGTCGATAGCACGACCGGAACCGTCAAAGACACGACCAAGCATGTCCTCGGACACACCGAGCTTGAGCGAGTGGCCGCTGAACTCGACTTTGGTNCTGCTGGGCGTCAGCAATGCTGCTTGTACTCGGAGTGGTTTCTTGATTTGCCGCACCTTCTTGACATCGATACCAGAAGTTCCCTCAAAGACCTGTTTTCATATGTAAGCTCCGTGCTCTTCTTGTGCCAGACGAATGGTCGCGATCATGTAGCGATCGGGGTGGTGGAGGATACCTGGACAACGGCACGGTTGCCTTTACGGGAATTTGTCAGTCTGCGGTCGCTGGGGCGTGTCGAGGGGTGCAAGGCTTNNACCGCGAGCTTCAAGGACCTGACCAGATCTCTCGGTGCCGTCGGGCAGAGTGAGCGAGACGATCTCGTTGAATCTAGGGAACTTGACATTGTCCAGGATGACCAGAGGACCGTTGATGCCGCCAATGGTGTTGTAGCGGATGCGAGGCTGGACGTGCATCATCCTGGGGTCGACGGTGAAATCCTCTCCGGCCATGTTTGCGGTGGCGATAGTTGACAGAGGCGAGGGTTGGTGGTATGGGCTGCCGTACACAGCAGACTGGTGGAGCTGGGTGGTTGAACTCTCCGACCGCGTCGTTAACCACCAAGAGACGTTGGTCTCCCCGTACGTCAGGCCCGTCTCCTACCTGGTCTGTGCACCATCTATAATTCCATCTGCTTGCTTTATGTGAAAGTGACCATCTCAATTCTATATAAATGCAGATATCTGATCATGCGCAAAGACAGACAAAAGGCTCAAGTAGATCTGGACAACATTGGATAGAAGCTTCTTCAACGCGATCGACTTGCACACAGAAATTAGAGCTGTAGAACCTAGTAGGTCTTTCTCCTTGTCCAGCAAAACTGCTTAAGGCTTCTTCTTCAGTCTCGAAGCAGAACTCATTACTCAAACCAGGCAAGTGGATGTGAAGATATTGCTCTTGCTTGTGACAGTGTTGTGTATCAAAAGGTCACGAAGGTCGAGCACATGAAACTTGTGCAAGCGCACAAACAGTGCACAAGATGGAAAATGACTTCAGCCAAGACTGGGGTAGCGAGGGTTGATTTCAAGCTCTCTCACAGGCCGAGAGTGAAGTCGAACTTCTCGAAGCTCCCTCAGTCTTTCCCTAGCAATTGCCCAACAATGCATCTCGACGATAGCGCGTCGGAAGAACTCAAGGCCTGGGTCGTCAAGCGCCTGGAGGACATCTCGGACGCTGACTCGGACGTCCTCGCCGACTATGTCATCGCCCTGATCAAGTCCGACGAGTCTGACGACCAAGTCAAGCAAAACTGCCAGGACAACCTGCTCGACTTTCTGCACGACAGCACCCCTCAGTTTGTCAACGATGTCTTCGCCCACCTCGCAAATGCCGAATCCAAGCCCCTGCAGCCCACCGCGACCGCTTTCCAACCCACGGCGCCTGCCTTCCAGCCCAGCGAACCCGCCTTCAACCCTCCCTCAGGCCCTGCCTCGAAAAAGCGCGACTTCAACGACAGCAATGCCTTCGATAACCATGCCCAAGGCTATCAGCAAGATCGTCCCATGAAGCAAATGCGACGAGGTGGACGCGGTGGTCAAAGAGGAGGCTTCATGGGTTCAACGCCCGGCGCTCCTCAGTCTATGCCTCCATTCGACACGAACAACCCTATAGCCGCTCTTATGGCTATGCAGCAGGCCATGGGTCTACCTGGCATGCCTCAGATGCCTGGTATGCCCCAAATGCCATTCCCTCAATCGCCTGGCGCCTTTGGCAACCCTGCACAAACCCCGCGCTCTGGCCAGAGATGTCACGACTATGATACCAAGGGCTTCTGCGCTCTCGGCGCTTCATGTCCGCATGAGCATGGCAACGATCCCGTTTTAGTACCTCAACAGGCAGACGAGTACGATCCTACGAATGCTTCCATATCGCAAGGCCGTCCATTCGCCGACAGAGGGCGTGGCCGTGGTCGCGGTAGAGGCGATAGAGGCGCCTTCCGTGGTGGCCGTGGAGGTCGCGCTGACTTCTCGTCTGCTGGTCCGAACCACGATCGCTCCATCACACAGGTTGTTATTGAGCAGATCCCTGAGGAAAACTTCAACGAGCAATCTGTTCGCGACTTCTTCTCCGAATTTGGGACCATTGAGTCGGTCGAGTTGCAGGATTACAAGCGCCTAGCTATCATCAGGTTCGAGGACTACGACGGTGCGAAGAAGGCATACGACAGTCCCAAGGTCATATTCGACAACCGTTTCGTCAAGGTCTACTGGTACAAGCCCGAAAGAATGCAACGCGAGCGTCATCAGAACGGCTTTGGCAAGAGCGACGGCGATGTCGACATGCAGGAAGAAGAGAAGATTGATCCTGTCGAGTTCGCAAAGAAGCAAGAGGAGGCACAACGCGCCCACGAAGAGAAGACAAAGAGAATCAAGGAGGCCGAGGCACAAAGACAAGAACTGGAGCAAAAGATGAAGGCTCAGGCTGAAGAGCGCAATAAACTCCTCGCAAAACTCGCTGCGAAAGAGAGAGGAAAGTCGGGTACTCCGGATCAAGCTGCTGCTGTCGGTCAGAACGGTGCCGCCAATGGTGCCGACAGCAACGGTACACCCTCGCAGACCGACGCTTTGAAGGCCAAACTTGCAGAGTTGGAGAAAGAAGCAGAGAGCATGGGCATAAACCCGAATGAGGAGCAATCGTGGCAAGGCTTTGCTCCGCGCGGTCGTGGTGGTTACAGGGGACGTGGAGGGTTCCAACCGAGAGGCGCATGGCGAGGAGGAAGAGGTGCTTTTGCTCCACGTGGAGGCGCTGTCAGAAGGCTAGACAACAGACCCAGGACTGTTGCAGTCATCTTCGCGAACAACGACCAAATGGACTCTACGAAAGACGAAGCGCTAAGGCAATATCTGCTATTTGTGAGTGACCGCAGAAAACTACTTCCACCAAGACACCACAGTACTGACCTTTTACAGAGCGATCTTATGGAATCTACACAAATCAGCCCTCACCCTTCACGCTCAGACGCGGCCATGCTGGCATTTTCTGAACGCTACCAAGCCGAGAAGTTTCTCAACCACGGCTCTGACATCCCCCATCTTGGCAAGGTCGAGCTTTCGTGGATGGCAAACCCTGCTCCTAGCACTCCTGTCGCCTCTGCACAGACAGCCTCTGAGACGTCCAAGGATGTCAACATGGACGAGCCTCAAGATCTTGGACCCCCAAGACCAGCAGCCGAAATGGATTACGACGTAGCTGATGATGACGACAACTGGTTAGTTGAATAATGAGGGATAACGGTCGATGCATCAGGCTGTCATGTTTGCTCCTAGATCATTCCAGGTTATATATCCCACATCCTGTTGAATTGGCCAGAGAACAAGGACTCTGCGACCAACCGCATTTTCTGTACATTAGATAAACACACCAAGGCCATTTCCCCGATTTTTGATGTCAAGTTTTGAAGACATCTTTGCAACCCTTTCTTTAACTTTTCCACCGGCGGCCAAACGTGACCCTGTCCTCTCTGGTCATCAAGCCACAACCCAAGACACGACTCGCTAACCATGACTTTCCTTTCCACACCCACACATGCTCCTTGACACACAAACAACACACAACCACGATCGCCTATCGCAACACATTTGAGCTTTAGAACATGCCAAAAAGGTGGAAATTAGAGATGCAAAAAAACGACTTTGACTTGATCGGGCAGGTAGGCGCTGATGATGGCCAGAATAAGGGCCGTAAGAAGAACACTATGAACATGTATCCGACCCCAGGGCCAGCTACACTATACAACGTGGCTTTGAGGAGACGAGATACGGTGAGAGGCACGTCGGTAAGTGGGAGCTTGGGAGAAAGAAAGAGTATAGATAGGTCTCTTTGAATCTCCTTTCGACCAAAACAAAGCATTTTTTTCCCAGCAAACATTTGCACCTGTAGCCAAAAAAAGAAAAAAAGAATCCCCATCGACAACCAAATCTTGCAAAGAAAACATTACAGAATCTCTTTCAAAGACCACAGGCACACAAACATCAAAACCAATCACTCGAACCAAAAAAAGCCAAATCAGAAAACCCTCCAACACCAACAAACAAACAAAAAAATGTCACTCTCAACCACAAACTTCACAACAAACATCACAACACCCACCTGCCCAGACTCCATAGTGTTCCCCCAAGTCACCGCCCCTCTCTGTGCTCTCCCCTCCTCCTGCACCAACAGCACCGCAATAATGAACTCTTGCTGCAATGGCAACATCCCCATTGAATACACATACCCAGGCATCAACGAAGGCAACAAGACACACCAAGGACTGTACTGTTTGCTGAACAGCACTCATGGCAATATGACGGCCTCGGGTTGGGCAAGTTGTGCTTATGATTTTGGATTCAAGGGGCCGAGTGGGTGTGCCGAGGGACCTTTTACGACTAAGAAGGGGGCGGGGCAGAGGGTTGAGGTGGGCTGGATGGGTGTTGTGATGATGGGGTTGTTGGTTTCTGGAGTTGTGGGTTTGTGAGAGGGAGGGAGTGGAAGATGTGTATCGATATGTCAAGGAGGGTTGAAGCCGAGTTTGGACGGTCGACGATGGGAATTTGGCGAGGTACGGTGCTGTCACAGAGACGGGCTTTTTGTGCAAAGCTTGAGCAACTTATCTCAATGTTATCGAGCAAAGATGCCGCTCGTGCAAAAGCTCAGATGGCAGTCTTTCGACAGTCAAAGATCAGCAAGTGTGGTCCAAGATTGAGCTGAACTAGATTCGCAGATAGATGATAGACAAACAAAGATTGGGCGCACAGATTGCAGATATGCATATGAATCACTAAAGAAAGAACCAGAACCATGAATTGTCTTGCCATGTATAGACATAAGAATGATATATTGGGCGCTTTACTACATTCCAGTGGGAAAAACTGAATATTGTACAAAAGAAAAAGAATTCGGAGTTCGTGAGACTACCGTGCATGAGGTTTCGCATCATCAAAACTCGAGACTCGGGAGGTACTGTCGTCGCTGCAAGTATCGACGGCTACAGTCGTGACTTGCACCTCAGAGCCAATTTTATCCGCGCCGACGCCCAAGTGACCACTGATTATTGGATCCAGACTGCCAGTGGGCGAGTGTCCTAATCTCTCCGTAAAGCTCTTCTTGTACTGATGTTTGTTCTGTGACCGTCCTCGTTGAACTTCGTCGATGGTGTCGAGTGCGTAGACTTGGCCTGCGCTGACAGTAATAGTGCGTGTTTGCAGGATGGAACCTCCATGGGGATCGAGATTCGACGGATCATCTTTGCTGCTTTTTGCGTGGTTGGAGCGGTTGCGGCGATTAGAGTCTCCTCCGTTGATCAAGGCTTTGCGGGTGAGAGTGTAAAGGAGTGTATCGACCCAGCCGCAGCTGGCAAGAAGAGCGCCGGCTACACATTGGTAGGCATCGGGCAGGCTCTTTTCGTGATGCGCCATACTCCACATACGACCCGCTGATAACGGTAGTGTGAGGATAATGTATGCCAGGGGGTACAGGACCATCAATTTGGCTGCGCGGTCGACCTTTGCATAGCTGGTTGATTGGACCCTGACTGATGGTTGTACAGCTGCGACGGCTGCTCTCAATCGAATCAGGACGAAGACGTATATGATGATGGTGCCGAATTGAACGATGAAAATCCAGAGATAGTGCAGAGCAAGACGATCTGTTTGATATTGCTCTCCAGCCCAGCACCAGGCGCCAGCACGGACAAAGTATCTGCCCCTGTATTCGATCGGACCAATGATGCTTAGTAACAATGCGAACGTCCATACACAGATTACTGATGCGATGAAGCCGACATGGCCGATGCGACGGCCTTTGACCGCGGTGTAAAAAGTGTGGAAGGCGATGGCCATGACGAAGAAGCCGGACGTCAGATCACCAATGTTAAGAAGGAAGCCTTGTGCAAAGCAAGCTGAGGAAGGCGCGAAGATACCATCTCTTTTGATCCAGTGAAATGAGAAGAGAAAGGATGCGGCCTGCATGAAGTCGGCTATCAACAAATTCATGCACAATACNCTGTGTTGAAGAGTTAGCATGACTTGCATTCAACTCTGCGAGGCGTTTGGATCACATACGACATATTGATTATAGCCAACATACGTCCTGTAATGCCGCCTCCATGTCGAAAACCGATAGACGATGAAGCCTAGAAGACCGAGTGTGGTGACAACAGACAGCAATCCAAGTAGACCTGGTGCCATGAGACCCTTCTTGAGTACTGGTCCAAGGGGTGACAAGCTGTACGGAGAAGGATAGTGCCCTGTCGACGGGTCGACTTTGATCTCTTGACCATGTCTGACGACTTTGTCTCGATCGCGAATCTTTTCAGACGTCTTTGAAGAATGAACGGAGAGTGGGAGCCAACGATTCAACCAGTCAGCCAGCCTCGAGACCGCCGGCAATCGAGACCAGATGTACTGGGTATGTGTCGGGCGCTTCAATTGTCTAACACCTGTGAGTGATCCTGACCGGGTGGGCAATCCAGGTACATTTCCGTAGTTGCAAAGAAACCCGAGGGGCAAGTAGGATGGGGTCGGCTTTGGTACCCATTCTTTCTACTTTATTCGCCGCTGCTGTAGGTCACTGTCCAGGACGAAGGAACTAGCTCACCTTATTGGCCTTGTGCACGCACCTGGCACACAACACTCGTGATGGATCAGCCTTGATCTGCAAACCCGTCGACTCAGGCCGCGAAGTTGCTCGAGCGCAAACGGAAAAGGGAGGCTTAAGGTTGGTACCTTGCCGAAGCAACGACCACCTTTGCGACCTGCATACGAATGCCTTGTTCGGCTGCCACAATTTCATCAACCACAGACAAAGTGCTGCCGAAGGTTCAGCTTTGACACCACCCTGCCTTTTCGGACAGTTCGTTCATGTGGATCCTGAGAACTGTAAGCTCCTGTGGCTTGACTTGTGAGTCGCAACTTCGACGCGGCCAGAGTTCATCCTATATTGCTGTATCAATTATTTATTAGCTCGCTTGGAGAAAACATGGGGCTGTGAGGGGTATTGGGCCGAGCCAATATTCGGCAAATGCTTATTACAAAACCCCAGTCTTGGTCTGTAGAAACCGACTTCTCGACAAGATTTCTATAGCATCTCAGCGAAACTGACTGAATGGCAACTTGACGGCAATGAATCGTGCAGTTCACAGCTGCATATGTACGGACGTAGCTGTGACCGCTTGCCAACATATTGGACGGAAGATGATTGGGAAGGTGGATCTGCAGGCCATGAGTAGCGATGACAACGATCAAACATGGTGTGAAGAGGCGTGTTTCGAAGGGACTGCGGCACGGCAAGCCCGCTTCCCTGATGATTGTGTCTTCTCATTTGACAGGCGAACGACTCGTCCGTATCGGATGGGCAGTTCAGTAAGGAAACCATGAATCGAGAGCTGGCAAAGGGACTCTCGTCGTGCGTGTCCGAGGAAGCGGCGATGCAGGATGAAGTTGGAGGCGTCTGTAGTCGGGTTACGTACACCAATTAGAGCCTGCGTGGCTTCTGTTGTTCATCTCCGTTGACGCAGCTCGAGGGAACGTGTCATAGAGCCTTGAAACGACTCAAAGGGGCCTTTGGGGTTCTCCAATAGATGCCCTGTCTTCCGCCCTAGTTATGAATCGCGTTCTGCGTCTTGTGAGATCCTTCGGGAATACGGGTACCGATTTTCGGGGTGAGCTCTGAGCACTCTACGGAGCTTCCAAGACCTCACACATGGTTTCGCATAATGACCGAGACTTTCAACATATGCACATGAAATCATCTGGACGGCGTATTGTGCTCAGTGCTAGTGGGTTGATCAATGTCAAATGCCAGCTGCCACCAGCACGGAAGCAGCGTTCCGCTGTCATTCTTCGACTCGCGGAGGAGAGCCTCAACATGGCTCGTGCGGTTACAAGTCGTTCCTTCGAAGATCTTGGCTTGTTAAGGCATCAGTAATGAGAAATCTTGGGGGTTGTGGAGATGAGGATCAGAGGACATAGCTTTGTTAGTCGTGGATGGTAGCATTCAAGCCGACGAGGTGGTTGACCTGAGGCACCCAGATTAGAGCAGGGTGACTGTGCTGCACCGCCACAGCGCTTCAGCCACAATCGCCACTTCCCTTGCCTGTGCCTCCTTGCTTAGAGCTACGTCTCCGATTTCTGGAACACATCAACCACCAATTCATCAATTCTTGTTCTACTTTCGACAAGGAAGCCAAGATGAAGTTCGTTACTCTGACCAGCGCATTGGCTCTCTTCGCCACGGCAGCTTCGGCTCTGGACAAGCCCCTCAACATCCAAGTCGACAAGGCCGTTGAATGTACCCGCAAGACTCAGGCTGGTAAGTAGTTCATGCATGAGCATAGGAATTCAAAGATACTGACTTTCTGTCAGNGCGACAAGATCGAGGTTCACTACCGCGGTACTCTCGAGGACGGTGGCAAGGAGTTCGATGCCAGCTACAACAGAGGCCAACCCTTGAGCTTCCACGTTGGCAAGGGTCAGGTCATCAAGGGCTGGGACCAGGGCTGTAAGTCTTGTGTTATATGTTCTTTGGGACAAGAAATTTGCTAATGTGGTTGTANNGTGCTCGACATGTGCCCTGGCGAGAAGCGCACATTGACCATTCAACCCGAGTGGGCATACGGTAGCAGAGGCATGGGACCCATTCCTGCCAACAGTGTGCTAGGTATGCGACATCGTGTCTTTTTTGAACGAGAAGATGTGCTAACAGGTTGCANNGTGTTCGAGACTGAGCTGGTCAGCATTGCTGGCGTCAAGAAGGACGAGCTCTAGATAGTTAGCACCACGTAGATGCTACTGAGATGATGGCATGCTGCCGGTCGTCATGTCATTTTTATGCTCTGAAAAATGCTCCTAATCCTGGTTCATGGCTATGTCTTCCATGTTCTTCACGCCGGCCTCGAGTTCGCGGATTCTCTGACCAATTCTCCTCTTGACCTCGTCGGCCAATTCTGTATCAGCGCCCTCGACGATGCTTCTGTATGCTTCTTGGACCCTTGTCAACTCCTCTCTTGCAGCCTCGCGGTCGGCTTCGGCATAAATGGTCTTGTTCTCGGTCTCTTCCATGGCCATCTCGAACNNTGAACTCGTGTTAGCTTCGAAATGTCGTGTGAGGTACTTGACAAGACATACCTCATCCCTAGCTGTAGAGTACAGCTCAGTAATCTCCTCGATGGCCTCGTCGGCAGCAGACTTTGTAGACAACCATCGGTTGAAGTTGTTCACATGCGAGGCGCTTCGGATCTGGAGGGGAGACGCGGCGAAACGAGGGCGTGATAGGGTGCCCAATGGACGCGAGCCAACGGTGGGCTTTGTGCGAACAAGAAGAGCAGCAGCTCGAGACAGTGCAGCGCGCGACAACATGATGTTCTGTGGATTGGAATGGTCAAGCTGAGTGTTGGTTTCATGACATCAGGGTGCTTTTCGGCCACCGTCTTGGCACTCCCGCCGCCGCTGCATCGGTGACTTTCGCTGGTATTATTGACACTATAAACAAACATCCAACATACTATGGCTGTCTGGGGCATATCCTTGTTGATTCTGTCCCTGACGTTTCTCATACACCGACACCCACCCAACACATGGCGTCTGTCATGGACACTCCTTCCGCCTCCCGACTCGAAACACATCAAGGCCACGCTCGAGGATTATGATGAGAAAGAGAAGAGCCAGGACAGGCAGGAAAAGAGCGACGACAACTCGGTAGTCGAAGATGAACCAGACATCAAGGTCGACGAGGAGAGCGACGACGACCAGAAGACTCCTCAGGCCACACCCGCCGCTCCCTCGATTGCTGTCCCTTCATTCAACCTGGACTCGGACGACTCCAACATGCCAGAACCAGATACCAATGACACTTTGCCGCCTCCGTCCTTCCCGGCAGCAAACTCACAACAACGCGCCATGCCTCCACCCCCGAAGCCCGTCTCCAAACCGCCAACTACAGCGTCATCTCTAATGCCACCGCCCTCATTCCCGGCCCCCAACTCTGCCCAACGCGCCTCGAACTCGTCCTCTCTCATGCCGCCTCCTTCGCGACCGAACCGCTCGAGTCTCGGTGTCCCTGCCATCCCAGCCAGACAGCCGCCTCTGTCTGCAGCCGCTCAAGCCCGCGCACCGCCCCCTCGCATCGATACTCCCAAGTCCTCTTCCAGCAAGGTGAAACTCGCTCCCGGCTTTTCGCCTTTGGACTGGGCTTCTCTGGCTGCGTCCAAGAATCTGTCCAATGTTTCGTCCTTTACCCGCGTCACGCCTTCGATGCTGGCAGAGAAGAATGGCAGAAAGGGAAACGATGCTTGGAGTGTCTACAATGGAAAGGTGTACAACATCACTCCTTATGCGCCCTTTCACCCTGGTGGCAAGGGTGAGTTGTTGAGGGCTGCGGGCAAGGATGGCACAAAGCTGTTCATGGAGGTGCATCCATGGGTCAATTGGGAAGGCATGCTAAACTCATGTCTGGTCGGCGTCATGGTTTCGGAGAGTGAGGGCGAAGGTTTGGATGCCATGGACTGATTGTGTATGTCGTTTCTGCGCTTTTCTTGTCTTTTCGACTATACCAATGATACCCCGGATGTTAGAGAAATTGCTTATACACAGTTGCCATGAACATTGTTCTTCATACACTTATTTTTCCATGTAACCTTTTTACGAATATGGAATTTGGCAACTCTACCAAGTTGCTCGGTCAAGTGGGAGCTTCGTTGGAGTCTTAACCGCGGGTCCCGCTTCCCGAACAGTCTGGAACTATCCTACACCGTTGCTGTCAGCTTACCCCATCTCCCAAGGCAAGTGCTATATCAAAAGAGCTACTGCCTTCTCATTCATATCCTTCCTTCTCCATCCTCGAACATTTTCTCAAATTTCTCAAATTTAAACCCGCACGAATTCCCAACCATGGCACAAAGAGCAACCGCTTCCTGCTTCTGCGGCACCGTCCAACTCGAACTGGTGCGTCCCGACCATCCATATAAACCCATCCACCCCACCCACCTTATTATCCACAGACTGACAATGTTTCGAAACAACAGCNCAGTCGAAGGCGACGACCTGACCCAAGTCTTCGTCTGCCACTGCACCGACTGCCGCAAACTCACCGCCTCGGTCTTCACCACCGCGTTCGTCGTCAAAGACTCTTCCCTCACCCACCTCCGCGGCGAGGACAAGCTATCCCAATACGCCACTTCGGCAACCGTGGCGTCGGGAAACACAATGACGAATTTCTTTTGCAAGGGCTGTGGCACGTTGATGTATAGACGCAGTTCCGGGTTTCCGGGGTTGAGTATTACCAGGGTGGGCACGGTGGATGATTTGGAGTTGCATGATACAAAGTTGAAGCCCCGGGTGGAGATTTGGTGTCAGAGTAGGGTTGCGTGGTATGGAGGTGTCGAGGGGATCAAGCAGTCGCAAGATCAGGCTGCACTGTAAAGAAATGTGATGGCAGCAGCCTTTTTTGGACATGGCAGTTTTGTCAGGAGAACATGGAATATTGGATTGTGGATAGCTTAATTATGCTTGGTCTCTTGCCTTCTTGCTTCTTGCTATTGCCGATTGTGCATCTCAGAGTGTGGTTTCCAATCTCCTCCGTTGCTTCTCTTCCTCCCCTTGTTCGTTTCCAAGAGAAAAATCAAAAAAATCAAGAATGCTTTCCTTCCGCATGTCGTTTGGCCTCATTGCCTATCCCAGTTTCCATTTGTCAAAGTTGCCATCCTCCCTCTTGTGTGCTCATGGACTGAGTGTCCTTCGAAAATGCAAAAACTCCCTTCGTCTTTCCAACTGATAAAATGTCGTAACCTCGTTAATCGTTTCTGCTTCGTCCTAAGTTTGATGGTCGGTGTCCAATAGAAGTCGAGAATACTGTTCTTCGCTCAATCCTCATCCTTGTCTCTGATGCGGTCTTCGTCAGTCCACTCGCTGTACAGGCAAGGTGGGTCGCACTGGCAAAGGAATGGGATTTCGTACTCGTACTCGCCTTCAGGCTCCTCGTAGTGAAGCAAGCAGCAAGATTTGGCGCAGTCGCAGCAGTTTCCGTCCTCGTCATAGTCGTTGTGTTCTGCCTTGCCATCGAATCTATCACGATCCTCCTGGGTGATTTGAACGCCGCCATCTTCAGTATCAGTCAGACTCTCTTCGTACTCCTTGTGAGCCTGGGCGAACTTTTTTCTCCATAGCTTCTTCTGCCACTTCTTGACCATACCGCCAAGGACAACAGGGTGTCCTTCGATGTAGGGCCACATGATTTCGAGTAGCATCGTGGTTGCGTCGGTATGGCAGTGGTTCACGTACGTCTTGTCGAGCACCTCACGAGATGGAATGATAATCTCCAGCTTCTTGATGAAAGGCAATTGGTCACGGCATAGAGACAGAGCTGTGTATTCCTTGCCTTCTATGGTGATTTCCTCATCGGTGTTGATGTTTCTAGCGTTGAGACCAAAAATGTTGATGATATCTCGGTGGGTAGGGAAGGCCAAGGTGAGGTGGGTGAGCAGTTTTCGAGGAAAATGAAGATTCCGGCGCAGAGTCTTGCTGAGCAGTCGTTCATGGTTGATGAGTAGGGGAAGGCATCTGAACATGTAAGCGCGCATCTCCTCAGCGACAACCTTGTTGCATCTCAGCAGATTCGAGACCATGTTGTTGCGATCGTTGATGTGTGGCATGTCTCTGCCGCGCATACAGTGTCGAGCGTAGGGTTCGATGGCGTCCTGAGGAGCAGCATGACGGTAGATTTCGTTTCTCAATTCGCTGGGCAAATCGAGAAGAGGAAAGGACTTCTTGTTTGCATCCCACCATTTCTGCTGGGCCTTGAGAACCAACTTTGTTCTGTTCTCGGGACAAAGGAGAGTAACGTAGTTGGGATTGGTCTCATCCTTCTTGGACTCTTCCTCGAGATAATCAACCATAAGTATCCACTTGTTGTCCAGGCAGACTTGAACTTGTTCTTCGTGGAAGCGAGTGGGTAGAGTACGCTGACGACCTTGACATTGCGGCACAAATTCGAAGTGGAAGGCGTTAGGATCAGGAGTCTCTTCCCAGGTGCAAATGTCCTTCTTCACCCCGACCGTGATCCTCAGCTCCATGGCGTTGGCGTCAAACGAGCTGATGATGAACTTATCTTTTGTGTCGAGCACATGCTTGTGGAGGATGCTGGTGATTTGTTGATCGTCGGCCTCACGGACCCAGCCATCATTGGTCTTTTGGTATCGAGTAGGAAATATGAGATTGGCCATGGCATGCGGTTTGGGTTCACCGTTTCGAGTTGAAGGATATCACAAAGATGAGGAGGTTGAGCGAGAGGAAGTGTCGCGATGTACAGACTAGCAGTCGACAGGCAGCCGTCGTCGAATCGACGTGACGAGCGACCACGGAACGCGGTGAGAGCCTGTAAGCCACCGAGATTCCCTCGGAAGGAGTGATGAAGAGAAGATATGGATGTTTCTTGTAAGGTTGTCGGTCCAGGTAGAGGTGATAGGATATAGGAGGAAACAAGTGCCAGTCCAAAGTTCAAAGTAATGAAGGAAAGAGCCGAAAAGACCAGCTATTGTACTAGGTAGATATTGTCGAAATGCTATTGTGAAACTACCATTGTGAGGCTGCCATTGTAAGGCTGTCGTCCAGGCTCCTGTTGTGAGGCTGCTATCGTGTGAGAGCTGGTATTGCATGTGAATAGCTGTCAGGTGAATATCTGCCGAGTATTCGATGTTTTGAGAGACAAAGAGAATGAAGGCTCCTGCCATGAAAAACTGAACGCTAGAATTTAATGTCAATATGGTTTACATCATTGCCATATGGTATAGGTTTGCCCCATGCCCCGCCGACATAATGCTCTATCGCTCCTGGACGCATTCATGATTCTCTGTCGAATCGTCTGCCTTTGATTGCAACCACAAATTCATTAATCAAGTTCCAGGCTTTTATCACAGAAGTCTCAAACTAGAGATACTGTTTCCTTCTGTAGCATTCGACTCTAACTGTGAACATCCTGTCGATCAGCCTAGCCCGATACTGCTCGACTCTCATCGGACTCACCTCATTTCACAGCATCATCATCCTTGTCTTTACCACCAAAGGGTGACAACCAGATAGCCAACAATACAAGCAGACCACAACCGAATCCAGCAGCAAATGCAATCTTGTCACTGATCTGTACATCTTCCTTGACTGTCTGAATGTGGCCGATCGTGTGTTGCATGTTTTCTGTGATCTCAAGTAGAGCGTGGTAGTTGCTGTGCTGGCTGTTCAATATCTCGGCTTGGGATTTCGAAATGTCGTGCTGCTGTTGCGAGACCTTGATTACGAGAGCCTTGATGCTGACTTCGGAGTCGATTTTCTTGCGCAAGCCATCTGAACGGCGTCTAGGAAATTTAGCAGCGCGACACTGTGATGAAAATGTATCAGCAAGGACAGCTACATGTTTGGATACNACACTAACGGTTCTAGCAGTGGCATGATAAGAGCAGGCAGTGTTCGCCATGGCAAGACAGTGAGGGCGATGGCTCTAAATCTTGTCAGCAACAGATCGAAGACTGCATACCGCAAGACACACGGCTGTCCTTGCAACAACTCGATGATGAAGGAGGGTCATCGCAAGTGCTCGAGATTCGAAGCTCTGGAATGCTGATGGTTGATTGTTGCCATACGTCAGTCGAGTTATGGCGGAAAGATGCTACAATTCGAACTTTTGCTTGAAGAGAGGTCGCGCCTTCCCGAAGGCATTTGGTGGAGTACCTGGTCAATAACAAGTTCAAGCGGCATGTACACTCACAGATCTACTCCCAAGGGACTAACAAAAACAACTGGACGAGCGATACAGGTAAAAGCCAAGGGTATCAGTCGAAGAACGGTATTACAAACTAGATGCAGAGGAAAATAAAGATGAAAGAAGACCCCCGAGCCCAGATATGCACCAAACGCCCTCTCATATTCATATCGAAGAAAAGAGGCAGTATCCACCGTGAATTGTGCCGTGTGTGTGTGTGTACATACCACACCTCGCATCCGTGACGTCTTCGCTGGGAGAATTTGAGAAACAAAAGCAGAAAGCATACGCTGTGGAAGGTCAAAGTCGAGAAGAAGTCGTCTAACATTGGCAGCCCTGGCCAGCCTGTGTACCGGAAGCCTCGGGTCTGAGGTCAACACCGGGTCTGGGGGCGCCGCGCATGCCTCTCTGGGTGGCTTGCTCGATGGGGAGCTTCTTTGCGATGGCGGTGAAGAGTTCCTTGACGTTCTCGGCTGTCTTTGCCGAAGTCTCGAAGAAGAGCAGACCGGCTTCTTGGGCGTATTGTTCGGCGTCGGCGGTGGGAACAGCGCGCTTGTCGGGTTCTTCGGTGACGAGATCGAGCTTGTTTCCGGCAAGAGCGATGATGATATTCTCGTTGGCTTGACGTTGCAGCTCCTTGACCCAAGCCTTTGCCTTGTCGAGGGATGCCNNTGTGTAGATTGTGTTAGTCGAGTTCTGAGGGTGTAGAGTTGCAGGAGGTCGTACGGCTTGAGTAATGTCGTAGACTACAACGGCGCAGTTGGCGTTGCGGTAGTACATGGGGGCCAGAGACTTGTAGCGCTCTTGACCTGCGGTATCCCAGATCTCAAACTTGACGGTGGTCGTGTCGTCGAGAGCAATTGTCTGGGTCAAGAAGGCAGCGCCGATGGTGGATTCTCGGTAGTCGTCGAACTGGTCCTTGACGAAACGGAGGACGAGCGAACTCTGTTAGGTGTTAGATGGGTGGTTTGAGGTGGGAGGGCTTTGGAGTGGATGCGCACCTTTCCGACAGCGGATTCGCCTGTGCGAACATGGTCAGCATACAGTCTTGAGGCGTGGTTGGGGGAGACTAGGCATACCCAAAAGGACGAGCTTGAACTGAGCGAAGCGGGCGCCGCCTGGTCGGCCCATTTGCTGCTGGCGGGCAGACATGTTGGTTGGTAGAGGTAGGTGGTATGCGCGAGTGTGGTAGAGGTGTGATAGAGTCGATGGCGTGGTTTGGTCGAAGAGCGGTATGAAGCTGAGATTCCAGGCCGAAACACACCAAGTCGGCGAGTTGTTGACTGCAGCAGATGACGACGGCGACACGCTGGCTCGGGACTTCGGTGCTCCTTCCCAATCTTGCGCGCTGCTCGAACCTTCAACGCCCGCGCCAAGCTTGGCGCGCGTCCAGCCACCCGCTCATTTGGACACCAGGCCAGCCTTTGGACATGCCATCGACCACTCTTTGTCTAACTTAGCTCTTTTGTCGCTGCCGCGCTTCTGCATCTTCTAGACGACATGAGTGCTCTTCTGCCTTTTCGCGACATCAATGTCCACGCTTCTTCCACCCACTATGCCTTCTCGTCTCCCTCATCTCCTTCCGCTCCTACCCTTGTTGTAGAGCGTCCGTCTGGTGATATCCGTCTTCACGATGGCAAGCTTCTGGGTGGTCAAAGAGTTACGAGTATCCAGGGTATTCTCGGAATTATCAGTTTGCGCCTCGGTATGTTCTTTGTTCCTATTCGACCTCATTCAATGCTCATATCCTNNCTAGACAAGTACATCGTTGTAATCACAAAGGCCCAGGCTATGGGCAGGATCAAGGGCCATCAGATTTACAGGGTTGTCGCTACTGAATTGCTGCCTCTTCGTGAAAGACAAGTTCGCGATCCTGATGAGGACATTTACCTCGGACTGGTCAACACCCTGCTCAAGAGCAGCCCATTGTTCTTCTCATACACCTTCGATCTCACCAACAGTTTCCAAAGACAAGCCGAAATCGATCAATCCTCTCCCATCTGGGCAAGAGCTGATGATCGCTTCTTCTGGAACAAATTTATTCAGACTGATCTAATCAACTTCCGCCAAGGTCAAGGAGCTCGCCGCCAAAATGTTGGTCCTCAACCCGCTATGGACCCTTATATTCTGCCCGTCATGTACGGTATGCTCAGAATCACCAACACTTCGGTCAAAAGTGCACCCATGACTTTCATTCTCATCACTCGTCGTTCAAGACACCGCGCTGGTACCCGCTACTTCTCCCGTGGTCTGGACGAGCAAGGACATGCTTCCAACTTCAACGAGACCGAACAGATTGTCATACTGAACGATGATGCTTCGAGTGGAATGACTACCTTTGCTGGCGACGGTGGTTTCTCCAACAACAAACTCCCTGGTGGAGAGACTCAAGTCTTGTCATACGTCCAGACCAGAGGCAGTGTTCCCGTTTACTGGGCCGAGGTCAACACCCTGAAATACACTCCCAAATTGCAAATTAGAGGGGTTCAATCTGCTGTGCATGCAGCAAAGCTACACTTTGACGAACAGATCAAGCTGTATGGAGAGAACTACCTGGTCAATCTTGTCAACCAAAAGGGCCGTGAGCAGAAAGTCAAGGAGGCATATGAAGATATGGTCAAACTTCTCGTATCGAACCCTGCAGAGGATACCGAAGCCGATCGCACAACAAGGGAGAAGTTCCACATTCTCGAGCCTCAAGGCGGCCGACATGAGTTTGACAAGTTGCACTATGTCTACTTTGATTTCCACAACGAAACCAAGGGACTGAAGTGGCACCGTGCACAACTTCTTCTTGACCAGCTCAAGGATGGTTTGATGAAGGGAGAGTACTTCCGCGGTGTTGACAAGCCTAGCGGTGGTGTGCAAGTATTGAGCCGCCAAAGTGCTGTCGTTCGCACCAACTGCATGGACTGCCTGGATCGCACCAACGTGGTTCAGTCCATGCTTGGCCGTTTCACTCTTTCTCGCATGTTGACCGATGTTGGTATCTTGAAGGCTGGAGAGAACGCTCAGGAAGACGCTGCGTTTGAGCATCTGTTCCGCAATGTCTGGGCAGACAATGCAGATGTGGTCAGCAAGTCTTACTCGGGTACCGGTGCTCTCAAGACAGACTTCACCCGTACTGGCGAAAGAACGCGTGCCGGCGCCTTGCAGGATTTGAACAACTCAATCACCCGCTACGTGTGCAATAACTTCCTCGACGGACCCAGACAGGACGCCTTTGATCTATTCCTCGGCACCTATGCACCCGATCCTTCGGGCTTGGGCTCAGCACACCAGTTTGCGGACACTAGACCGGTGTTGGTCCAGTCTTTGCCGTACATTCTGGCTGCCTGCGTCTTCTTCGTCTTCATCTCGCTTTTCACACGTCGCCTGCCGGATGCTACTGTATGGCCGTTGAGAATCTTCGTTCTCATCTGTGTCATTGGTGCTGCATGGTCTGGTAGATTCATCACCTCGCATGGAGGTCTTTACGTAAGTAGCCGTACCTTGGGAGGTTCGAGAGACAATGCTAACCAATATCAGGTCAACTGGCCAAAGCTCAACACACCAGCACATGCTCTTGAGAGCTACCAAGAAAGTCTTGAGCGAGTCAGTAGAGATCCTCTTCTGGGATCCATGGTTTCCAAGCACGGTCGCGGCAAGAGCGATGCCAGACTTGGATACATGGAGGAGGGCAAGAAGCGTAGAGAGTAAACAAAAGTGCGGGTTAGATATACAGGTCGCACTTGCGAATGGGTCGGAACAGGTAATCCTAGAAGGGCTGGGTGGTAATCGAATTGGTTTCTTCCCTCACCTACGATAACTTGACGACCATCATGCTGCAAGACAAGCCGTATCCTGTGATGTGTGTACCCCAAACGCCGCGCTGAAAAACAGGACAAAGACCATTTCCATCATCAACCTTGCATGACGCAATCCAGACATAGCCTCATCTCGGCTGTAATAGCACAGGTATTGCAAACATGTTTTCCACAGGCTCTACAAGCCGTGTCTGCGGCTAAGGTATCCATGCCGTATTCGGGTGTCAAGACCTGATCGCAACCGTCACATGTCCAAACCTCCTGTTGCGATAGCTGTAAAGGCATACCATGCTGCTGTGTCTGAGAAGTCGGCGGTAGCTGCCAGAAGGAGTGTAGCGTGGATCGTTGCGGCGCATCTTGATTCTGGAATTGTGGTAGAGATTGATTGTGTGGCTGCGATGGGAGTGGGGAGGCATGTGGATGCGCTTTTTGAGCTTCGAATAACTTTTCTACCGTCGATGCTGTTTCTTATTAGAAGAAGGTATGCAGAGANGCAGAGTTGCGATGGCTCATACCGTGGATCTGTGCCTCTTCTGGCCGGCCATCTCGATAGCGCTTCCGTGTCCGACTGTTCAGGTTCTGTTGTGCTTCATGTCCTTGCTGTATATTTCCTTGACTGCTCTGCTTCCAACTGAATGGTGATGATTGTGGATCGTGGGTTTTGCTCTGGACAAATAAGTTTGGTAGGCGGACTGGAGAGCTGAAGAAGGGTGTTGGCGAGGGGACTTCGAGAGCGGAGGGTGTGAAGACGGAGCCTGTTGAGCGCTTGCGTTTCGTGGACATGGTTGCTACGAGATGCCTATGGTGGATAGAGTTGGCGATGCGGTACCTGAGTGGTCTGGCCTTTTGGTCGAGTACGGATATCCGCGTCAGGGAAAGTGGATTACGCGACTGCGCGCGTCTTGCTTCCCCGCTTGCGTCACTTGAAGCTTCCCTTCTCCTCACCTTGATAACCGTTTGATGTTCTTTTGAGAGGATATCCAAAGTCAAAGGCTAGGTATGTTCTTATCATCTTCTAGTGTTTGCCAGCTTCTTCGCCATGTCGTGAGATTCTCAGAAGCATAGACACCTAACGATCATGTCTGTCTCCGAGCTAATCACCAGACAGAAACAATGTCAACCCGCGAACCAAGTCACGCCGGAAGCTGGTACAGCTCTTCCAAATCACAACTCTCAAGCCAACTTGATGGCTGGCTGTCCAAGGTTGATACTCCTGTCCAGCCCATCGGCCAAGTCTCATCTCAGGAGTCTTTGAGCGCTTTGCCTGTACCCGGTGCCAGAGTCATCATTGCTCCGTAATGCTTTCTATTATCGTTACACACACTACTTACTGACTTGCCTCTCAGACACGCTGGCTACTCATACTCCGGACCTGCAGCTGCATGGGCCTATCGCTCTTGGGACGTTTCAAAGGCAAAGCGTGTCTTCTTGCTCGGCCCTTCGCACCACTTCTATCTGTCCAAATGTGCCCTCAGTCAATGCGACAAGTATGCCACCCCTCTAGGAGACTTGACGGTCGATAGAGAAACAACAAAACAGTTGTATGAAACCGGCAAGTTTCAATGGATGAGCAAGAGCGTGGATGAAGACGAACACAGTCTAGAGATGCACTTGCCATACATCTACAAGATGCTGTCCAGGTACACGCTTTCTTCTTGTCTGGAGGCTCACGCATGACTGACCAGTCACAGATCCTTCCCCTCAGAATCTACGTTTCCGAAACTCGTCCCCATCATGGTCGGCAACACAAACGCAGCCACCGAAAAGCAGTTCGGCGAGCTCCTAGCGCCTTACCTCAAAGACCCTTCCAACGCTTTTGTAATCAGCTCAGACTTTGCACACTGGGGTTTGCGTTTCCGCTACACTTACTACGAACCCTCTTCCGGCGATGCAGTAAATCTCTCGGCGGGGGCAAAGACACCTAGAGATCCCCCCATCCACGAGAGCATCAAGAGAGTCGACTTTGAGTGTATCGATGCATGCGAGACGGGTAGTCATGCGGCTTGGCTCGACACACTCTCAGATACTGGCAATACGGTATGTGGAAGGCATCCGATTGGTGTTGTCATGGCTGCTATGGAGGCGTTGAACAGTTCTGCGAGGTTCAAGTTCGTACGCTATGAACGCAGTAGTGAGTGTACCAGGGTTGAGGACAGTAGTGTTAGCTATGCTAGCGCTTTTGCTGTCATCTAATGATGAGATGATGCTTTGACGATAATGAAACTATGTTCTTCTTTCGATTTTTCTCGTGTCCAGTCCGTATGCTTAGGCAACCATCTTTTCAGTGAAAAGAGCAAGCGTAAAGAAATCATGTATAAAACGTTAGACGTAATCATATACATGTAGCTCGGAACATTCCCAAACCATCAACAAACACAAAAAATGAGAAGAACAACCCGGCTACTTTCTACCCGCGTCCCAGCACATATGCAAATGCTCCACCACCAAAGCTTCCAACCCCTGTCTTGAGCACGCACACGAACAGCAAAAATCGTCCACAAACAAAACAAAGCTCTCCCGGACAGGCTTGAACTGTCAACCTCTCGATAGCCGATCTGCAGAGTTGCAAATCTTAACAGTCGAACGCGCTAGCCAATTGCGCCACGGAAGATGTGAAAGCTGAGCTTTCTGTGGCTGTTGGATAGGGACAAGTGAATCAGACAAACATATATACCTCGTGCTGAGTAGGGACATTAACGACGATGCATGTAGGAAACATTCGAGTCTTCAGTCGTTGGTGATTCGTGGTCTTGCGTAGAGATGCTCAGTGTGATTGATGTTTTGGACGTGGATTTGTGCTGTGTGTGCTCGGTAATCTCGCTTGTGCAGGAACGAGGATGCATGACTTTGTGCTATGCTGTCTTTGGGCGTATCTATGTCTGCTCTTCGTGGGAATACAAGCTTGTTGGCCAGTCAAAAGTACGACAACATACTCTATACCACCCGAGACCAGTTTAGAAGTATTCGTCGCTTGTTTCGCCGAGTTGGACATGTCAGGAATGTGGAGCCTTTCCAGAGTTCGAGATGTTCGAAAAGAAAAAGCAGCAGAACTCCATCAAGGTCATATCTATCGACTTGATGCTTGTATATCAAGACTATATAGTCAGTTGGGACCTTTTGATATACTTATCGAAGGACCAGTGTCAGTGTTGGTCGTGATATACAGCGATTGAGGCCAATCGTGCTGGTTGGGAGTAGCACCCTGTCTTCTTAGCAGTTCAGGTTTATCCGCTCTGGTCGAGCTTTGAAAACTATCCGGTCGTTGGTGTATCGAGTATTGAAAGCCGTCAAAACAAGTTGACAAGACAATGCTAGACGTATCTGTGTGGTGTTTCGATGTCTGTCAGAAGGATCTTGTTCTCTTGTCGAAGTGTTGATTGATAGGCACCAAGCTTCGTGCTAGTAACAGAGCCTCAGGTCTCGGCTTCAACCTTGATGGGCGACAGCATGGCATGCTGCCAGCATAGCTACCGACTACAACAAACACAGGCACACAAAGACATGCATTTCCATGGCGTCGGCACAACAAAGATGCCGTCAGCATATCCAAATGCCTTGTCCCCAGGTGGATCGTAAACTCGTGATTGGGTAATGTACGTCAAGACTCTGCGAGTGTAAGAATGTCGTCACCGAAACGCTTTCCACCACAGCTCAAGCTGTTTATAAGGCTCACCTGCAGGAAACACACACTCCAATCTTTGCTTCACCAATCCAATCCTATCATCAAGATCAATCAACATGCTCCGCACATTCACCCGCAACACCGTCTCCAAGACCTTCAAGCCTTCATCGGCTGCCGCCCTCCGCGTTCGCGGCATGGCCGACAAGAAGATCGAGGACAACACCCAGGCTGCCGGCGAGGCCAAATCCACCAACCCCCAGAACCCTTCGGTCATCTCTTCTGCCGGTGCTGTTGGCAAGCAGTTCAACCCTGATGGAAACGTCGGTCAGGTTGGCGAGGCTGTACGTTTCCTGCGCACTATATCTAGACAAGAAGCTCGACTAACACTTTGCAGANTTGGTGGACCTTTCTCCAAGGATGGCGCCATCGGCTCGCAGTTCGACGCAGCCAAGGATGGTATTGCCGGCCAGGTCGAGAAGGCCGTCGACGGTCCCAGCAGACCCGCCACCCAGAAGAAGTAGACTACGCACCCTCACACCCTTTTTCACGATGATGCACGACACGAATCAACACCAGAGACATGAAGAGCGCTGTACTATAAGAAGCATGGATGCATGAAAGCATTGCTCCAATTGCATTGATCCATAGATGATCAGCATGAATACAAAACTTTCAAACAAGTCCATCATTGCTCCCGTGTGATTTGCCCTATTGTTTGTTGTAGATACAAGTCGCCATCTTACGATGGATGCTCCGCTGGTCGTAGAAAGAGTATCTCATACGTCTGCTGTCTTCAAGGATCTCATAGTGGATTCTTGCATGCCTGACTCTATACGATCGATACAAGGTTCCCATCTTCCTAACCTTGCTCTTCATAGAAGGTATTTGCTCTACGAGTTTCAAGCTCCCCAACAGGTTGTCTGCTGCTATTTAACCCCATAGACATCCAAGAATGTTCTATAGATCGCCGCCGTATGCAGGGACTTGAGTCAATTGTCGCTTGCTCCAAGCAGTGCCATTGCCTAGAGCCTCTGTGGGTTGTTCGTAATCGCGCTGTGTAGTGAATGGCGACACTTCCGACAAGTTTCCAATCCTTCCGAGCAAGAATTCAAGATGTCTGTACGCAGCCGACGGTGCACCCTGCGGCAAGAAATGTCCCGCCAACTCTGTCAACACAAACGTGAGTCCGCGCTCCGTAGTCCAGGAACCATAGGTTCCTGCACCTGCCATGCTTTCCATAGGATGGTTATGGTATGGAACGTAGAATGGTTGTGATGGNTATTCACTAAACCCTTGCACACCGTTCCAAGTCAGGTTTTGCAGGGTAGCAAGTGTACCGTTAGCGAACAGGACAAAGTCGAGAGTACCGTGACCAACGACAACGTTGTTGGTGTGCTCGATGACATGTTGGAGCGGTCCACCATTGAGGCCAGATGGAGGCGAGGTATCTGATTCTCCACCGACAAAAGGGTTCTCCAAGCCAGGGAGACAGAATTGCCAGTCTACGTCCAAGGGTGCATGTATGGCTTTCTTGACATCTGTCCGGTTGAAGTAGGGCTGCGAGTAGCCATCAGGAAGGTAGAATTCATCGTACGAGAAGGGAAACCCAAGCGAGTCCCAGAGGAGAGGACACTGCTGACCAAGCTGATAGATGTCGAAACAGGGGTTGATCTCGAAGATGGCAGTGAAGAGGGCATCGTAAATGTCGCAATTTTCATAGTCGTAGACTTCGTCGTACGTCGATGGAGGTGGTGGAAGAGGTCCTGTGGGAGGGAATGTCATCGCCGTATCCATGAAACTGTTCAGTCCGCAAGACTCTGATATGTTCTTGATCTGGGCATTGACGGTATCGTTCAAAGGGAAGAAGTTACGGTTTTGATTGACAAATGAGAGAGCAGGTGCTTGTGAGATTACTCCATCGTATCCAATGGATGGATCGTAGACCATGAGACCATTGACGTTGTAATACTCAGTATCGTTATGTTGAATCATCGCTGAAGCGATATATGGCGAGTACATGCCTGCGTATGATTCGCCGGTGATGTAAATCTTGCGTCCCTTGAGCTCGAAGGTATCTACAAAATTGCGCCAGAAGCCAAGAAACTGCAATGCTACAGTATCTTCGTTAGTTGCCGTGGCATTGCCTGTACTGAAGCCGGTTGAAATTGGTTGATCAATCCACACCACGTTAGTAAGATCAGACCACGAGTATGTGTTTCTGACGGGACGATATGTGCCAGAGGCCCAATTGACCGGGCCATTCTCGTGGAAGAAGCCATCCAGACTTGAGCAGCCTGGGCCGCCATTAAGCCAGATAACAATCTCATCCTTAGCAGAATGGTTGTCTGTCGGCACGAACCAAAAGAACAGACTGTCAGTCGTGCTGTTCCCTATAGGCATCGATCCAGAATAACTCTCGCCAATATCAAAATCAATCTCAGGCAACCCAGAGCCATTGACAGCGAATGATGCCGTAGCGTTAGTCAAGTACGCATAGTCTGAACGCTTCTGGAGTAATTGGTGTTGTTCTAGCTCCTGTTGAGCAGCAAACATCTTGCTTCGACGTTCATTCTGAGCCCGCCCATATTTGGAAGACTGCGAAGTGCGAGCTGATACAAGTGAGGATAGTAACAAGAGCAAGGAGGCAGCCGTGCAGGCCAAAAATGAGCGGTGCATAATATGAGATGCTAGAAGATGTGGATTGGATCAGATCCATCTGATAAGGAAAAGCCCTTTGATTTATAAAGAGGCCCTCAGAGCACATCATCACAGTGTCTCATAATGTCATACGTGCGCCCATGCACCGACTGGTGGACTGGTTGACCAAGGGCTCAAGACGATTGGCGTTTATCTGTGGATAGATCCGGAGATCTTCATCTCAACGATGAGCGTCTGTCTCAGCTTTGTTGCGCCAAAGACAGGACGGAGCTGTGTTCTCTTCCATCCGGCGCCTGGAGGCAAGTACCAACTTAGCCTTCGTACAGATGCATCCAACGGAGGTCAAACTGTAAGGCAGTTGCGGTGAGAACAAGTGAATCAAGCAAGATTCGCAAAAGGGCAGTTGAGTTGCTCGGCAAAAATTGAATCTGAAGGTCAAAGCTTCCCACTCCAGCCACCAATTTTTTCTTATCAGATCATGAGCCCTACCTAGCCGAACTCATCCACACGAGTCTGACAAGTCGTTGCTTTGTCATGATATGACATGCCATCCAGTTATTATCGCCGCTCGTCAACATCGAGTCTTGAGCCTGTTCTGCACTTTGTGGCGGCAATTTAGGGCGCCTGTGACTGATTTCTGCCTCGAAACTCATGGTCTAATCCGCGACATAACGTCTAAGTCGGCTCGAGGATCGACTGCTTCTTGACTATACGCGTGAAATGCTTTCGTACATGAGGAGGTCGTAGATTTTTAATTTCTCAAGGCATGTTGATAGGTCATACTCGTGCAGGAGTGGGGAGTTTTAAGCATAGAACACCGCTCCAGGTAGGAAGGCATCTTCTTGTTCGTGACTTCCTCAACTTCTCCGACAGGAAGGCATGACTGCTTCCGCTGCTTGCCCGAGTCTCATTCTTCCTTTTTTGTCTCTGTCTTTTCAACAACAACTCCGACCATATCCACCAACATGCCTCAAGCCCATGTGGAGGTGCGTCTCAAGGACGCTGATGCCACCGAATATATCACACGCGTCGAAGTAAGATCCCCTCTTGCTGCCGATCTCGTTTGCTCATACTGTCCAGNNATAGAGGATGCCTGCCATGATTACCTGACCAAGGAATACATCCACCCAGCCCGCGACGGCGAAGAACTTTCACTCGGTAAGCCTTCGACTATTATCTCCAAACTATGTATTGACACCACGCCACCAGACAAGTTCCAGTACAAGGACCACATCATTTGCGCTCGTGTCGCTGGCATCGATTCCGAATTAGAAAGTAATGAAGCCTTTTTGTTTTCCAACGTCCAACCAAAGGTTCATGCCTATACACTTCACGAACGAGCCATGGCTGCCTCTACTGTCACTTTCACTACTTCGAAAGATTCTCAGGCCAAGATCATCAATCTGCCTCATGAGTCCTTGGCTGGCGTTTGGGAAAGGTACGTCCTACTTGCCTGATCCCAATCTGACTCCACTTACATCTGTTTGATANGTCTGAAGTTCGACGAGACCCAAGATATCAAGCTAGAAGAAGTTCTCAATATGGCCGTACAAACAGNNGTGAGCCAAAATCCTCTCTACTCTTGCACGACCGAATCACCTTGAATTGACAGAATCCAAGTCGCCTTGTTGCACCAAGCAGACAATCTTCCGGAAGCGATGAACATTAATCGATTGATCCTCTTCCACGGACCTCCAGGATGCGGCAAATCGACACTGTGGTATTACTCAGTCCAGAGATGTATCAGAATCACAGTGCTGACTCTTGCGGNNAGTCGAGCACTTGCCCAGAAGTTGGTCATCAGACTCAGCCGGATCTTCAGAGGCGGCAAACTATTCGAGATCAACACACAGGACCTCTTGAGCAAGTTCTACAGCGAGAGCGGCAAGCTTGTGTCAGAGATGTTCGAGAAGGTCTTCAAAATGGCACATGATGACAAGGAGCTCATCTGTGTACTGATTGACGAGATCGAAAGCATTGCTGCCTCACGTCAAGCCTCTACAAAGAACGGCGAATGCACTGATACTGTTCGCGCGACTAATCAACTCCTCACTGCGCTTGATCGTATCAGACGTAAACCAAACATCATCGTCTTTTGCACGAGCAACTTGATCGAGTCTATTGTAAGGCTTGAACACTCACATCCAAAGCAGAATGTTGCTAACTCTGTTCAAGNNGACACAGCCTTCCTCGACCGAGTCTACGACGTTGTCTCAGTACCACCACCCTGCGCAAGTGCTGTCTACACTATTCTCAGCAATATTCTCAACTCGCTGATTGATGCTGGAACCATTACCTACAAGCCTTGGCCTCAAAGCTTGCCTCCTGACGACGATGACAAGGACTTTGACTTCTTGGAACTCGGCGATATTCTCGACAAGTCACGCCTACCAAGCCATGAACGACTAACGGTCTGGGCGAATGCATATCCTGACACTCCTGGACCTCTCCTGAAAAGCGTCGCTAAAGACTGCGCAGGCTTTAGCGGAAGGAAATTGGCGAAGCTGCCATTCTTGGCGATCACAAAGTACATTTGGCAGGAGAAGTGCACCATCTTCGATGCGATCAAAGCCCTTCAGAAGGCTGTGGAGCTAGAGAAAGCCATGAACTGAAGTGGTGGATAGTGCTGTGTTGATTGCTGGTATTGCTTGACGGATGACTCAGGCGAGAGTTGTTGCTTGACGCCATTACCCTTTACGTGCTGCTAGCTTTTTCCGAGAAATGATGAGAAGTCTAGTTAGACCTGTACGACATGTTTTCTCGAGCGATAGTTTTTTAACGATATCGTGACTAGAGACAGATCATCTCAAGAGATCAGAAAAGTGCAATCGGTGTGCGGAAGCGTGGCGTTCGCAACGCGTTACGTTCGTTGTTTGGCATTTCGCCCCTCCAGACTCGGCAAAAGTTACCTCATACATGAAGTGCTACATCATCGCCAGCTCGTTCTTGAAACATCTCATCAACAGCCTTACGAATCCACCTTCCCTTCCATCATGCTTGATCTCCAATCATTACAGGATGACCTGCCATCCCTTGAGCCTGCGTCGGAACCATCATCTACCCTCGACGATGTCACACAGACCTCACGTGCTCTCACGGGCGGCCTCTTCTCTGATTGGCATCAGTTGACGAATATCATCAAGAACCACGAGGACGTGATCCAAAAACGATGGCGTAACAAGACACGAGATCAGAAGAAATCTATCTTGTTGGAGGCTTGGGGTCACGGCATGAGTGATCACCATCGACCTGACTTGACCTTGTTTATTGACACTTCTCACCAAGAATCATCACATTCACTCGATGCTTACAAGTGGCCCTTTGTTAACCTGGAAGATCTTTTGAGACCGAAAATCCTGCCAACCTTCTTCAACTCTCGGGGTAGCCATCATCCTTATGTCTTCTGCCATGCCGATCTTAGTGCTTGCGCACTCGGTATCTCAGCAGGCAAGATTGGAAATAACGACATGAAGGGATACAAAATGCTTTTCCTCGACACCGATACTCAGCAGAGCTACGCTGAAATAGTCCCGGAGAGTGGCACAGACAACCCCGCTTACACCAATTCGACTGGGTCTTGGTTTAGCGTCGGACAAGGGCTACTTATACTGGAATTACAGCAACGCCTCTATCACTTTTTGGTAGCGTGCGCAAAGCTCATCATCCATGACCTTGTTTCCGAGTCCTCTCAAGACTCGAATCCTGGTCCTGAACTGCAGGCTTCGCCTTTGTCCACCAACGAATCGACTTTTGTAACATTGGCGAGTTTTACACTGGATGCCCCGTACCGAGCCCCAGCGCAACTCGACATTTATCGACTTAATTCCCTCGTTACTGCTAAGCGCTCCGCCATTGCTGATCATATCTGGCTGTTGCGAGAGGATCCAAGCTATTTTGCAGATTGTGTCAACGAATGGAAAGAGCACCAGCCCGAAATGCTTTTGGATGCACAAGGCAAGAAGCATCCAATACACAAAGCTGGCTTGACGAAAGCTTTCTGGAACCGTGTCTTGAGGAAGATGGTGACCGACGCGTACCTTTCACTTTCCTTATGGGAGTATACTCATCAAGAAGTGTGCAAATTCGAAGAACTGTCGCACAGACACCCAGACCCATCCCCGCTTCAGCCTCTGCCGGCAGAAGTTGTGTTCGCTATAAAGAAGATTCGACACTTGTTAGAGCTCTCTGCGGCCAGCTCAATAGCGCTGATCAAATCTCATGTTCCACCGTCACCTCCAATGCTCAGTCACTGGCACCGGGAAGGCACATCTACAGCAGACCACCACTCCACGAAATTCCGCATGATGCCAAACCCACGCACCGGTCAAGACACTGCTTTAGACCGTCTGTTCTGGGCATATACAACTCTGTGGGACGACAAGCAGTCTTTCTTGGTTGGTCTCGACACTCTGGTAGACGAGCTTGACCGTTTGACCTACGCCGACACCAAAGCGAAGGATCTTCAGTCGGCCTTGGTTGTTGACAACCTAGGTGACCTTGGCGTGGCATCCGAGTGCTTGCATCAATTATCTCTGTACTATCCGTGGTCGGAGGACATAGAGCAGGCGATGGCGCGTAATCGACAACAAGTTGTAGAGGAGTTCTACACAAAATCTGCTGAGTGGGACAACTTTCGAAGGATGTCCTGGCAGGGTGTTGATCTGGCAGATCTGGGATCACCCGGAGATGGAAGATTCTCCTATCCCATCAGCAATCGCCGAACAAAGACTAATGCCTCCGCACTACACAAAGCCGAATTTCATCTCGATGCATTTTGGTCTGAGGTGGACAAGCATCTCGCCTCACAGTCTGTAACCCTCCCAGATAAGATGATGAGGTTACTACTTTCCGGAAAGAGATCTCTGAAACGGACGTCTGAGTGGGAAGAGCCCGTTGTTGACAAAGCAAAAGGCAAGATGAATGGTAGAAGTAATGGAAAGTCGCAGGGCAAGATCAACGGCAAGTTCAACAGCAATTCGAACAGCGAGCGAAATGGCGACCCTGCATCTACACAGCAGAACTACGAAGCTACCATCACGCCCTTGTCGTCAACATATCTTCAATTGCGTGGCTCTCACAAGAGGCAAAGCTCCATCCAAGAAGCTGTATCAACCACGAGAGAGTCACAAGACGCAGATATTCTCGCGACAAACGGACATAGGGGTACAGGAGGAAACTCTGCAGCTGCCACTACTACAACAATAATCGTCGACAAACGCGCAAAAAGANCACTCTCTGTCCTATACTACATGCCATCTTCGAACGACACACCAGGCGACACGACCTGGACTGACTTTGTGCACGCAATGCTCTCAATCGGCTTCGTGGCCGAGAAGCTATATGCTTCTGTCTGGCACTTTACCCCTCCGGAGTCTATCCTCGGAGAAAGCATTCAGTTCCATGCGCCGTATGTTGGAGACAAGGTCCGCTACCACACAGCGAGATTGTTCGGACGACGGTTGCAGAGAGCGTATGGATGGAACGAAGACATATTCGTTGTGCAGCAGTGAATATTAGTAACGATTGTATGAACCGATACATAGCCTTCAAAACCAACTTAGGCAGGTCCCATAACACCGTCCTTCGCCTGATTGTTCCCTCTCCGGCCGCGCGGTGGCCTCTCCTACGACGGACCCACGTTCGATATGCCACGAGTATTTTGGCTCCAACGGCTCAACGGTTCGGCACACACTGCCCCGGCCGTGCTCAAAAGGGATGCGTAGGCGCTCACAGATGTCGCAGCAGCACCAAGAGTCCTCAAACCTTGCCTCTCTGACAAACATGTTGGGAGGTAGTCGGCAAACCAAGAACAAAGCCCAGCTGTGGGATTCAATACCGTGAAATAGAGTTTTGTCAGACAAGTGCCACATAGCGGCTACAGGCTCCGTTTCTCGGGGATTGGAGCTCCTCCGCCCTTGACAGCAGAGCTCCTTGCAGCCATGCAGATGTTTTGATGTTCATTCAACAATGCTTTCCATCATGGTCCGAGATTTGCCGTGATCGATCGCGGGCGACTTTGAGCTGTCGCTGGAGGATGGTCTTGAACGCCGTTCATCGACGATCATTTCCTATAACTAAAGCCCGACGACAAACTACCGGGGAGCTCGGTGGACAATCCTGGGATCCAGACGCCAACAGTTTTGAGAGATGCTCAGTCCCCTATCAGGCCTTGCTCGGCAATAATTGGGCAGGAGCGCCCTCCGAGGTGAAGGATCAATTGACTCGAGCTCACGTCGACGGCATGTCTTGTCTTGGCCAATCACACACACCAAGAATGGCTCCATGGACAAACACGAGGGACATGTCAAGGATGGCAATCTTGTGAACCCACCAGCTTGCTTTGGCGTTGGTTTGGCTCCAACCCCTCGAGCCCGATTTCCGGGCAATAGACTACCTAGAACGTCTGTTACAGCTCGTCTAAAACATACATGACAGCACAAGCCTCAATCAGCCTCGCTTCGACTTGACCAAGAATGAGGCTTGGAAGACAGCAGGCGATCAGCAAAAACGTAAGGAGATGCAATCTCCAATGTCTGCATACCTACGGCCGCATGTTCCGACCGTCGTACTTCACTCTTTCTTCTCCAGACCGCCAGGCAAGAATCTTGGGTTTCATGCATCAACACCCTGGCCAAAAAGACGACCGGAAGCATTATTGAGCTCTTTGGAGCATCATCATGGAATTTGGCGAGCACGATACACCTTCGACTGATGATGAGGGGTTTCATTCTTCTACAGCAATTGCGAACCCACACTGGTATTATTACTGGTCACCCTATATTGAATCTGGACTATACCATCCTTTGATGAATGGTCCAGGTTCAGGTCACAGGAACCATTATGTTGACCAGCCACAACTTGGAAACTATCTCGCTTACCAACCATTATCACCAAATCCACCGTCAACATGGAATCCTTATAGTCAGGGACCAGCAAACTACCAAAGCATTGAAAGCAACACTTGGTGCTTGCCGGCACAGGTACCCTCCGAGATAATATTGCCTACCGCTATCGACCGAAGTCACCAACATAATGAGCCATATCTCAATCATTGGACTCCAGACCTTGCCACGTTTTCACAGACGGAACCTCCGAACCGACGACCAAGTCATCACAGTTACCACAGTGATCCAGGACTCACTACCATTTCTCAGGATGACCGTACTCACCAATTTTACCCCGATCCCCGGCCAAACTCAGGGTCCGATGTTGTTCCTACCTCAAGGGCCGATCCACAAGCCATTGAGCAAGCGAACTCTCCCTCTGCCGAACCTTCACCCTCTGCCGGTCTTGGCTCCGCGAGCGGGAACGTGGTCAGGCCTGTCATCAGATGTTACGACCATGGATGTGACGGGCGTACATTCTCGTCGATCAGCAACTATAGACGACACCAGCGAGAACGTGCAGGTCGAAGTCCCGTGTGCTTCTGCCCTCGATGCGGTGCCACTTTCTACAGACGTTGGACCAGGGACCATCATGTGGAGCGAGGGAGCTGTCTGAGGATACCTCGATGGAACTAGTCTGCTCAGGCCATGCATCAAGAAGAAACTCATGACAACCTGCAACAAAGGCACTTCTTTCCGATGGGTAGGATCCCGGAGGGGGTTTC